TTTTGTCATAAATCGACTTGTTATTTTTTTCCTTGAATTGTTTCACATTTTGTCATGCTGAGGCCTTTTATAGCTGACTATAAGGTATGGCATTGTTAAAAGGCTGTTGAACTTGAGTGACCTATAGTTGCTTCAATCCATGTATTTGAACTCTGTTTAAAAGTTCATTCATAAGCAATCATCATAACATGAACTACTTCATATTTTATACAGCTCTATATATATCTACTGTATCTGACAGAAACTTAAATAGACTGTAAATGACCAAAAAGACCATGGTCAAAAACTCCTTGTTCCCGCAACTTTTATATTTTCATTAGTTCTAGGTAATCAGATTACAGTCCATGTCAAACATTGTGTTCATTGAATTCAGGAAACGGTTTTCTTTCTGTGACATGATAACATACAAAATAAAATGCTCCGCTGGGGCGCAGCTTGATACGACCGCAGAGGTCGAACCCTGAACAGTTGGGGCAAGTATGGACACAACATTCAAGCTTGATACAGCACTGAATTTGGATTTTAATTAAATATTTGACACAGCATAGGTTTCTGACACAGAATGAAAGTGGTCTAAGAACAATTTCAGAGAGATCCATACACTTGAACACAAGTTATTGTCTGGAAACTAGAAAAATGCTTGTTTTTTGGCCCCAAATTCCTAAATGTTTAGGGCATTTACCCCCAAACTCAAACCCAGCTTTCCCTTTGTGATATGGAACCTTGCAGTACAATTTCATAAAGATCCATACACTTACACACAAGTTATTCAACTTATTGTCCTGAAACTAGAAAAATGTTTGTTTATTTGCCCTTTTATGGCCCCTAATTACTAAAGTTTTGAGGGAATTACCCCCAAAATCATTCCAGCCTTCCCTTTGTGGTATGGTACCTTGCAGTACAATTTCAGAGAGATCCATACACTTGAACACAAGTTATTGTCTGGAAACTAGAAAAATGCTTATTTTTGGCCCCTTTTTGGCCCCTTATTCCTAAACTTTTTGGGCAATTACCCCCAAACTCAATTCCAGCTTTCCCTTTGTGATATGGAACCTTGTAGTACAATTTCATAAAGATCCATACACTTACACACAAGTTATTGTCATGAAACTAGAAAAATGCTTGTTTTTTGCCCCTTTTTTGCCCCTAATTCCTAAAATTTGGAGGCAATTACTCCCAAAATCAATCCCAGCATTCCCTTTGTGATATGGAACCTTGTGATACAATGTCAGAGAGATCCACAGACTTACACACAAGTTATTGTCATGAAACTAGAAAAATGCTTGTTTTTTGCCCCTTTTTGGCCCCTAATTCCTAAAATTTGGAGGCAATTACCCCCAAAATCAATCCCAGCATTCCCTTTGTGATATAGATTTTTTTAAAAATGTACATGATATAGTTACGATACTGTTGTCAGGTCATAAAAGATTGCATATTTTGGCTTTAATCATGTTAATATTGATTCACTTATAGAGTCTTTGCATCGGAATTAACACCTTTATTCTAAAACCAGTTGTTGGCATGACACGGCCACGGGTTATGTTCTTCTCATATATTTTATGACAGTACAGTGATATTGTTTGCCTCAAATTACAGCCGAAATTCGGCTTTTTCCTCTAGAGAAAATTCCCAATTTACTAAAAAAAATGGCTTTAAATTCCTCCCAAAAAGTTTAACATTTTCCCCAAACAGTGATGGCATTGGTAGTAATGTTTGTAAATATTGTATTCATGTTATTAGAAAGCACTTTTGAGATTTGGTTTTCTGATCAGAATCATCATGGTGTTTGTAACACATGTGGTTTTCAATGCATTAAGTACCATCATTGCTTCTGTTTCTTTCCCCTCTTCGAAAAGTACCTTTCAGGTTGAAAATTTCTGACAACCAAAATATGCATGAAAAAAACAGTGCAAAAAAGACTGCAAAGGTCAGCAAAAATCGGAGATGCGTTTAGAATAAAATATACAAATTTCCCAATTTCAATAAAAAATATGCATTTTTCCCAATAAAAATCAGTAGAGGTAGTTTTGAAAAAAGACAACAATATCACTGCGGTATAATACTAAACCCCTAACAGGAGGGATTGTGCCTCAGATATTCATATGATGAAGACATTATCTTTCAATCAGTTTAATTGAGGTCTGGAGCTGGCATGTCAGTAACTGCTAGTAGTCTGTTGTTATTTATGTACTATTGTCATTTTGTTTATTTTCTTTTGTTTCCTATTGTGACATCGGACTCGGACTTCTCTTATACTGAGTTTTACTGTGCGTAATGTTGTGCGTTTGTTTTTTCTACATTGGCTAGAGGTATAGGGGGAGGATTGAGATCTCAAAAAACATGTTTAACCCCGCCGCATTTTTGCGCCTGTCCCAAGTCAGGAGCCTCTGGCCTTTGTTAGTCTTGTATCATTTTTAATTTTAGTTTCCTGTGTATAATTTGGAGTTTAGTATGACGTCCATTATCACTGAACTAGTATACTTATTTGTTTAGGGGCCAGCTGAAGGATGCCTCCGGGTGCGGGAGTTTCTCACTGCATTGAAGACCCATTGGTGGCCTTCGGCTGTTGTCTGCTCTATGGTCGGGTTGTCTCTTTGACACATTCCCCATTTCCATTCTCAATTTTATGACATACCGGGTATGCATTGTCAGTCAGGGGTACTACTTGTACAAGTAATCTTTATTTACTTGAAGAAGTAAATAAAATAAACTTATATAAGTTAATTATAATGTTTGAATAATCTCCCCTTAATTTTCTCAAAATTTTACTTGTATAAGTAAATTTTTTTTACAATCCCACAAAAATTCTCAAGTTTTGAGATGTAAAAACATGCCTTTAACAATTTTTCTCAGGTTAGCTCATAATTTTTTATTAGAGTTCAATGTTTCATCTCATTCATTCAACAAAGAAACTGATTGCGCAAAGATCTTAAGTATTTGCGCAAGGCCTTCAAAAATTGCCCCTAGGGGGCTTGTAAATGAGCAGTGTTCTGAAGATAACAGACAAATGAGATTTTCATTGTCCATGAAATTACACTTAAATGATTAGTAAAGACATCTGCAAAGGACAGACAATCAAAAATTCTATTAGAGCAAAGAAGTCCTAAGAATTCAAGAAAAGAAGATAGGATGACTTTTTTACTTGTAAAAGTAAAAAAATCTGAATGTCTAAGGGACATAACTAAGCCCAATTTTTTTTTACCTATACAAGTAAATAAAATACACTTGTATAAGTATCCTACAAATTTTCTTATATAAGTATATTAATATTTACTTCTTTTAGTAAATAAAAATTACTTGTACAAGTAGTACCCCTGACTGATTGTGACATAGGAAATGTAATGGAAAGTGCACAAATTAGAAAGTCTTCATTTGTGGTAGAATTGAGGATTCTTTTGTAATCCAATTGGGCCTGTTGGGGACTTGTAACAACAGTAACATAAGTGATTAAGGGTAACAGTGTTCAAGTTGGATTTCAAAACAAAATAGAACACATACATGTATCAAAACATCCATGATACGAGCCACTGTGTGCTAATGCTTGTTTCAATAAAACAATGCTTTGTGTCTGAGTAAGCAGAGTTTAATTCACCATTTCATGTATTTCTTTTTCACACTACTCTGTTTATTCCATTTAAAATTAAACCCTAGTTATCATGTAATTGAATTATTTTTACACTATAAAGACAGATTATATCCCGCAATGGTGGTAAGTCGTGCACTTAAGGCCATTTTTTATTTTATTTTTCTGTAGACTTAGCTTTATTTTTTTATTACTGTGTATTGTCAAGCTTGGTTACTCATAATTGTTTCTCAGTCACTGAATGTACGATGTTGTTCCATACTGCAGCAGCTGACCCGGTTTGTTTACATTCAAATGATGATACAGAAGCTATAACAGCATTAATGTCAATATAAAATTCACTAAAATATACTATTCAGACTTGGAAAGAGAGAGCTGGAAGAAAACATAGAAGAAAGTAAAGAGTTTGTTAAAATGCTGAGACAGTACGGTTCCCTTAAGAAAAAAACATCAGAAGATTTAAATCTTTCTTTGATTACAATCACAGTGTACCATCAATCCAATGGCATCATCAGTTAAACATACAATCATTCCATATAAAATTGTCATGTCATATGTTAATAATTTAATTTTGGATGTAACACGTCTGCTGATTGGCTGACGTTGTTTTGTTTATCAGCTCATAGACATAATTTAGTCATGTGACCGTGACGTCATCAACGTTTTTTCATTGTTTACTCCGGTTTAAAATGGAATTTAGAATTAAATTATAAGAAATAACTGTAATATTTTATCTGTCTATTCGAAATAACATAAAAAATGTGATGCACACTTTAAAATAACCCGCTACGCAGGTTATTCAGTGTGCATCACATTTTTGATGTTATTTCTTCATAGACAGAAAAAATATTAGTTATTCCTTAAATATCATAATGCATATATATGTGACACCTTTAATATAAGATTAATTACCTATATGTATTGTTTATTTTAAAAAAAACACAATACTGGTACAAAATTTTTATACATGTATTGTGGACAATACTAGTATACCAGTATTGCGATCACCAACTACAGGAGATCCCAAATCTCCTGTGTCATTTAACACCCGGTTTGTAGTCTGTAGAAATAAATGCCATCAAATTTTTTTTTTTAAATGTGATTTTATATGATATATATAGCCACAAAATGTAGGTTTAATGCTTTTGGCCATGCACCACATGCCAAGCGAAATTGAAATAAACAGTTTAAGTGTAATTGTCTAGAGAACATACAGAATCTTCCCAGTTTTGTCGATTATACGTGTTTGCACCCTTCGATGTCGCCATTTCTTCTTTCAGTTCCAACTGGTTCCTTAATTTTGCTAAATATCAAGAAGTTCCAGCTAAAATAGAATTAAAATTTGTACCAGTTTTTTAAAATCACTAAGATGTTTGATTGAATAGATATAAATGACGGTATTGCCAAGAACAAGACGGACTCAGCTTTGTTTATTTTGAGAAAAATTACCAACTGGGAAAATTCATTACATTTCTGTATATATACCATAACTCGGGAAAATAGAAGAACCACAGAACAGTTCTCATTTTTAAACGTAGTCTTTGCTGAATGATATTTAACAAAATACAAATACTCTTAGGTCATGTTCATCTGTTCATCATTGTGATTATTGATCTGTTGATAGCTTTAGCTTATCAAAATATATTTTGTTTCATCAGCATCGAAGTTAAGTTGTGATGAAGAGCAGGGCATAATCTTGCAGTCCAAACGACGATTAATATTGCAATTTGAAAAACTAAAACTTGCAGGGTTGGGGGTCTAGACCAATTTCGGCAGTTCTGAGGTCACAGGTTCCATACACCTTATTGCTATTTGTCCACCATTACAGGACATCACAGAGGTTCCTGTAAAATGTTGAGGTCACAATAGAAAATGGCTGATGCCACAAAGGAAAAGTGATTGTAAGAGGTCAATAGTTCAAGTGTCGCAGATTCCAAAGATATATTCTGACTCAGGGCTCTGGAAATTTCAGTACATCAGAATGGTGATTTTCTGCCTCCCACACACATCTCTGGTACCCAGACCAGAGTTTAAACTATAATTTGTACTTTGGGGGCCTTGGTTGGTCAAAGTTGACCCCATCTTTGACCTGGATATAAATTCACTAATGATTTGCCAGGTTTGTCTGTTCCTGCTGAGCGCTGAGCAGCCTGGTGGTTCTCTCCGAATACTTCAGCTTCATCCAACAGATTTTCTGCTGTCCTATCACCCCCTTTATGTTAGGTGGGGATTGTCCTTGTAAATACTTTAGTGACATATTTTAATTAGCCCCGATAGGTAGTGTACACAGATTCAACTGTACCTTTAAAGCTCTTGAGGGGTGCTCTGAATACAACAGAGGAATCTAACAGTACATACATGCAGGCCGACTGAATTCATGGCAAAGTCCTGTTGCCATCAAAATCGGTATAAGGGAAACGACTTGTCACAATGTGATTAATTACAAGTTGCAAAAGTAAACACTAATTGGAGACTGAATGAAAAAAATCACAATTTTCTAAGTCATTAAAGACTAATACCATTAATACTGATGATGATTAAATGAAATAGATATAAGGATGGCCTTGAATTTAAACTTTGAAAAATTTTAACAGGGAACTAAGCGATTGTTTGAGTTATCATTGAGGATGTTGCCTAAACACTCAGCTGATTTTTTCTATTTTCATTTATTTCGTCTGTTTAGGGGTGTCAATTTAAGCTGATTTCATTGTATTCCTTTTAATAAGATTGAAATATGAAAAGTAAAAAAAAAAACAGCTCATTCATAATTTTGATTGCATGTAAACTTAAGTATTGCATGTAAAAGTTTTTTAATGAGGGCTTTGTGTGACATATTTAGATGCTTACATGACAATAACATATCTGTATTGCTGTTTGTTTTAAATGTTATAAGTTTGTGTTTCTATTAACATATTAAAGATGAGACCTCAAGATATTAATATGAGGGCTTATCTGCAACTAGAAATGTAAATGTAAACGTTTTTACTTCATGTACACTGGTGTAATTGTAAAAGCTTCTATTCTTATGAACTTTTCCTAGCAGGTATAAACCACCTGATGAAATGATGTGATGTGATAGTGAATATTTAAGGGAACAAATCAGATAATGATATTCATGATATTGAATGAAATGTAGGAATCAGCAAAGCTTATCATTATTTTCAATAGGTTGTTCAATAAAAATATGTTTTCTTTATTCCAGGCTTAAGCTTATAGTTTGAAGTATCAAAACTTGAAAGTACATGGATCTGTGATGTCATCAAATGGAATACTTTCCTTACACTTTAATCAAGATCATGGTAATTATATATAAATAAAAATGTATGTAATAAGTCAATAAGACATCAACCTAAAAACACAATAAATAAAAAAACAAAAATATTTAGACATTGAAATATAGTCTAATTATTGAATCAGTCTTTAATAATAATTAAGTGTGAATAATATATGAATTCAGAAATAAAAGATCTTCCATTTTCACCAAATTCTATAATGGACAAAAAACTTAGATCTAAGCAACAACAACCACTGACAATGTCATATTGAGACAAGTACGATAACACTCTCCAATTCATTAATTTTTAAGTCAGTATTCCAGTGACCAAAAAAAAAAAAAAAAAAAAAACCCACAAATCAGATACAGCAATTTTTACAAGTTTCATGACTCTTATTGTTGAATTTTGAGTATATATTTCACATGACTTGTAAATATATCTTTTTTATTTGTAGGATGTTTTACTGTTTCAACAGAGTCTGGTTTGAGAATTTACAATGTTGAACCATTGACACAAAAGCTTTATTTGGGTGAGAGTATTGTTTTTTTTTTTATTAAACTTAAAGACCTCCATTTCTTTCATTTTAGTGATAAATAGAAATAGTTTATACTATAAAACACTATTCATATATTATAAATATGACTAACATTAAATTAAAAAAAAAAAGACAGTTTTACTGATATGCTAACATGGCTGATGAAAACATTCTCATTTACTCTGGCAACATTATAACAAATATAGCAGTTTGAATGAACGATGATCAGTACAAAAACGTCTTGCCATTTATAATGATTAACACGATTGTCAAAAATATTGACATCTTATATATATCCTGGCTTTCAAATATTCGAGCTTTGAGCGTTCCTGATGAAGGTACATCCAGAAAAGCGCTTTGGCCGCATGAAATTTATAAAGTGTCATTTTTTTGTTAAATTTTCATATGCTTTATGCTACAGTCTTGTAGCTGTACAGTTTAGACTGAACTATTTATTTATTTTACAGGCCATGAACATGTTGGGAGTGTTGCCCATGTTGAAATGTTATATAGATCTAACCTCTTGGCAATCATAGGAGGAGGAAGTCTCCCAAGGTTTGATGAAAAAGCAGGTACGGGTAATGTTATATAGAACTAACCTCTTTGCAATCATAGGAGGATGTAGTCTCCCAAGGTTTGATGAATAAGCAGGTACAGGTAATGTTATATAGAACAAACCTCCTGGCAATCATAGGAGGATGTAGTCTCCCAAGGTTTGATGAAAAAGTAGGTACAGGTAATGTTATATAGAACAAACCTCCTGGCAATCATAGGAGGATGTAGTCTCCCAAGGTTTGATGAAAAAGCAGGTACAGGTAATGTTATATAGAACAAACCTCCTGGCAATCATAGGAGGATGTAGTCTCCCAAGGTTTGATGAAAAAGCAGGTACAGGTAATGTTATATAGAACAAACCTCCTGGCAATCATAGGAGGATGTAGTCTCCCAAGGTTTGATGAAAAAGCAGGTACAGGTAATGTTATATAGAACAAACCTCTTGGCAATCATAGGAGGATGTAGTCTCCCAAGGTTTGATGAAAAAGCAGGTACAGGTAATGTTATATAGAACAAACCTCCTGGCAATCATAGGAGGATGTGGTCTCCCAAGGTTTGATGAAAAAGCAGGTACGGGTAATGTTATATAGAACAAACCTCTTGGCAATCATAGGAGGAGGTAATCTCCCAAGGTTTGACGAAAAAGCAGGTACAGGTAATGTTATATAGAACAAACCTCCTGGCAATCATAGGAGGAGGAAGTCTCCCAAGGTTTGATGAAAAAGCAGGTACGGGTAATGTTATATAGAACTAACCTCTTTGCAATCATAGGAGGATGTAGTCTCCCAAGGTTTGATGAAAAAGCAGGTACAGGTAATGTTATATAGAACAAACCTCCTGGCAATTATAGGAGGAGGTAGTCTCCCAAGGTTTGATGAAAAAGCAGGTACAGGTAATGTTATATAGAACAAACCTCTTGGCAATCATAGGAGGAGGTAGTCTGTCAAGGGTTGATGAAAAAGCAGGTAAGGGTAATGTTATATAATACTAACTTATTGGCAATGATAGGAGGATGTAGTCTCCCAAGGTTTGACGAAAAAGCAGGTACAGGTAATGTTATATAGATCAAACCTCTTGGCAATCATAGGAGGATGTAGTCTCCCAAGGTTTGATGAAAAAGCAGGTACAGGTAATGTTATATAGATCAAACCTCTTGGCAATCATAGGAGGAGGAAGTTTCCCAAGGTTTGATGAAAAAGCAGGTACGGGTAATGCTATATAGAACAAACCTCTTGGCAATCATAGGAGGAGGTAGTCTCCCGAAGTTTGATGAAAAAGCAGGTAAGGGGAAATTGTGATGATTATTTATTATTCATTTCGTAAGTATTTTAGGAACAGAAAAAAATAAGATTCTTCCACTGCATCAAGTGTGAGACGATATTTCTCTACTCAAGACAGTTAAATATTTAAAACTTAACATTTGAGAGTGGAGAAATATCGTATTGCATGAGATTTGGTGGTAGAATCTGTTTCTATAATAATTTTTGATGATATGTAGACAAACTGAAACCTTCTTTTCCAATGATTTGCAAAAAGATGTGTTCTTTCTATGTAATATCATCTCGCATGGTTGCTTTTTTTGTGATGTCATAATAGGAAATTCAGATGAAAGCAAGAAAATTTGACATCATAATTGACTTTTGACAAATGAAGAAATGAAATCAAACACGTTGATTGAATAAAAGTAATCAACTGTCATCAAAAGGATGAAACAGCTAAGAACTAGAGAAACAAATTTATAATTTTAAAGTTCTGTAGTGACTAGAAATATGATGTCAATCAAAAACATGTAAAAATTTTGTGGTTATTACATGTAAATAATGATATTGATAGAAGATGGGGTTACTAGTTTAATTATATTTTATTCATATATACTTAAAGTATTATATAGCAGTTTAAATCATACACATATATTCTCTCCATACAAACAACAAAACAATTTAATTCTATATTCGGATAGAAAATTACTCAAAAAACATCCTTCACAGAAGAAATTCAATAATCTTCAAAATGTAATTATATGTGTACTAAATTCGTAAAAAAATATTAGTGCTGTTCCAGTTAAACATACTGAGGAAGGCACTTTCAAAATTGGGTAACCTTTTTTAAAGGCAAATTAAGAATATCTCTTCAATATTCACTGTACTTGACACCAACCCATAATTTCGATTCAAATCGCCTTTCCATTTATGTTTCACTAAGACAGCCCTTAGGAAAATTGAGACATTATTTAGCAAATTTTCTTTGATTATTAATGAAACATGTGTGGAATAATTAATGTATGTTTAAGATTGTATCTATATTTATTTTAGTTTTAATATGGGATGAATCACAGAAAGATGTACAAAAGAAAGCTGTGATGGATATCACTTTCTCACAACCTGTTGTTAATGTTAGAATGAAAACAGACAGGTAAGATACATTGAAAGGGAAAGAAATGAGGAAGACATTTATTTATTGATATGGTGAATTAATTCATGACATGTAATCTCTCTACATACTTGACAAAACTTAAAGCAATGGAACATTGATGTTATTGCTGTTTTTTTTTATCTCTAAGTCAAAATTTCCTAAAAAGTATGAGCTGTCATGGTTAATTTTAAGGCAAACATTAAAAACATGAACAAAAATGTAGGTTCAGAAATAACTTGACTATTATCAAAACAGGAAACAATACTAAGAATATTGAAAGAAGAACATCACATTAAGAGTTATCTCCCCTAAAACTGTGTTGCCTCCCCTAATTAAGGATTTTATTTGATATGTTGTGTCTGCTTTTAACCTTGAATATTAATTCAATCTTTAATATACATTTTTGCTCAATTTTAGATTTCTATAATCCAGTTTTAGGTTTTTCATTTGTTAAATCACAAAAAAAATTGCTATATAAACTGGTTATATTTAAATTCTGTTGTGAAACTGGGTCTTGGTCTAACAAAGTTACTTCATTGTAGGTTAATAGTGGTGCTAAGGAACCAAGTTCATGTGTTTACTTTTCCTAACAATCCTCACAAACTGGATTCTTTTGATACCAGAGATAATCCTAAAGGTTTGTACTTAAAATTAATATTGAGTAGACTGAATTGTATTAGAAATACATAGAAGCGTTATTACCACTAAACAAGAAAGTTACTCTCAGGTGAGCTTTTATTATGTATTAATTGAACTGACTTTGTTCCTCAACAGTATTATGTTATGCTCAGAAGCTGGTTATTATACAGGCATTGCTGTCATTAAAATTTTGAGCATGTTCTGTTCTGTACAGGTATTTTCCTCCGTTATATATCGGAGCACTCCCACTTGGGATATAGGTTTAATGCTTAATCAAATATTTACATGGATATTTACACAGTGTGGTGGGGTGCTTATGTTTAAAAACTTTATATACAGGTAAGACTGTGAATTTTAAAAACAAGTATTTAAAATTATGTGCTATTTAGGTTAAAATTTATGATTTAAATACCACTTGGATTCCTTTTAATGAGACAATGGGATGCTTATAGTATACCATATGTTTAATAAGTTAAAAGATTTAAAATATGAAAAGTAAAAATATAGATAAAAGGATACAGAGGTAAAAATAAAGTTTATTAAAACAAAACAAAAAGAATGGGATTAAATTGTGTCAGTATGGTATCAGCTTTAGACGAGATTATCAAAAATGAAATATTAAAAGCATGATTATCATACTTAAACTCAGAAATTAACCAATCAAAATACTTCATTTAGTGTACTCTGAGTATTGGGTAAAGTTTTATGACCTAGAGCCCAAGTCTGCTAAAAATGAAAGTTCTCATTGATAAGGTTTTTCATCACACACAATTTCTTTTTTTTGTATTGTATTTAAAAAGAATTTTTGCACAAGTTTCACCATCAGACATCTAATTTCCTTAATCAACCATTAATACTGGCAATCCTTTGATTGGACAAATGTTTACATTCATTTTTCATAGTATGCTTATAGTAATTCTTTAAAAGTCTGTTAATCAAAATAACATACAGGTTCATTTTATGTTGCATTACACCCAGTGGCAAATGTATCATGAATATTGAGGATGAAGATAAATTTGTTAGCCTTAAATAATTGACAATTTGACATTCACCATCACAATGATTTGTAAAAGCAAAGTACATTAAAGACATATTGATGTAAATAAGCTTATCATGGATACTAGGATTAAAATTTTGTAAGCCAGACACGTGTTTCATCTACAAGAGACTCATCAGTGATGCTCTAACAATAAAGTTCAAAAGGCCAATCGAAAAGTATAAAGTTGAAGAGCATTGAGGACCAACAATTCTGAAAGGTTTTGCCAAATACAGCTAAGGTAATCTTTCTGTGAACCATCATTTATAAAAGTTTTGCCATTACATAATTTGATTATGGCACTACCATCATTTATAGATAAGGTAACCATTATAACTGGATTGCCGTTCTCCTGTTTATTAAAATCTCATTTGATTCTATTGTAGGTCTATGTGAAGTTAGTTCACTTGGACAAACTCTAGCATTTCCTGGACCAAAATGTGGAAGTGTTCAAATTGTGGTTTGTACTTTAGATAAAAAATATATTCAGATAATTATACACCCACTTGGAAGGAAGGTTGTCAGGGGTATACTGGTTTACGTCTGTCAGTTCATGCCTCTGTCCATCCATCCCATAAAATAGTTGTCATAGTTTTTTCAGGAGCTACTAATCAGAGCTTCTAGAAATTTGGTATCAATCTTCATGTGAGCATGCTGTAATGTGTAATGCATTTTCAAATTCATCACTTATCAACTTCCTATTTACAGAATCCTTATATCTTTTTGCACAAAATGGCCAACGATGAAAACAGGAACTATGAATCAGAGCTTCCTAAAATTTAGTTTCCATCATGCTATACCCTGTGATTGGTTTCCATATCCATTGCTTACCAGCTTCCTGTTTACCAAAGGGGGTATCATTAGTGAGCAATAGCTTACAGTTCAACTTGTTATTTTTTAAGGTTGGAAATGGAGAAAGTCCCACCTGCCTTATAGTGTGGCAGACTTAGAAAATACAAATGACCTCAATAGCTCTTACCCTTCTCAACAGTAAAATGCAATTATCTGTTTATTTTTGTACTATGACAAATTTCAGAAATATAAAAAAAAGATTGCAGCAAGCACCTGATCATTAAGTTAAAAACATGATTTTTCTTGGCTGAATTATTTGTTATTTAATAGAAATGTTGCTGTTTGAACCCTATGATTAAATGATTAAAGGTGCTTACTTTAAAATTGGTACATTTGTCTCTTAACTCTACTATTACAGGAAATCAAAAATGCAACCTATAATTTTGGCATGTCTTAAGAGCTTTTGTTGTCAAATTTAAAAGTTATTTATTATATTTTCAGAATCTAGACACAGCACAGCCAGGTCAGTCTACAGCACCTGTGATAATCAGTACCCATCAGACGGAACTTGCATGCTTAGCTCTCAATCAGAGAGGTACTTTATTGGCAACAGCTTCCAAAAAGGTAAAGGGAACTTATACTTAGGATTAACCCAGGGTGTAACAATTTATGAAAAGTTTCCTAATATCTAAAACATCTTAGTTAAAGAGAGGTAAGCGCCAATTAAACTTAGGTCAGTCTGTTTCATTTTTTGTTGTCCATATTTTATATAGAATCATTTACATTTATATGGCATTTAATGCTTGTATCAGCATCTGTCTGTCTGTCAGTCTAGAACTTTTATGATAGTCAAAACCTCCAAAAGTATGGGTAGGATGCTAAAAAAATTTGCACAGATGTTGTGCATAATAAGTAGATGTGCATATTTTATTAAATGAAAATTAGCAAATTGATTTTGAATAAAAAAGGTGTTTTTGTTTTAAAAAATATTAAAATATGGTATTGACTTAAAATTTTCTGCCTACTTTTTTGGGATTGTTTGATAAATGTCACTTATATAATCTGTTTCTCTGACAAGAAAGTTATGCATTTGCTGTGTACATTGTCAATGTGTTTTGCATACATTAAAATTTTGATTAAATAAGATGAATAAATTCATTTGTAAAGAACATTGTTGATTTGATGTTGTTTAACTTACAGGGTACATTGATAAGAGTGTTCGATATCAATACAAAGAAGAAGATAGCTGAGTTCAGGAGAGGAGCTGATCCTGCAGTAGTATACTGGTTTGTAACAAATTCTACCATTGTAATCAGTGTGATAAGACAGATTTTTACTCTTTATAGTTAACATTTTCGTATATACAACTTATATTTAACTCCATTTTGTGTTGAATTTATATCTTTGATTTCTCATGACATGAGTTGATTGATTTATTAAAATGGATTTTGCATATCTGTAACAGTTTCTGAGCTGAAAGGAATCAACCTTAAACAAATATTTACTATAAGTTTGATTTTCTTGTGATTATCCTTAGCAGCATGTTTAAATCACCTTATTCACCTATAAAATGAGCTATGTCGGATAGAAATCGACCTTATGCAAGTGCATGTATATGTGTACATGTATAAGACTTATATAGATCTTGGAACATTCAAATACGAAATAAAAGATGAATTATGGATTGTTTTTTAGGGGTCTCATAACATCTCAATTTTCAAACAGTTAATAAACTTTCGGTAGAGATTTTTCAAACCGAAATATGTTAACATATGTATTGATATTCATTTGCATATGGTCGATTTCTATCTGACTCAGCTCAAATATTGTATGATAAGTCCAGGGGATCCTGTTGGTTGGTCCTCATATTAATTATGTTGGGTAAACTTTAAAGTAATAGCACATGGGTAAACACACACCATTATCTGATAAAATACTCAGGGTAAAATCTTAAAATCAAATCAATAACACTACTACACACCACTTTATGTATAAATAGGTCATCAGGAGGAACATTTAAGATCATGCAGTGGATGAAGGTCACCAATACACATGCTATTCACTCTCTTTTAAAACGAATTTTCTGCATTTTATGTACTGTGGATTCATTAATATTCGTTGGATTTCGTGGGAACAGGGGAACCACGAATTAAAATGTTCAACGAAATACAAATTTTCTAAAGGAATGTATGCAAACTTTTCCAAAACCACGAATTTAAATATCCACGAATATGCAAGTTTTCCTCAATCCACGAAAATTGGTACCCACAAAAATAAATGAATCAAAAGTATTGATTATAGCATGATATTCTTTCAGCAGTTTTCATTCTTTAGCTAATCTCACATTTTTTCTGAAGTTGCATTTTACAATTTTAAATTAAAAGAATAATTATATGAAATATGAAGAATATACTTGAAAAATTAAGATTATGATTGAGAATATTTTATTTTTCAGTATAAATTTCAGTCATGATTCTGAGTTTCTTTGTGCATCGAGTGATAAAGGGACAGTGCATATATTTGCTGTACAAGACATGGAACTTAATAGAAGATCAACGTAAGTTGGAATAAACAAATATATTTGGTATTAATACAACAGGACAGGAATATCACAAATTATAAATGGTATTAAATGATTGATTGATTATTATTTGCTTACTGTCCAAAAGCAAATATCTAATGCATATTCAGGACTATGAATAAATCATATTTAAATTGAAATTCTTAAGTCCATTTATGATAAGCAAAGTTGAATGGGCCTTAAAAGTTACCTTAAAATCACCCATAAACCTTTCCTGAAACTGTGTAATAACCTCATATTTATGATTTTATTTAGAGCTATTCCATTAAAATGTATGTGGGAGGGTAGGAAGGGACTTTCAAAATATCCCTACAACCAAGAACCATTTTTTAGATAATTTTGCATAATGGTAATAGACGCATACTGAAAAAAGACTCATGACCCACATTCAATAATTAAACTTCCCTTCTTACCCTCCCACATACATTTTAATGGAATAGCCCTTATGAGAAGTCTCTTTAATTCCGGTGTTTTGTTAACTTTCACACGTTTATTATGTCAACCTTAAAGAGGTGTCTTCCTCCTATTCCCACTTTTTAAAATCACTATTCCTTCTATTCCCACATGAAAATAACAATAGATGTTTTGATAAATAATTTGTTTTTATAACAATCAAGGTTAATTAATAATTGACCTAAGATTTACCTGTATTTTTTTAAAAGAACACATATTTCTTTCGGTGTCTTCCTGCTATTCCTACATTTTATAAATTCATATTCCTTCTATTCCTACAAACAAAGAACAATAGATGTTGGTATAAGGTGTTTTGTTGTTTTAGCAATCTAAATTTGATTGAAATACAGGTAAGTTCAGGTAATCTGGAAAGGATTATTACAATGAAAAAAAAATAATAAAAAAAAGAAGATGCATTGTAGAGAATATAGAATAGAACAGTCCCCAAAAAATGTATTTCTGTAAAAAAAAAAATGTTTTAAAAATAATAAACCCTAAATAGGAATTTTGTTTTTAAAGTTTAATAGATATCTGTATGGGGATATTATTTTGTACAGTGATCTTTATTTATTTTGACTATGTTCTTATTAAATGGCGTTGATGCTATAGAATGAATGCTACAAAAGTATAAAATTTATCAAAATGAAAAAGACCAAGCCTAGTAGTAAATTTGGAGCTCTTTTTTTAACCAATCTATAAAACTCTTAGAAGGCATGCCATCGCCGATACTTCTATTCTTCATTCAAACCTAGAAGTAAGAGTTATATACTTTTAAACAGTCAAAACTTATGATAATAGCGAGAAAAAAATATATTCATTAAATGAAAGCAAATATCATGTGATTCAAGTTTTTCTTTTTACTTTTGTAAAAAAGGGTTGCAAACTTTCCAATATACTCTTAGGCATTAAAACGAATTTTTCGAAAAATATGACCTTACAAAATTCTTACGACAGTGTGGAAAATATAGTATAATATTTGTCTTGATATTAAGACCATTTTTAGCCGTGTGTTATTTTGTGAGATTAAACTCAAAATTTAGACGACTTTTAACACATCTGTCACTGCACTATATGTTGACTAATGTCCTATAATTTTGATTTTGTTTTGCTCATGTATTTGTAACAATTCCTATTACAGTGCTTAAATATTTTCCCATCAGGGACAGTCTATACTAACGGGACTGGTCACTTATAACAATGTCTATACAATTTTGCAGACAGAACTGTGCCGTCGCTGATGTCACATGACTTCAAAGCAAATCATTTCACATTTACGAAGTGTTCTTCATAACTATATGTTCAAGTTTAATGAAGTAACATTTTTATGAAATTTTATACATTTTGTCATTGCAAAATGCTGTTTTTGAAAAGATTTCACGGATAGTTTTTTAAATATAGATCTTTGAACTTTGAGGTATTTTGTTAGTAAGTCCCGTTGTATAGACTGTCCCTGAACCCATGTTTGTACAAGCATTCCTCCTATTCCTACATGAATTTCTTACATTTTAAATACCAGATTATCAAATGTAGGAATAGCAGGAATAAACCATTTCTTTCACTGTTTAAGTATATTTTGAAAAAAAAAAATTAATCCACTGTTTATTTGTAACATGTTTTTTTCCTATTCAAAGAATTACCTTAAAATAAAGAATAAATCAGATAAACAAAAGTAAGATTAAAAAATCATTGAATTTGTAAACCTAAATTTCTATTTTAATCGGAAAGCACAAGTACAAGAGGCCATCAAAAGAAAAGAACGTTCAGCTAAAATCCGAAAGTTTAATGAAAAATGTATAAACGCAAAAAATAAAATGAAAGGGTTTTGGAATTTCCTTAAAATAAAACGAACCGATATAGGACATAAAGAGCTTAATGATCCACATGATTTTGACAAAATATAAACGGCTACGGATGAGAGAAATAATGCCCTTTCCCACCATTTTAGCTCCATAGGTTCCTTTCAAAATGAAAATGGTGAACTTGAAAAAGAAGTTAAAAACCTAATAATAAATATTGACGAAAATTTATTAATATCAGATTCTCCCGGCCCCTACCGGTTACTTTCGACAAAAAGAAAATTTCACAGACTTTATACATTTCACACAATGGTTGAAGGTGCAATGTATCCACTGGTACACAGTTTAATTCCAGCCAAGAGCGAACTAGTACAAAAAAAAGGTATACACAAGGTTCCTGACTTTACTCAAAGATGTTTGTTTTTTCCATTATATACAATGCATCTGGAGAAAAGCATAAGGAGCGGGGATTCGGGTTCCATACAAGAAAGACAACAACATTCATCAAATAGAACGCCGTGCCGCTGTCCTTCCACTTTTACCTACTGCTGAGGTCGAAGATGTGTGGTTCAATGCCCTAATCGACATAGATCAGATTGATACTAACAGCAACTACACGCCCTTTACAGACTATGTAACAAAATACTGATGAGACCATTACACAACACAGGGACTGAGGACTACACATCATCTAGAGGGATGGCAAAGCAAGCTGATAAAACATGTCCAGCACCCACATCCAAACATCTTTAAACTCATAAAACTACTGAAACATGAGGAAGCTAATCCCTGACCATGATCCAGTATGCAGCCGATGGGAAGAGAGTGGCCCAAAAACGAAAGTATGTCGAAATCAACAACAGATTAGAAGAGCTTATGGATAGATATTGCAACTAGGAAGTTACAACAGTACAGTTTGGTGATGCAGCCTCCCACCTTATTCGCGTTGAATAGATTATTAAACATTAATAGATTTATATACAGTGAATTTCTAATGTGTGTGCTACAATGTGTGGTTTGTTTTAGTGCTGTTAACTTGTATTGTGTGTTTCATATTATAATGCTTGCTTGAATCTACTGTTGAATTTGTGTTATAAAAGAAATAAAATAAATTTACTTATATTTGTTTCCATTTCTTTCATATTAATTTGAATTAAAAACACAGAGTTTAACACATACAAAAATAACCTTTAACCTATCAAAAAAACACTTGTCAATTGAAAATTGATTAAACAATGTTTATACAGTATAATCCTTTGTTTGCACAAGTTTTCCCCCTATTCCCACATGAAATTTTAACTTTTCTTACCAGATTTATAAAAAGTGGGAATAGGAGGAATGAACCCTTAAAGATTACCAGTGGTGGATGCAGGGGGGGGGAGGGGGTTCTGAGGGTTGGAACCCCCGTTTTTTGACGATCAATACATTTGAATGGGGACATAAAGTTGGAATCCCCCCTATATCCGGGGTTGGGAACCCCCTTTTTAAAAATGCCTGGATCCGCCCCTGATTACATTCTTCCTCAGTACTGGTAATTTTCAACAGTTTAGTGCCACCTGTAAAATACCTTAACAAGTATCTTCTATTTAGTGATTTTCAACATTTCTTTATTTACAAAGCAGCCATAAGTACAAGTTACAATGTATGTACAACTGAGGATAAATTATAAAGGAAGATCAATTTTATTCTTTGATTTATGATAGTCATTTTTCCCATTCTTGATTTCTGTTTTTTTCTGTAAAAGTCCGACTACAACATCACTGGTCCAGACATAAACTTTTGGTTTGCATACTTTTATAACACTTAATTATTAATTTTTAGTATTTCAGATACTATTTCATATGACCTTCACACAAATAAAGTTAAAAAGATATAATTGTATGAAATGCCTATCAAAAATTAATATAGTATTTAAGGGAATACGATACAGTAGCAGGGGCAGATAATAACGTTTTCAAATCTTTTCGTGTTGTTTTCGCGACGTTGTTAATCAGAACGTTGTAATTTCGAGAAGTTTCTAATAAGAACGATAACATTTCGCGACATCGAGTTAAATGTAGTCACATTTGCGGAAAATCCACTGACGTCATAATTCCGGTTGCGCGAATTTGAAACAAAGTACCTGTTAAGAAAATCGGCCATATCACGTCATAATTCCGGTTGCACGAATTTGAAACAAAGAACTGCTAAGAAAATCGGCCATATCACGAGAAAATTGTTATATTTATTCATTAATAATGAGGTCAACCGTATTAACTTGAAATGAGAAAAAAATCGAACCACATTCATAATTTTGTATGCGTTTTATTTCATATAGGAAATGAATAAAAGATGTGTAAATAATAATACGTCGATGAGACAGAAATCTAATTACACAAAAAGCCCAATAAGTAATTTAGATATCAACTTACTGTCTTGATCAAAACATAGTATCTTCACCATTTTGCAAACTCTAAATCGTATGGAAAATTTTACAGATAAATTTAACAGAGACTATCAACAAAATGACAAATAGCATGATAAATAAAGACAACACCCAATACTGTTCCTGACTTTGAATAAGTATACTAAAAAGTTAAACGGCATTTTTAGAATTTAACCCAGTGGAATATATATGTGTACATGTGTATGAAAAAGAACTGTCAGTTAAAAAGACACAGTTATAAGCCCCGTATTATAGACGGAATGACAGACAGAAGGACGGACTGACATACAGACAGGGGTAAAACAATATGCCCCCCCCCCCCCCCCCCCCCCCCCCCCCCAACAACAACAACGGAATTGGGGGGAGGGGTATAGAAATACCCTGAAGACAAGCTTATGCAACTTATCTATTGATACAGAATAATGCAATGTCATGCTCTAATACCGACTGCTGTACTTCCTATGAAATGTTTAACTACACCGTAATGGACTATATTGAGATAATTACGACATGAATTTGCTCGAAACAGCTCTAAATATTCACTTTTTAAACATGTTCAGAGTAGTTCTAAGCTGACCCGAGTTAATGTGGGTATGGTATTGTGTTCATATAATGCCTATATAGTAGGCCGTTAGTTTTCTTGTTTAAATTGATAACATTTTTATGTCGGGGCTTTTTAAAGCTGACTTTATAGTGTGGTTTTTTTTTTTGTTGAAGGCCGTACGGTGACCTTTAATTTCGTTCATCTTTGAACTATGGTTGATAGTTGTTCTCATTGGCAATGATACCAACTGTCCTTATCTTTATAGTATCCCACTTACTTTATAATTGTTTCATATTTTGTCATGTCGGGGCTATTTGAATAATTGAAATTATGCCCAAGTTGTGTTGTCTACATGAGTTGACGGACAAATGTCGGACAGAGATGCAAATTTTTTTTTTATCAGATTTATCTTTTTTGTTTCCGCACCTTTCTTTTCTAAAAGTATTTGATTTTTGTATCCAAGTTTCGTAACAATTCATAAAAGTTTGGCAAATATGTTATGCTATTTTACGAGTAACCAGCTTTGAAATTTTGATGATTAATACATTGTATCATTGTTTTCGAAAAAAACCTTGGCTATACCAATGAACTTGACAGCCTAATCGTGAACGGCGGGAATGATTTCACGACGTTATTGCGATTAAAACTTATTTCAACGTAGTTTAGCGCCCTATTGGCAACCTATTGGTTTGTCATTACAAAATCAAGGTTTATTGCTTTTATTGAAAAAACAAGCACATGGACCCCCAGTTTTTTCTTTTGCAATCAATCAAATAATGTTTAAAGAACGCTCCGCCAAAATTTTAAGAAAAAATCAACCGAACTTTTTCTGCACTTCTGAAAAGACGCAAAAATATTGCTAATTTCTTTATTTCACTAATAGTAATATAAATTCTGAAATAATTATTTGGTTTAACTTTAAACTTGTTACAGAATGGTCATGCCATGGACCAAGGGAACATTTTACAAAAAACCCGGTTAAGTTATGACTGTTCGTTCAAAAGTATTGTAACTTTCCTTAAAAGTCCTTTTTTGTGAAATATTAGGGTTTTCGCTCCAAATATGCAAATTTCGAACCAAATTATCTCAAAAAGTAAGTCATGAAGGTATATTTTTCTTTGCATATTTCAAAAGTACACATTGAAATTGACCTTGTACCAAAATTTCAAGAAAAAATCAACGAGGAATCTCTACTGTATCGTATGCCCTTAAGTAAACTTACTGAAAAGGTACAGGTTGATTATCAATGTTGAAAAAATGTTAGTTTATAATAGTTTCCCTTTTTTTCTTGTAGATTTAAGACGATGGGGTTTTTAGGGACATATGTTGAATCACAATGGGGTTTGGCTAACTTCACTGTAGCTGCTGAATGTGCATGTATTTGTGCATTTGGACCAAGCCATTCTGTGATAGGTAAGTTTTTTTAATTCATTAAAAAATGGATAAGTCTAATATTATAAAAGAACAGAGTTCCAATGTCCCCTTTTGCACATATTTTATCTATCCAAGGGCAATAACTAAAAAAAACTTTTTTTTTGTTCTTTAAAACTTTTTACAAATATCTTAAGAGAAATGAAGGCTTGAGAGCAAATACAATGCAATTTCTAAAATATAATTAACATTTCCAAGGGCATAACTCCTTTTAAAAATATTTGATCGGCACTGATGTTTGAACTTATCCAAGACATTGCTGATATGAACCTATGATATAAGTTTTATAAAAATCTGGCACGAATTGTACATGTGAGCGCGCTAACAAGACTGGACAGACGGACACCCTGTATTTCTATGTCCCCCGCAATGCATCACGGCTTGACAAAAAGGCTTTATAATAAGACAATATGAAAAGGAGATGAATGCCCTCATTGTATGGTATATGTCAATGAGGAGGCAACCAAATAACAAAAAAAAAAATAATGAGGTCAACATAATCACCAGCTATGGTCAAGTGTCAAGCAATTATCATGTCAAAATTGATCTGTTAATTTTTGGGGAAATATCATATGAGCACATCTTCAACAGAAAGATATTTTATTCTCATCAACATCTGTGATTAAGATTTCTTGTAGCAAGAACATTTTTAGGCAAGGTTGTTGCTCTTAACAAAATATAAATACCAAGATCTCAATATGAGGCTTATAATTATATATCTATTTTTGCTGTTTTTCTTTAAATACAACAAGTTTGAAGACCTAAAGAATACATGTAATAAAAATAAAATATTCAAATATTGATATCAGAAAAACTGTTAATTTCCTGTAAACAATAATTATGTTAATATGTTGATGTCAGTCTATGGATTTATAATACTTTTTGACTTTCAAATTTTAGGGACTCAAACTGATCTTATGATATCTTCTTTTTAGATGTAATACTTGCAATGAGATATTGGATTTATTATCATTTCTATAATTATATTTTCAGCAATATGTGTTGATGGGACATTTCATAAATATGTGTTCACTACAGGCGGCAATTGTAACAGAGAGGCTTATGACAATTTCCTGGAGATGGGAGATGATTTGGAATAATCAATTGTTGTTAATTGAGTCAGATTTTATGTTTATGAATATGTGATTTGTTATATTTAATTTTCTTTAACTTTTGAATTCTTTAAGTAAAAGTTTGTTTAAGCTTATCTGACTCAAAATGCTATATGAGATATTGTTATCATTATTTTACCCTTTACAAATTAAGTTAAGACGTGTACAGGTCTATTTGTCCATAAATTTTATATAAATTAAAATCCTCATTTAGTAAGTAAAATATATGAAGATGTGCATGAAGCAAAGCAAAATCTGATCATACATTTTGAAGGGGGGAAAATTTGACATCACGGTTGGAAGATACTTCTAATACCACCCACAACCAATATAATATCTTTTAGTATCTTTGTATACACCAAATGGACATACAACCACAAAAGACCCAAGACCATGTCCAAGAATAAATGTTCCTTCCTACCCACCCACATTCATTTTCATGGAATAACCATTATTATCATGGCTTCACATTTTTCCAACAAGAGTTTTTCATTTCAAATCACTTGTTGTTATTTTTCCTTGAATAAGTTTTTTTCCATTATTTCTTTCTTAAAAATGATTTATTGATTATTTAAAATATCTGACGATTGCAAAAATATTGAATTTTGCATTTCAACTTTAGGTTATTTATAGTTTGACTGATGAGTTTCTAACATTGAGGATTGTATATGACATATATCTGATGAGTTTCTAACATTGAGGATTGTATATGACATATATCTGATGAGTTTCGAACATTGAGGATTGTATATGACATATATCTGATGAGTTTCTAACATTGAGGATTGTATATTGTTCTTTAGATTATGTAAATTGCTTGCAATGTTTGGTTGCTTTTTCAATGGCAATTTTTTACCTCACATTTATTGTGCTCATATAAGAAGTATTTATATTATAATCATATTGTTGCCATTTCATATTTTAAAGATGGAATAAAACATAATATTAGTTATATAGTTGTTTTAAATGTTTTATAGAAATGATAAACTGTTGACACAAGAGATTTGTCTCGTCGGCAGAAAATTCGAACAAAGACAATCTGATGGACAGCAACATTGCTAATCAATTCAAAGTCGCTGGACCATGACCATGTACTGATAGTTATGCAACCTTATACATACATAAAATGCTCCGCTGGGGCGCAGCTTGATACGACCGCAAAGGTCGAACCCTGAACAGTTGGGGCAAGTATGGACACAACATTCAAGCTTGATACAGCACTGAATTTGGATTGTAATTAAATATTTGACACAGCATAGGTTTCTGACACAGAATGAATGTGGTCCAAGAACTTAAAAAATTTTAATTTACCTATTCAAACCATATCATTATTATTTGCTTTTATATATAAATCTAAAATTTTCCAGAAAAAAATGGTGAAAAAAAATCCCCCCCCCCAAATTTTTTGAACCCCCTTATGATTCATCACCCCCAAACTCAACCTCACCTTCCCTTTGTGGTATGGTACCTTGCAGTACAATTTCAGAGAGATCCATACACTTGAACACAAGTTATTGTCTGGAAACTAGAAAAATGCTTATTTTTGGCCCCTTTTTGGCCCCAAATTCCTAAACGTTTAGGGCAATTACCCCCAAACTCAAACCCAGCTTTCCCTTTGTGATATGGAACCTTGCAGTACAATTTCATAAAGATCCATACACTTACACACAAGTTATTGTCCTGAAACTAGAAAAATGCTTGTTTTTTTGCCCTTTTATGGCCCCTTATTACTAAAAATTTGAGGGAATTACCCCCAAAATCAATCCCAGCCTTCCCTTTATGGTATGGTACCTTGCAGTACAATTTCAGAGAGATCCATACACTTGAACACAAGTTATTGTCTGGAAACTAGAAAAATGCTTATTTTTGGCCCCTTTTTGGCCCCATATTCCTAAACTTTTTGGGCAATTACCCCCAAACTCAATTCCAGCTTTCCCTTTGTGATATGGAACCTTGTTGTACAATTTCATAAAGATCCATACACTTACACACAAGTTATTGTCATGAAACTAGAAAAATGCTTGTTTTTTGCCCCTTTTTGGCTTCTTATTCCTAAAATTTGGAGGCCATTACCCCCAAAATCAATCCCACCATTCCCTTTGTGTTATGGAACCTTGTGATACAATGTCAGAGAGATCCATACACTTACACACAAGTTATTGTCATGAAACAAGAAAAATGCTTGTTTTTGGCCCCTTTTTGGCTCCTTATTCCTAAAATTTGGAGGCAATTACCCCCAAAATCAATCCCAGCATTCCCTTTGTGATATGGAACCTTGTTGTACAATTTAATAAAGATCCATACACTTACACACAAGTTATTGTCATGAAACTAGAAAAATGCTTGTTTTTTGCCCCTTTTTGGCCCCTAATTCCTAAAATTTGGAGGCAATTACCCCCAAAATCAATCCCAGCATTCCCTTTGTGTTATGGAACCTTGTGATACAATGTCAGAGAGATCCATACACTTACACACAAGTTATTGTCATGAAACAAGAAAAATGCTTGTTTTTTGCCCCTTTTTGGCCCCTAATTCCTAAAAATTGGAGGCAATTACCCCCAAAATCAATCCCAGCATTCCCTTTGTGATATGGAACCTTGTGGTACAATGTCAGAGAGATCCATACACTTACACACAAGTTATGTCTGGAAATTACAAAAATGCTTATTTTTGGCCCCTTTTTGGCCCCTAATTCCTTAACTGTTGGTACCATAACCCCCAAAATCAATCCCCACCTTCCTTTTGTGGTATTAAACCTTATGGTAAAATTTCATTGAGATCCATTCACTTAAACTAAAGTTAGAGTGCGAAAACTAATGTGTCTTCGGGTGACGACGACGACGCCAACGTCATACCAATATACGACCACAAAAATTTTTTTGCGGTCGTATAAAAATATCATTGATTTATCACAAGTAGTTCTTATCAAACTGACTTTAAGCAGAAAACTTAACATTGAAAATTGATTATAAATTCAGTCACTGGACCATGACCAGGGGGCAGGGCCTTGAAATAGTCAAATGGTCAAACTGATTGTATTTTGTGCCACTTTTTACATGACTGATATACCCATTGATCACTTATTTAATATTCCATATTACATAGTTAAGATTCATAAATAATATTTTTTAGGAAAAAGTTTGTATTCACCACTCTAGAATATAAACAAACTAGCTTGAAAAATCTTTGTCAAACATCTGATTTGTTGCATCAAAAAGCTGTTAGTCTATTCTACAATGTCACAGAATGAGAAATGCTAGACCTCAGAATGCTCATCCTGTGACAGTAGTGTTGTCTTTTAATATAAAGCTTTGTATTTCAGAAGAGGTGGATAATCCATATCTCTAGGCATATTTCTGTTGTGTTTGGACCAAGTTTTCAAGGGTCAAAAACTGCCAAATACCTTTTTTTCAGTCATTACAAATAGTATGACATTTATAGTTGGTATATAGAATAACTGAAAGTATACATGTCTGTCAGACAGAGGCCTTATTTCATGGTTCAGTATTCGGTATTTTTTTTTCCTGTTCCGTCAGAATAAACCTTCATAGGAATACTCATGGTTGAAATCTGCAGACTCATAAGCAGCTGTAATGTCAATGGTGAATAGTCTTGAAGGCCTCACTATGAGTTTGAGATTAGGAACAGCCAAATATAGTGTGGTTCTTATTTTTTTCATGAATACAGAGTGATTTTGTGTCCTGCATTGACACCACATATCCTCCCCAAATATATTCTTAGAAGAGTTTTTAAGCTCTATATCAAAAATATGGTTTCAATCAGTAGACATTTTTTGCAGACTTTGAAATGCATTGTTTGTCTTGAAAAGGCATAGATTGTCAATTTGGCTCACATGGGAGCAGCTGCGTTAAAAATTGTATACACCTTATTGCTATTTATTCAAATATAGATAAGTTCTAAAATTACACAACTTTTTCATCCAGTTGAAGCTTTCTGGGGCCCTGTTTAAACAATGTTTATATGCATAAAATTTTTCAAAGAGAAATGTTTAAACCATCGTACACACTTCAAACAAGGCATTTTTATTACTTTAATTTGTGTTTAAAAAAAGTGAATCATAATCTATCAAAGTTTCAAAATGTGTGCTTTCTAAACTTTTTCCTATCTTAGCTCTTTACTGATGACCTTTGTTTTTGCAACACTTGACCCAAACAGGAAGTTGTCTAAGTCCTGATTTGACTAAATGGCAATGAATAAGGTGTATTTTATGCTGTAATAAGTAAGAATCAGACTAAATGGTGAGATTGTTTATTTACAGTTGCTATCAAAGGAATAAAAACTTTCCAAAATCTGCTGAACACATTACAACTTCAATACAGAAGAATTTGGAGAATAAATCTTTTTCGTTTAAATATATTTAAAATCATTTGAGTTTCCTTATACAGAAAGAAGACACAAAAATCTGTTTATTAATATGCAATACCAAATTTATACATAGTATCTTCCTCGAAAAAAATCTTGAAGATTTTTCAGTCACATATACTTTATCACCATGGAAATTTAAGACGAAGTAATGATACTTTTTTTTATGGAAACAAACGACTCCCAGAGCCAATATTTATGTCTCCTCATTTTAAGAAGTTATTGTACATATATCATAAATACAACTAAACAATGTAACATTCATATGATGTGTTCATTTGTTTATCATAAAAGGTGAGGTAATAATATTACACATCATATGATACATTTTATAGCAAAGGTCACTCATGCATTAATTAAGAGGTTTGCAAGGGGTCAATTCTATTCAAATTGTTATCATAAACATTGCTTACTTTTAATATGGAAAGTCTCATGTAAAGGATGTTCGCTCCACTTGTTTTTGAATTTTTGCCACATATTCGGAATCCTCTGGTTTTATCCATGTAGTGCCATTAAAAATTTTGCCCACTAACCCCTACTTTTCTTTCCATAATTTGAATATAGTTTAAAATGTCATCTTTGAAAATCTTATAAAATCCTTGTTATTTTTTCATCATTTTTGAAAGAAAAAAGGTGCCAATGTTAAATGTATAAAAAATCTAGAGAATTATTTTCCGCAAAATTTTCAATGGCTTATATCTCGAAAACAAGCACCATACCCTTAATTTTTTCTGCTTTTTTAGTTTCTTTATTCATATGCTATCAATTAATAACAGTCTTTTAAAAACCTTGTGATTTTGAAACAGAGAAGTGAACATCTTTAAACAATTGGTTCAAGTAAATTTGCTTTGGATATATCTAACTTTACACTATAGCAATCAATTAGTTTTATTTATCACATAATTAGTAATAAATACAAGTAAATTACATTTCATGTGTAATACCATTAATGGCAATCGTGCTGTTTCAGCCAACTGTGATGACATCGATATCAGTCACGGATTGAAAGGCTTTACTAAACCCCTAATCTGTAGTACTACAAGTTACGTTCAAAACATCTACTTTAGGTATATAATATGGCCTTTTCAATAATTAACCCTCAACTATTATAATCCCTCTAGCAGAGCTCTAGGGATTGTATTGGTATCAGGTTGATATGGGTGTGGTATTGAAATGCCATCGAATAATCTCTACATAATATTCTCTGAAACAAACAGAAAACAAGTGACCACTTACAAGAAAATTGGTAAATGGTGAGTGACCCATGCTGTAAACTTTTATAAATTGCTGAATGCATACAAATATACAATTTAACAATATATCACACTATTTCATCCTTCTTATGCTCTTAAAACATTTATATCTACATACATCATATAAAAACACACTCTTCACAACATACATACAATTACAAAATACACAACAATCCTTGGAATAAGAAATCATGGAATAAATTATTATATTTGACCTTCTGTTTTATTAATAAGACATGTTTATATCTAAAGGAAGAATTTTAGTTTGATTTTATTAAGTACAACTAGCCAAAAAAAAATCTATAGTAATTTATATAAAATCACATTTGAAAATAATTTTTTTAACAAAATAAGACATGTTTAAAATAAAAATAAATGGTGAATTAATTTACTATTACAGGATAGTTTGCAGTCTTTTAATTTGTTTTAAATAAATTGGATCTTTTCCAAACATTTTAGAATTTTATCTCAAGTAACTTCTTTCATTTACAGATCTGCTGTTATGAAAGTGACAAAACTTTGATATTTAATTTTGGCTTCCACAACATTAAATACTTATACTCAACACTTCAACAGTATAAGTTACTGTGAAGTCTCCTCAAGGTTTGAATTAACATTCTGTATAATTACAAGATGTCTTCTGGGTTTTTTATGTGTTTTTTTGGTTGCTGTCTCACTTATATAAACTACATCTCCATTTTTTCAAATACTGTATTACAATTACAATATATTCAGACCTTTGAGGTTGTTACGGATATTTTACAATGCTACATATATACATATTCTTTCCTTAGCCTTGAACAGGCCATTCCAGAAAAATAAACACTGTCCCAGTTGTATATAAACCTTAACTAATGAATATCAAGAAATTTCTGATACAGATAAGGTTTCATAACACTTCCGACTTCATGATTAAGATAAGTTTCATCGACACTACAACATATAGGATAAATGCCTTAGAAAAACATTTCAGATCATGAAATATTTGCAGAATTAAAATAGTCTTTTCATTAAAACCTAGTTTTATTTATATGTCTGCAACTTTCATAACAGGCTTATATTTCCCAAAATAAACTTGAGCCAAAATCAGTCTTTTTGTTCATATCATGTTTTGTTCATACCATGAACAGTTGTTTGTTTTTCATTAAGAACATAAGCTTGATATCTTTCACAACATGAAAACAAGATAAGGAACTAATCCAAATGTATTTTCTACACAATTCTGTTAAATCAAACAGTTATAAAGTACAGATTAAAATCTAACCAAAAGACAATACAAATCACATTATAACATTTACAATATTAATGCATTCTTTTAAATTCACTTGGAAAAATCATATGCAATATATAAACATGATTGATATTTGTATGAAAATAGATATACAAATTGAAATGAAGAAAAAACAGAAAAAATGATACCTTAAATCAGTCATCATCACATTTGTTCCAACAAAACAGCACTACATTTACGTTAAATATCTGAGAATTAACAAAATTATATTAAAACAAATCTGTCAAATTACTTGGCAAAAATTACTAAGCTACAACAAAAAATCTTGTTTCTGAAGTAACTAATCTAACGAAAGACTATATATCAAAATTAAAGTTGTAATCTCAAAGTATCATTCATTTATTATTACCTTTGAGCATAGAAATATCAATGAAAGAACAATTTGAAAAACTTGAATGAATATTCATGAAGATTTAAATTTTTAACTGTCAGAATGGAAAAAGTTTTATTAAAATGAAACTGCAAATTTATGATAAAAATTTATCCAACAAAGAACATGTGCATGATTGTTTTATTTTTCCGAGTTTAGTTATAACATACAAATTATCTTGACTGTTTATTAATATAACATAAGCCACGTTTACATTTTGGGTATTTAGCTGAATTTGCTATGAACAACTGTAGACCTTGCTCCAAATAACCTGACGCCATGCAAAAATCACTTTTTAATTATGACTACAAATGTTTAAAATTGTGATGCAAAATTCTGCGTGAACTTGTGTGATTTAAAGTAATGGCAGACAAATTTGCATACAAGTGTAAATATGTCTTTAAAAGGCAAGCTAAAGCCCTTTTTAATATTAAGGTTTGAATAAATTTTAATAAGCTACATAAGCTTTGACAGACAATTAAAAAAAAATTATAAATAAAAGATTGATATCACATATAAATTAAACAACTATTTAATAAATTATAATCATGCATATATCTCTTGTAATCTGTCACACGAAGGTGTCTCCATTTTTGAAGCTTTATCATATAACCTAGCATCTGCATAATTTCTGGCTTTCCACAACATATTTTCTTCTGGAAATAGAAAGAATAGTTATATTAAAGTAAAACTGAAGAAATATCAAACTACACAGTAATCACTTGCTATACATTCATCCAAAATCTAAATGACCTGAAAGTTCAAATTTGAAACTTTGAACTTTTTAAAATACTAAGCATTTTCTACCCCAGGATAAGACTACCTTAGCTGTAGTTAGCAAAACCTCACAAAATTTTGGGTTTTCAGTGCTCTTCAACTTCATACTTAATTTGGCCTTTTTAACTTTTTTTATTTGAGCGTCACTGATGAGTCTTTTGTCGATGAAACAGGCATCTGACGTACAAAACTTTAATCCTTTTATCACGATGAGTATATTGCTAAACATTCATTAAAAATCTTAATGTCATGAAAGCAGTCTTCACGCTTAGCCAGGCCCAGCAGCCCAGGCTTGTCATGAAAGCAGTCTCCACGCTTAGCCAGGCCCAGCAACCCAGGCTTGTCATGAAAGCAGTCTTCACGCTTAGCCAGGCCCAGCAGCCCAGGCTTGTAACATTGCTTTCGGGCCTGTTAAGATCATCTCTACAGGCCAACAGAATTTAACTAAAATTTTCCAAAAATTGAGCTCCGGGCCTGTAGATTTAAAAGTAAATTGTGAAGACTGAATGACATTAAATTGGATGCAAACTTTGTAGTCAAAAATTTAATACAGTATATCAGATAATTCACATTCATGGAATATAATTTTTAGGTTTGCTTTCAATATCTGTTTGTGCAATGTACAAAATGATGTATTTATTATTTTTTTGCCATTCTGGCTCTATGTCACCATGCTAAATTTTAAGATTGAACTCTAAAGCTGAATTAAAGGCATTTATAAACTATAGGCGATGTGTTAATATAAGTATAAAACACCATTAATATAACTATTTTTCTGCAATTTTTTTAAAGAAATAAAAATAAGGTCATGAAGTGATGTAACATTCATTTTGATGACTTGAAGTAAAAAAGGTCAGAAATCCTTTTCAAATAGTTGATAAGAAATAGTGATTGTATTTTATCAGTATTTCATGCTTGTGAAAGTTATTCCAAAAAAATTCAGTACAAGAAGTGTAATGATATGAGTTGACATTTACAAGTTTACTTAACTGTTCATTATGCATAAATAAACAGCTGCGCCATGAGCACATGATACGCCCGTCGCATTTTTTACAAATAAAGTTCAATAACTTCTCAATGTCATATCAGAAATTTATGAAAAACTAAAAGGAGGTTATCTTAATTGATATAAACCAGTCACCAAGGTTTAATGAAAACTGATCAAAGCACTTTAAAGGTATTGTCCGAAAACTAGAAAATCACCCCTTTTTTATGAATAAAATCCCATTTAAAACTCGGAAGTGTAAAATCTAAAATTTATAAAAATTGAAAGGGAGCTTACATCAATAGATATAAACAATTCTCCAAAGTTTCATGAGAACTGCTGAAAGCATTTTTGAGTTATTGTCCGAAAACTGGAAAATCCCCCTTTTTTTTTAATGAATAAAACTCCATAACTCGCAAACATAAAATCTAAAATTTATAAAAAACGAAAGGGAGCTCATGTCAATAGATATGAACAATTCACTAAAGTTTTATGCAAATTGGTTCAAGCGTTTTTGAGTTAATGTCCAACATGTTGACGACGGACAGATGGACAGACGGACAATGGTATACCATAATACGTCCCGTAAAAGGGCGTATAAAAAGTAAACAAAATTCAACTAGAATAAGGTCTACAAAAGACAAATTTTTTAATGTAGCCAAATGTAAATAATACTTGATTAGAGAGCTTTCAACAACTGATATGAATAAAACAAAGAGATAATAACAAACAAACTATTTTATCACCTTGATTCACGTCAAATCACATTTGACATCCAAGACAATGATGACGAAAGACATTAAATGATCCAAATATATTGCTACAGCTTTGCTGTTAAGCAACACAATATATAAAACTTTACCTCTAAAATGATTAATTTCTGTATACAAAAATCTAAGCAAACCGTGGCTGGGGTGTGATTCTTAAATTTGACAAATATGTACATGCAATGAATCTTATCTAATCTAATTCACCGAAGTTCTGATACTACTGCAATCTGACATCAAGTTAGATAGACTATTAGTAGAACTTACTATAACTCCTTTCTCTCCAACAACTGTTACGTAAATTTGAAATATATTCTTCTTCTACTTGTCGTTCTATTCTCCGTAATTCTGCTCGACTTTCCATTTGATAGTCTTTTTTAAGGAAATATGGAACATTTAAATTACTTGTTTTTCTACTGATCGGATGTTTACTGAAATATAAGAAATACAATTTGTTATTAATAATGATTTTTAAGGTAAAACAGTAAAAGCAAATTATTTCTAGTGAATTTATCTGATTCAAGACGCTATAACAAATCAAATAATTTACACTATAAAGTTTTCCTTAGGGCTGTTCCAGAAATAAATGTATAGGGGGGTCGGGATGCACTTTTCATCTTACCATACGGTGCAAAAAAGTGTAAAAGATTATTTCCTATAATTGTTCAGATTATCTTTGGGAAATAATCACCATCCTTCAATTTGTAATAGTATCCATACAGTCAGGAGCCTGTTGTTCAGCGGTTGTCGTTTGTTGCTGTGGTTCATAGGTGTTTCTTGTTTCTCGTTTTTTAAATAGTTTGACTGTTGGTTTTCCTGTTTGAATTGTTTTTACACGTCATTTTGGGGCCCTTTATAGCTTGCTGTTCCGTGTGAACCAAGGCTCTGTGTTGAAAGCCGTACTTTGACCTATAATTACTTTTTATACATTGTGACTTGGATGGAGAGTTGTCTCATTGGATCTCATACCACATCTTCCTATTTATAATCAATTCTAGAACAGTCCTTACTGCTAATTGCGTTCAAGATTTGATTTTTTTGTGAGCTTTGTAGGTACAACTATTTCTCTTTTTACATAGAGCTACTTTAGTTTCAACAACTGATTCTTTTTTTAACAGGCCTTGATAAAAATAATACAGAATTTACAACCTATAAGAAAATAGGCTAACACAAGAATGGTTTCCTTTTCAAGTTTTTATATTATTTGAATATTGACTAAAAGAAAAATAACAACAATCCCTAATTTAGACTTACTCTGACTGTTGTAAACTGTACAAAGGTTCACCAACTAGGAAACTACTCAGTACTGAGAGAAAGACTAATAGTAAAATTGGTGCAAGCTGAAGTAACAATGTATAACTTGCCTGAAATGAAAACAAAATCAATGTAATTTATTCAAATACTGGAATATTTGTTTTTCAACAGAATAAAAAAAACTTTGAACAATTTCAGGTAGAAAATAATTTCATTAATTTCTCAGTTTACACTACAAAAGCTTCATAATTTTACTCCCTGCTGATATTTACAGTATCAATATGAATATAACCTGATAATCAGTATACCTTTGTATTATCTACATTTTTGTTCCATCTGTTTTTTTTTGTACTGTAAATTCAGAAATTTGTGTGAGGATTTTATTGTAGTGAATAATGCGACTACTTGAGTATCGCAATAATAATAAAATGCTCCGCAGGGCGCAGCTTGATACGACCGCAGAGATCGAACCCTGAACTGTTGGGGCAAGTATGGACACAACATTCAAGCTTGATACAGCTTTGCATTTGGATTGTGATTAAATATTTGACACAGCATAGGTTTCTGACACAGAATGAATGTGGTCTAAGAACTTAAAAATTTTAAATTGGACATTCACCTATTATGGTCCAATATCCAAAATCTAAATACATGGTTAGATTCAGCATATCAAAGAACCCCAAGAATTCAATTTTTGATGAAATCAAACAAAGTTTAATTTTGGACCCTTTTGACCTCAATGTGGACAAAGTTGATAACGGGCCCAAAAATCAAAAACCTAAATACATGGTTAGATTCAGCATATCAAAGAACCCCATATATTCAATTTTTGTTGAAATCAAACAAAGTTTAATTTTGGACCCCGATTTGGACCAACTTGAAAACTGGGCCCATAATCAAAAATCTAAATACATGTTTAGATTCAGCATATCAAAGAACCCTAAGAATTCAATTTTTGTTAAAATCAAACTAAGTTTAATTTTGGACCCTTTGGACCTTAATGTAGACCAATTTGAAAACGGAACCAAAAATTAAGAATCTAAATACATGGTTAGATTCGGCATATCAAAGAACCCTAAGAATTCAATTTTTGTTAAAATCAAACTAAGTTTAATTTTGGACCCTTTGGACCTTAATGTAGACCAATTTGAAAACGGAACCAAAAATTAAGAATCTAAATACACGGTTAGAATCGGCATATCAAAGAACCCAAATAATTCAATTTTTGATGAAATCAAACAAAGTTTAATTTTGGACCCTTTGGACCTCAATGTGGACCAATTTAAAAACGGGGCCCAAAATCCAAAAACTAAATACATGGTTAGATTCAGCATATTAAAGAACCCCAAGAATTCAAGAATAAAACCCCATTGAAATTGGTCAAGAAATAAGCAATTTATACGAAGTATCTTCTTTTGCACAATACTGTGCAATTAAATATTTCTTGCTATTGTGCAATACTGTACAATTGACAATTTCTTGCCATTGCGCAATATTGTGCTATTGGATATTTCTTGCTATTGCGCAATACTGTGCAATTGAAGATTTCTTGCTATTGCTCAATACTGTGCAATTGAAGATTTTTTGCTATTGTGCAATACTGTGCAATTGAAAATTTCTTGCTATTGCACAATACTTATTATATAATAATCTACACATCCTGTTTGGTGTGTATCTCCTACCATATCATTATTATTTGCTTTTAAATATAAATCAGAAATAACCAACTTAAAATGGAAAATTTTAAAAGAAAAAAAAAAGGAAAAAAAAAAAAATCCCCCCCCCCCCCCAATTTTTTGAACCCCCTTATGATTCATCACCCCCAAACTCAATCCGAGCCTTCCCTTTGTGGAATGGTACCTTGCAGTACAATTTCAGAGAGATCCATACACTTGAACACAAGTTATTGTCTGGAAACTAGAAAAATGTGTTTTTGGCCCCTTTTTGGCCCCAAATTCCTAAACGTTTCGGGCAATTACCCCCAAACTCAAACCCAGCTTTCCCTTTGTGATATGGAACCTTGTAGTACAATTTCAGAAAGATCCATACACTTACACACAAGTTATTGTCCTGAAACTAGAAAAATGCTTGTTTTTTGCCCCTTTTTTGCCCCTAATTCCTAAAATATTGAGGCAATTACCCCCATCATCAATCCCAGCCTTCCCTTTGTGGTATGGTACCTTGCAGTACAATTTCAGAGAGATCCATACACTTGAACACAAGTTATTGTCTGGAAACTAGAAAAATGTGTTTTTTGGCCCCTTTTTGGCCCCCAATTCCTAAACGTTTCGGCAATTACCCCCAAACTCAATTCCAGCTTTCCCTTTGTGATATGGAACCTTGTAGTACAATTTCAGAAAGATCCATACACTTACACACAAGTTATTGTCATGAAACTAGAAAAATGCTTGTTTTTTTGCCCCTTTTTTGGCCCCTAATTCCTAAAATTTTGAGGCAATTACCCCAAAAATCAATCCCAGCATTCCTTTTGTGATATGGAACCTTGTGGTACAATGTAAGAGAGATCCATACACTAACACACAAGTTATGTCTGGAAGTTACAAAAATGCTTATTTTTGGCCCCTTTTTGGCCCCTAATTCCTTTACTGTTGGTACCATAACCCCCAAAATCAATCCCAACCTTCCTTTTGTGGTATTGAACCTTGTGGTAAAATTTCATAGAGATCCATTCACTTAAACTGAAGTAAGAGTGCGAAAACCAATGTGTCTTCGGACGACGCCAGACGACGACGACGACGAATCGACGACAACGACGCCAACGTCATACCAATATACGACCACAAAAATTTGTTTGCGGTCGTATAAAAACTCGCATTCTGATATCAAATATATATGTATGTAGCTTATCCTAAAATCGAAATAATTAAAATTTGTTAATTCTTCAAAAATCGCAATAATAAATGCACACAATAATTTTTGAATTTACAGTATCGATTCAAGTTTTTGAGACAGTAGTTTTTGAGTTCTCTAAAGAAGGTTGCAGAAGACTGACACAAGCCCTAGATGAGCTAAAACAAATATTCTGAAATGCAAAATGAAAACACTTAAAATAACAATCCTTCATCAGTTATGAATCTTAAAGAATTGTTTGACAGGTTTTTACATCATGTTTTTGCTCTCTGTTCAGATATCTCTGTAGATAACTCTACCTGGAAAAATTGTCTCCATTTAGATTTGAAAATGCATTTCATCTTATAACTCATCTAACATTTGTCTAACAAGCTTAATACCAAGGTACAAATGAATGGACACACAAGAGAAAACCAATATATCAATCTACCGTTTTTCCGAGCCCCTATTAATAGATCTGTGTTTTACTCGCTTGGCTTATCAATATAATAACAATTAAAAACTATATTTCTGCTATAATTTTCTATTCTCAAAACTACATAATTACATCTATGCTACAAATCTACAACTCCCAGTTTAGACTACACATGCTGTTCTCATATATAAAATAATGAATATTCAATAGATCAGTAGACGTGTCAATATTGTATCATATGCGATAATGACCAGCCAGTAAACACTGTTCTTAGATCATTAACCAGTATTAAAAAGATAAATATAACATGCCCACCCACAAATTGGTAAATGAAATCTGTATAAAGACAATTACACAAAATTCTGATTTGATCAATATGCAAATAAATTAGCCAGTTAACAGTGTTCTGATTTCAATAACCAGTGACATTGTATACTTACATCATTACTGACATTTTCCTGTCTCTGGAAATGATAGGCATTTCTGTTGTGATGATGGTGGTGGTGTCTGTATACATTATCTATTTAAAAAAAAACAATTTATCTCTATTGAGAAAAGAGTAAACATAGAAAAATATTTTGCCTGGGTTTATGTGTAAGTTTGCATGGTATATCATATATCAGGATATTTTCATGTGTCAAATTTTTGCTTTTATGAATCTGCAAAAAAATATCTTTAAAAAACATCTTAAATTTCAAATTTTATAAGATGCCTTAAACTGTGTGGAGGCACTTTCAAATTGTGAAAATTAAACCTATTAAAACTTTCATGATTATATCGAGAGCAAAAAAGTCTATGAGAAAGTTTCCAAAGATACAGTATATTGAGGTTCACTTTTAAACTACTTTAGTTTACATATTGAGTAAGAAAAATTATAAGTGATAATCTAAAATTGTGTTAATTGTATGTTCCCTATTCAAAAGTTTCTACCCAAGGAATTCTGTATTTAATATCTCTCTTTCATTTTTAAATGTAAGCCTCGGAATGACTATGAAAAAAGGTCAAAGTCTCAAATGGCCTGGTTGCAATATTTGTGACTAATTAATGTAGATGTTTACGATGTAGTTGCAATTACATGAAGGTTGTAAATTTTGATGGAAATAACTAAGTTCCAAAAGTTTGGTAAAAAAAGAAAAAAATTCTTCACACAATTCCATAGTAGCAGGTGCACAACTTCAACAAATGTACAATCTTCCTGTAAAGTTTCAAGTATCTCGGTTGAACATTGGAGGAGGAGTTGATTACAAAAATTAGTTACCAACTTTTCCCTGTAGGCCGCCTATCTGCTGTCCAGCCAAACATCCCCATACTTAAAGCCCATTTTGGATTTAGTCCAAACAGGCCAAAAATAGTACTATTTCTACTAGGCCGATGATTTTTATTATCAATAATTATTGTAATGAAACAAATAAATAACAGAGCTTATGTTAAAGCAATAAGCTGTGCTAAATTCTCAAAATTTTAAAGGGGTTTTCAGAAAAAAAACTACATTATATGAACAGAAAGAAAACTTATAAATAAAAGAAGAGAAAAGATCTTTTATCATGTTATATCAGGAAACTATAAGAAACTATGATGACATGTCATCAAGGGGAACCACTGAAAAATACATGCAAGTCCAGGGAAAATAGAATAAAGAGAGGTATGAAGTACTTGTAAGGTATATATATATTTATTTGTAAGGAAAAAGAAGTATCAAATATGTCCTTTCGAGAAACAATAAAACATGATGTTTTTTTAATAAGTAATAACAAAATTCAGCACATCTTGGGTTAATTCCCATAAATTTTATCTAGCTTTTATTCATTAGCATAAATCATTGTTTACACTATTCATCTGTAGAAAATCCTCACACTTCTTGTCAATAGAAGAAGGCTTCAAAATATACTGGTAACTCAAGAACTCAAACAAATGAAATAATTTGGAGGGAATCTTTGAAAATCTTTTAAACCTATAAATGCATGTGAATTGTAAAAACTTTTCATGTTTTCTTTCAAATTTAAAGATTTATTTATCAACTGTTTGCAGTTAAGAAAGTAACAATCAGAGTGGTGTAAGATATTTACATCATGTACATAGTTTTCAGATATTCATTCTTATCTTAAATATTTTCGGCTTCAAAATCTCTGAATACTTTAATAGAATAAACACAATTTGACAAATATATTTCATGTCAGGTATAAATTGTTATCACTCCTGGAATATCTTTAATGGCTTGGTATATATATATTAACATCTTATACCCTTTAAAAAAACTTGATATGCATATCCAGAGAAAAGAGAAAATGACTTAAAAGAGAAAGAAAAAAAAATATATAATCTGGAATCAAGCTTCTCTAAAACCTAAGAACATGGATTGAAGAGCGAGTAATTATAACAACAGATTGCAAGCCACATTCCCCAAAAACTTTTACTTTGTGAAAGTGTGTAACTAAGTTTTAAAAAAATTCCTTCTGATTTAGAGCATTTAGATGTTGTAAAGGACATTAAACACCCAAACTAACTAATGTTAAAAAAATTATTTCTCTAGTTAATAGTGTCTATATAAATGCTAACCTCGATGAGTTCTGTATAAATTATCTGAAAAACAGAGAAAGACAAGTGTAAACTTAAACAGTTTTTATTTCCTGATAAGAATTCAGCTTGAAGAGATAAATTTGCAAGCTAGAAAACTAACATGCCAGCAAGGCCCCAAACATGCATAATGAAATTTGTGTGAGGCACAGAAATAATAATTAAAACTGATGCAAACAAAAAAATACATGCTACTGGGGTATTTATTTTCAAAGATTAAGTGATATGGGAATAGAACCACTAATTCAGGCCTAGGCTGAAAGAACATACAAGAAAGTGGTACACATTTTTAAAAAGTCCCGACACCTAACTGTAATTTTGTCAAAAAGTAAAACATCTGGGTAATTGTGGTAACAAATGAAAGCTTAAAAATCTTGGGATCACTGTACAACCCTTGTTGAAAGTTTCCCTTAAATAATAAAACAAATATATGAAATTAAAACAGGACAGTATATCAGATCAGAAGTACTTGTTTTTGTATATAGGTACTAACAAATAATTGTGATCCAGTCCTAATCATACCTTAATGGTAAGTACTTAAAAAAAATGGCAATCTTTTTAACAAAAACTATTTTATTTTATCAAAACTAACTTCAATTTTTGCAGACAATAAATCCACACATAATTTTTGACACAGTGAGTAAATTTGGAACAGCATATCATACTGACATATCAACTTTGCTGAAAACCTAGCTAAAAAAAAAGGGTGATTTTTGTTTTTAACAAACAGTTTTTAAAGCAAATTTCCCCAAATTTATACAAGTTAAAAAAAAAACATCTATGTATAATGCATTACAACTGTGCAAAATCTCAACTGTTTCTACCTATACTTTGGAGTTTTTGCATTTACAGAAACATGAGAAAGTATTTCTCAAAGGAGTAGGTTCAATAAGGCCCAAAAATGGCCCCTTATTTAAGCTACAATTCCAGATTAGGATTTATTGACCAATATCACAATGAATCACAGCTAATACAATGACTAGATAGGAAACATGTCTTTCTGTTGAAAATTTACGTACTTGAGTTCTATTAATGAGGTTACAAATAGCACTCATTTTGATTTTTTAAAGAAAATTCAATGAAAGAAGGTAAATTTCCAATGATTTTTTGGACAGGAAACAAAAAGAGCATGCGTTGACAAAAAAGATATTTTCACATAATGGATGTTATAACATTTAACATATCTGACTTGAATATTGAGTTTATCTACGCCTGCGGTCTATGTTTCCTTTTCCTTTATTTGGTTGAAATCTGGATGATTTTGTCAAATTTAGAAAAAATCTCTATTTTTGGCCTATTTGGGAGATAAAAATCAATGCTTTAAAATAAAATTTGTACAAAAATAGTTCTATTTAAATTTCTCACATGTCTTTTCATCAACTTAAAACATTTTTTATCTTGAAACATTGAACTTTATAATTGGGGCCAAATATGGCCCTTACCAAACTTACTCCTTTGTGAAATTTTTAAACAAAAACTTAATTTGCCAATTTTCACAAAAAAAAGTAATATGCACATCTACATATTATGCATGACAACTGTGCAAAATTTCATCAACATCTTACCCATACTTTTGGAGTTTTTACAAATGCAAACATTTTCGAAGGACAGACAGTCGTAATTACTATAGACACACATTTTCAGGTTTGTCTACTTTCCCTAACAATTGTATCATGTAAAGATTTTTCCATTGTACTTCTAGTAACTTGTGTCATAATTCTTTGTCCAAATTTGTCGATATACTGGGCTCTATTAAAACAAGCCCAATGTGACACAAAAGAATATCCATTCCAGTGCATTAGGTTTGACATAACTTTACTTTTGGTATTCTCATGCAAAAAATAGTGCTTAACTACTCTTTGCTTATGGAATGAAAGCACAGATATACTGGAAATTACTGTAGAATTTTTAAAAAATCATGTATTTTTCATCAACCAGAAAGAGATCAAATGACAAAAGATTATTATCCACATAAAAGATTTTTACAAATACTCTTGGTATTAGGGTCTAGTTTAAGGTGCTGTTTGATGCTTTTTCAGAACATTTCTTTTCTGTAGATTTCTCTTTTCATTTAATTTCTGACGATGTGCCTCCATTATTTCTTATGTTTAAACGTATCCTTTTTTCATTTCACAGGTGTATGAACAAAGTTTCAAATTCAGACTCATCAAGACTTTATGCATTTTACCTCTCTTGAACACCCCAATATCTACTGTCATACTTACTTGTAGGAAAACCACCACCAAAGAACATGTTAAATAACTCTTCTGGTGATACTTCAGCTGAAATATAAAATATGAATTTTTATCACCTGGAAAAAAAGAGTGATCAATTGCACTTTGCTTCTCAAAAAACGATAGAAAAGCAAAAATGTTCCAAGTATCTGGACTGTAAACGAGAGACTCCCAGATGCCTAAATCGCCCATCAGATGAAAACTATTAGAAATCTAGATCAAACAATCTTACTAAGTGTGTGAAAGATGGCTGCCACTTTATCTAAAAGTTTCAATGTTGCACATAAGCAATTTTATTACTTTCAGATTTTCTCTTTGATAGAAGAATTTTGAGCAACTTACCTGTTAACTGTAACTATTAGCAAGAAATTTTAAATAGATATAGGAAGATGTGGTATGAGTGCCAATGAGACAACTCTCCTTCCAAGTAACAATTTATAAAAGTAAACCATTATAGGTCATGGTACGGCCTTCAACACGGAGCATTGGCTCACACTGAACAGCAAGCTGGCTGTTACGATTTGGAAAATTGCCCCAGTAGAAAATCTCTTTGAAAGATTTAAATTGGGTTTTTTTCCAAGTGTTCTCTACTCTGGAACATTATACATGCATCTGTTAATCAAAGCACTGTAAGCGCTGTAGGCAGTTAACCAAAAACGAAGGCAAACGTAATTATGAAAACTGTGGCAGTGTTGCTTCAATTTTTTTCAAGATTTGAAAGAACAAACATTAAACATTCGTATATTGTACATGTATGTTCATTAAATGAATTGATTATTAAGGCAAATTAATTAATATTTCACCAAGGTTTTCAAAAGCAACTCATATATCAATGTAAATGACCCCCATCTTCACCCCCAAGTGCATGATGTTACTCCATATCAAGTTTGGAATAAAATGACAGGTGATAACAGTTGGTCAAACATTCTAGGGCTTTACACTGCTTGAAAGATTTATATGTTTTCTTTAAAATGAGCCATAAATGAAAATTATTATAGGCCCAGAAATAATTTAATAAAAATTAAAGTAAATTCAATTAACCTAGACTCATTTTTTGCATCAATAAAATTTTATAATAAACAAGAAATAATTGTAACAGGATGCCTTTACAAAGTCTCCCAAACAAAGCCCCCATAATTCGTCATTCCCATGGTCTCCTGACATTGGGCAAAGTCCAGTTCATATTGGTTTGGTCTAGTAAAGTGATATGCATATGTGACACCTAGGAGATTGACCCTGTATGTCATTCAAATCTTTTTGAAATGATGAACAGGAATAAATATGGTTTAGGTGTGGGTATCTCGACCGTTTACAAGTTCTCAAACAGGAGGGGGTGGGGTGACCCCAGGGACTCTCCCTATATTTCATTTGATTTGTTATATTGTCCCATACATGAATACAAATGGTTTAGGGGTGGGGATCTCGACCATTTCCAAGTTCTCAAACAGGAGGGGGTGGGGTGACCCCAGGGACTCCCCAAATATTTCATTTGATTTGTTATATTGACCCATACATGAATATATTTGGTTAAGGGGTGGGGATCTTGACTGTTTACAAGTTCTCAAACAAGAGGGGGTGGGGTGTCCCCAGGGACTCTCCCTATATTTCATTTGATTTGTTTTATTGTCTCATACATGAATATATATGGTTTATGGGTGGGGATCTTGACTGTTTACAAGTTCTCAAACAGGAGGGGGTGGGGTGTCCTGAGGAACTCCCCGTATATTTCATTTGATTTGTTATATTGTTCCATACATGAATATATATGGTTTAGGGGTAGGGATCTCGACCGTTTACAAGTTCTCAAACAGGAGCGGGTGGGGTGACCCCAGGGACTCCCCCTATATTTCATTTGATTTGTTTTATTGTCCCATACATGAATATATATGGTTTAGGAGTGGGGATCTCAACCATTTCCAAGTTCTCAAACAGGATGGGGTGGGGTGACAGAGGAACTCCCCATATATTTCATTTGATTTATTATATTGTCCCATACATGAATATATATGGTTTAGGGGTGGGGATCTTGACTGTTTACAAGTTCTCAAACAGGAGGGGGTAGGGTGTCCCAATGGAATCCCCCTGTATTTCATTTGATTTGTTTTATTGTCCCATACATGAATGTATATGGTTTTAGGGGTGGGGATCTCAACCATTTCCAAGTTCTCAAACAGGAGGGGTTGGGGTGACCCCAAGGACTCCCCATATATTTCATTTGATTTGTTATATTGTCCCATACATGAATATATATGGTTTAGGGGTAGGGTTCTCGACCGTTTACAAGTTCTCAAACAGGAGGGGGTGGGGTGATCCCAGGGACTCCCCCTATATTTCATTTGATTTGTTTTATTGTCCCATACATGAATATATCTAGTTTAGGGGTGGGGATCTCGACCATTTCCAAGTTCTCAAACAGGAGGGGGTGGGAAAACACCGGGGACTCTTCCAAATTATTTTCATTTGATTTCTTTTATTGTCCCATACAAGTATATATATTGTTTAGGGGTGGGGATCGCGACAGTTTACAAGGTAAAAGTACATTTTCAAATTGAAGGGGGTTGGGATGACCCCCAGGGACTCACCCTATATTTTGGTTGATTTTTTTTTTATTGTCCTGTTCTCATTATTGGAGACTGCATGTGTCTATCACTTACTGTTTTCGAGAAGTAGTCATTTGAAAATTAAAAAAAATAAAATCCCATAGGGTTCTATAGTAAACCCCTCCCTTCTTCAGGCCCCTCCACATACCCCTAAATAGACCCCAATGCACAAACAAAAGATTAATGGCTCTGCTAGACATGTTAGTCTAATATTTAATGAAACCCTAAGTAAATCTGACAAACGGTCAAAGTTGTCTTCTTAGACAGTTTGAGTGGATTCGGTCCGACTTGTCTCGGGGAAGAGTTGTCCACATTACTTAAAACATCCCATCAACGTCGATTTCCGCATCTGTTTCATGACCTCGTTTCATTCATAAAATAACAACAACCTTATTTGGCAAGTAGTTAAAAATTACCGCCCACATATATAACTTTATTTCCGCTATCATAATGATTTGTTGTACATGAACAATATTCCTGCGCATTTTGCCATTTGGGAAATATAAACGACTTGTAATTACCGATTTGCGGTGATGAAATATTTCATACAATTGTTCTTTGACATCGTAGCCAAAAGCATAGGGGATAATAAACTATGTACGCATTTCTATTGAGCACTATTTCCTATGCGCAACTTTAAAAGTTTTGGGTAGTTCGACTATCATTTAAGGTTTTTCTGGTCATATTTTTTGTATTCCAGAAATAAAATTATTAAAAAAATGTCCAATTAGTTATAAATAACATAATAGCCAGCTAGATAATAACAATGGCACGTATTTCACAATTTATTGGGTAGAACACAAATCTATTGTGCTCGCATAAGGCAGCTTAACTGCCTAAAATTTGAAGTAAATATCTCATGTTTACAATTTCTTTTTTTTAATTATTAAAATCAAAATAGTGGCTTGATAATCCCAAAAACCATTGGAGCTTTAGTGAATGTTGTGAACTAGCATGTTGAAAATTTGGCTCAATGTGTTGCACTATTGGTCGAGCAAGGTTTATTTTCATATCACATTAACATGTCTTGAATATGCATTTAAATAATTGCCACTAGATCTAAATAATCATCCATCCATCTATTCATCTTTTAGTAATATAATAATTAAATTTTCAACATGTTAATTTGGTCAAAACTGGACAAAAAGTGTTTTCATAATTGTTGATTTCTTAATACGTTCCCCTTTTTCAAGTGGAGAAATACAAATTCAACAAGCATTCTGTGAGTATTGCATGGCAATACATAGTCCCCTACCGGTTAAAAAATTCATTGTATTGGAACAAAATTCTAACTTGATTTATAACTAGTCATGGTATAAACTGTATAACAAATATCAAGTCAATACCTTCAAGCATGACGAAAAAAAGTGTGGAAAACTGATTATTTGAGTGAATTTTCTAAGTCCAAGGACCATAACTCAGCACAAAATCATCAGACCGGAACAAAATTCGAACTTGATCTGTAACTTGTCATGATAAAACTATATACCAATTTTCAAATCAATATATTCAAGCATGACGAAAAAAAGTGTGGAAAACTGATTATTTGAGTGAATTTTCTAAGTCAAAGGACCATAACTCTGCACAAAATCATCGGACCGGAACAAAATTCACACTTGATCTGTAACTTGTCATGATAAAACAATACACCAAATATCAAATCAATATCTTCAAGCATGAAGACAAAAAGTGTGGAAAACTGATTTGCCAGACTGACGGACAGACAGACAGACGGAGTGCAAACCTAAAGTCCCCTTCGACCTTGTCGATAGGGGACTAAAAATTCATGAGCTACAAATGCTCCTTTTTGTCGAGCCTTCGACTTTTGTAGAAAAAGCGAGACATAGCGATCCTACTATCCCTCAGCGTCGGCAGCGTCGGCAGCGTCCACAAATATTCACTCTGTGGTTAAAGTTTTTTAAATTTTAATAACTTTCTTAAACTATCCTGGATTTCTACAAAACTTGGACAGAAGCTTGTTTATGATCATAAGATAATATTCAAAAGTAAATTTTTGAAAAAAAAAATTCCATTTTTTCTGTATTTTACTTATAAATGGACTGAGTTTTTCTGCCAGGAAATTAAACATTACATTCACTCTGTGGTTAAAGTTTCTGAAATTTTAATAACTTTCTTAAACTATCCTGGATTTCTACCAAACTTGGAAAGAAGCTTGTTTTTGATCATAAGATAGTATCCAGAAGTAAATTTTGCAAAAAAAAAATTCCATTTTTTCCGTATTTTATTCATAAATGGACTTAGTTTTTCTGCCAGTTAACATTACATTCACTCTGTGGTTAAAGTTTTTAAAATTTTACCAACTTTCTTAAACTATCCTGGATTTGTACCAAACTTGGACAGAAGCTTGTTTATGATTAAAAGCTAGTATCTAGAAGGAAATTTGTTAAAATTTAATTCCATTTTTTCCGTATTTTACTTATAAATGGACTTAGTTTTTCTTCCAGTTAACATTACATACAGTCTGCAGTTTAAGTTTTTAAAACATTTATTAGATTCATAAACTATCCTGGATTTTTACCAAACTTGGACAGAAGCTACTTACAATCAAAAGATAGTATAGAGAGGAATATTTTTATTAATTTTTTTCCTCATTTTTGTTGAGTCTGCGATTAACAGCAAAAGTAGGCGAGACACTGGGTTCCACGGAACCCTTACAAATTTTTTTTTTAACTTTCCTCATGTTCCTTTTTTGATATACAGGCAAAAATATATCGATGCATTTTTGCTGCCTCTTGTCTGAACTATTTTCACTAGATTTTATTCAATTGTTACCAGGAGACAGGAAACCAACACATTTGTTTGTCTCATGTAGAAATAGAATGAACGGAAAATCATTACCAATGAAACTTACTTTCGTAATATTGTTGATGATTTTGTTGATTAGATTCTTCCTCTGGTCCATGTACATCATATTTCCTTCTTTTATCTGCATCACTCAAAACAGCAAAGGCTTTTCCAATAGCTGAAAATTACAACATAAACTCTCTTATTCTTTCAAATGAATACTGTAAATTCAGAAATTATTGTGTGCATTTATTGTTGGGATTTTTGAAGAAAGGACAGAAATGCAAAAGTTATTATTGCGATTTCAGGAAAACCTGCATAAAGATATATGCATCAGATATCAGAATGCAACTTCTCATTATTTGCGATCCTAACCCAGTCACATAATTCGCATTAATAAAAACCTCGCCATAATTTCTGAATTTACAGTATAATATTTAGCTGTTAGTACTTTTGATCTGAATGTTTTATATAGATGATATACTTTACCCTTAATCACACATCTTGTTACACATACCCATTATTGTATCACACTCCTTTTTGGAATACCTCTAGAATTATCATGTTTAAGTGAGCAATGCATGATAAAACTAGTATTGTATGCTGTATCAAATGGCTTAATAGATCTTTAATTACAAAATTCACAGTTACATGGTAAAGTTACTATAAATACAATTATCGATGACAACTTAAATGTAATTACAATTTATGAATAGATTTAAATTTGTTGCATATTTTGTCATAACATCTGAAGTCTGAACACAATCCAACCCTTAAGAAATAAAATAAGGGATAATATGCTTGGTTTTTTTAAAGATTTTTTTTTTAAAGGGTGTAACTCTAATTTCCTTTCTATAAAACAAAACAACATCACTGTATATATTTTTAATGTAACATTGTCGTGCAGGCTCCTAAAACTTTGCTTTTCCCTACCTTTAAATGCTTCTGTTGCTCCTGGAGCTTTATTTTTGTCAGGATGCATCTGTAATGCCAACTTTCTGTATGCTTTCTTCAGATCATTCTCTGTAGCATCTTTTTCAACATTAAGGATCTCATAGTAACATTTAACCTTTTTTATTCTGAAAATACAACTTGGTATTAAATAGTTATTCACATTTCAAAGGATTTTGTTGAACAAGTTGTGTACAAACTGTCACTACATGTACACCAATGTTCATTGTGTACCGACTTAAGCATCTTGTACAAGTTACATGTGAAATCTGAAAAGCAGTACACAGTCTACATGTTCAATGCTTAATAAATTCTAAAAACATGCATTATCAGTCACATATTAGAGAATCAGCATTTATAAAAAGAAGGTACATTTTGGGGCTTTTTTGGCAAATATAGTTAAAAACTTTATTGATACCATTGTTGGTCACATTTACAACCTGTTACTTGTACATGTACATGTAAAAAGAAGTCCTTTCCAAAATGAAAACATTGAGTACTATTAGTTTAGTTCTTTGTACCTTTTGTAAGTTGTTTTTCTTTGTGCTTAGTATCAATTTAGTATCAATTTAGCGAGTCAGCTCTTTTTAACCAAATTTTTACAGTTCCCTCTTAAATTGTAGTCTTATACAATACTACTATCCCAGTAAACAATGGTAAAGGGAAGAAGTTAGGGCTTAATGTCTACAATAATTACTTTTAATTCAATGTCTTTAGATTTAATTAGGTAGTAAGTTTTTTAAAATTAATTCACGTTATTAATCATTATCGTTAGCCATTTATACATGTAGCTTATCATATGGTATGGGTTTTGCTAATTGTTGATGTCCCAGCTTTATATGGTTATTTATATCCTTGTCCTATGGTCTTCAGTGGACAGTTGTCTCATTGTTAGTACTTACCCATTGATACCACATCTTATTTTATATTAGGTTAAATGATGATGCAAATTTATGGTAATGTCATAGTGCTGATTTACCTTATTTTAGAGAAAAAGAGCCTATTTCAGGAACTTTTAGTCACTAAAAGCATTCCCCAAAATGAATTGTTTTTAGCAAGTACATTGTAGATAAATACAAAACCAATTCCTACATGAAAATACCTTTGAAGGCAAGGATCGTGCTCTAAATCATGTATTAGAATCATATGGAGCACAATTTTTGGCAAATTCACTTTTGTTTTGTATTGATTTTCTATCTTGTCATGGCTTTAGTTTCAACAAAGAGCAAGCGTTTTAAACTTGTATTGCAATATTATATTGAAGCCCACAGATTCAAGATACTGTAAATTCAGAAATTATTGTGTGCATTTATTATTGCGATTTTTTAAGAATGGACAAAAAAGCGAGATTAATTATTGTGATTTCAGAACAATCTGAATACAGATATATGTATCATATTTCAGAATGCAAGTTCTTAGTATTGCGATACTAACCCAGTCGCATTTTTCGCATTATTAAAAACCTCGTAATAATTTCTGAATTTACAGTAATACATGTAGTTAAGCAACCAACAATCAATCAATGTTATTCTTCAAATTTGAGAAAATTAGTAAAACAGTTAATATTAGATCCAATTCAGCCAAAAATGGCACCTTCTCCTTTAAAGGAAGTTATAATCCACTTCTAAATACAAATTTATTTCATTTCTATCTTCTGATAAATGTTCCATTCCTTTTAAATTATGTCTGATAAATAAAATAAATAATTTTATGGAGTCAAACCGAAAGGAATAAATTGATCCTCTGTTTTTTGTCAGAATCAATTCAGTTATGAAGACTCACACCTGAAACTTTACAACAATTCACACAATATGCTACACACCTTTTGACTGCTTCAAGATTTTCTTTCGTGTATTCTATTTCTTTCTTTTCTGGTTCTTTTTTTTCCTCTTTCACCCTGCTTTGGCTGCCTTTTCTTTGACGGACCCCTTCAGTGTTAGTTGGTTCAGTTTCATTTTCATTCTCACCAGTACCATTCATTTCACATTGAAAACTTTCAATTAAATCTGTGAATTATACATTTGTTAGTGTTTATTCTATTATAACTAATAAAACTCACTTTTAAATAAAAATTAGTGAATGAGATCTCTTTTTTAATTTATTTTTTTTCTTTTTTTACAAATTTAAAAAATGAAAACAACACGTTATAAATTTCATGTGTCCAAAGCGCTTTTTTGGATTTGACTTCATAAGGAGTGCTCAAAGCCAAAAATTTGAAAGCCAAGGATGTATAAGAACTGAAACATTTGAAGAGCTAAATGACCAATAAGGCCCTAAAAATAGTCAAATCCATCTAAGGTCAACTTTGCCAGAGGGAGTTGAAACCTTAGTTTCTTTAAAATTTCAAAATCTACATATGTACAAACAGACAATTTTTAAAAGGTTTGTTATAAATCATGTCAGTACCAAAGTACTGACTACTGAGCTGATGAGGTATCAGGTTGTTCCGGACCCAAACCAATCTGGTCCCAAGTCAATATGGCCCATGTCGCTTCAGCCCCATAATAAAATAATGAATAATTACTATAAAAGTGGGAGAGTTTTGTGAAGTATCTGACTCAGGGTAAGTGACAATTTACACATGAAAAAAGTTGTGGAAACAACAGAAATTTGCCAAAAATGAAAGAGAAACCTTTGCTCAATCCATAAACATAGCCAAAAATGATAATTAGTATCCAATTCAGGAATGACAAATAAGACCCTTTGATAAAATGCAGATTGGGCTTGTTTCCAGTATGGGACCCTGACAGGGGTTAAGAAATTTTGTTATAGCTCACTAGCCCAGGGTTAATTGGTGGCAGGATTTTACTAGCCCTGTTGGAAGAACTACTAGCCCAACAAAACTGACCTGCTAGCCCGAGTATGCCTTACAAATCCAGAGTTTGCTGCATAATACAATGAATTCTATAAACTTAACCATTTTTATCCGTTGTACAGTAGATTTTTGCAAATCGGATACCCAAAACTTATGTCAGCAAAAAAATATCCCATTAGCAGATATATTCAATTAATCGATAATTGTATATTCATTGAATATTCTGTAATAATGAGTTGACCAAATCCTGAGATGGTACAAGTCTTGACCACTGCTATACATGGTTATATAAAAGGATTGGAGTGATTTTTATCAGATACATTATAAACGAGGTACAGTAATATCCATATTTATATTTATGAGGGTCGTAATGAGGGTACCTTCATGACGAATAACGGTAAAAAATCTTGCCAAATGACGTTAACGGTAATTTTTGGTGCATGACAATAAAATGTATACTTTCTTTAGCGGTGGTCAAGACTTGTACCATCTCAGGATTTGGTCAACTCATTATTACAGAATATTCAATGAATATACAATTATCGATTAATTGAATATATCTGCTATTCATGCTACTGGGATATTTTTTTGCTGACATAAGTTTTCGGTGTCCGATTTGCAAAAATCTACTGTACAACGGATAAAAAAATCGACTGATTTTGACGAATCACGTTAAATTTTTTCCAAAAATAACGGTAACGATAATTATTTGAGACCTCTGACGAGTCACGATAAGGATATTTTGACGAATCACGCTAAAATGTTAACCAATTTGACGCTAACGGTAGCCGCAAATGACCGTTTGACGCCTGACGGTAAAGGGCATTACTACCCTCATTTATCACAGGTAAGCTAATTGTGGGCTATAAATAGATTACAAACTGAGTACAGTCTGTAAACTGAAATTGTATTTGTTATAAATTTTATTTCTTTAAAAATCAAATTTATTTGAATATCAATGAAGATAATCATGATTGATGAAATATTATTGCATCAAGTTTAAGTTTTCTGAAGACTGTTAATGTTTAGGTCATGGTTCTGGAGGCTTCTTCACAGTATGTAAACAAAAACAAAATGGCGTCCATAACATGTGCACATGTTACAAATTCATATCTGACAAAAGTCAGGTTTCTCCTGTCAAAAGGGATTCACATTTATATTGCAATAAATTATTCAGAAGGAGGTACAGTCCGGTTACATTATATTTCTTTGGTTGCATAAGCAATGTACAATACCCCCTGTACTGACAAATCGATATTGTAAGTACGGGATCCACCCCAAGTTATTTGTTCTATTTTTAAAACTTGTACAAAATCAGTTCAAATTCTGGGAATCCCGGACGATGTAGTTGAATCTGTTCTAAGATAGAATAGTGATGTGTGGATTTTCCACTTTTTATTTTGGAAACGCCAAGAATTTTTTGTTACTTGTCCGTCGGGCATATTGGGTTACAAGTTTTGGTTGCCCGAGGCCTAAATGCTGAGTCCCGGGCGTCGGGCTAGTGGATTTTTTAACCCCTGCCCTGAAAAAAAAAACCAAAAGGACGGTTGCTGTTTTTTGGTGTGATGTGGAACTGTGTGATCAGAATGGAAATTGGGCCATCAGTGATGGCATCACTGGCATCAGGTGGCACAAACAGTATCACAAATATAGTAACATCAACCCATTGAAAGTTTATAATTAACGAACACTATCATGATTTAATTGTCCAATTTGGAATATCTGTTGAAGACAAGACAGGCGACCATGAATATGTTCCAATTTAAGTAGTCACAGTACTGTCTCTCTTTTCCTCAACACAACAGGTCCCACATCTAAAGCAGGATCTGTTTACCCTTCCAGAGCACCCAATATCATAATGTTACCACCATCCTAAGGTGGAGTTCCTGTTACTAAGTTTTTAATTTTCTAAACAACATGTAGAGGATTGATTTTTGTTGGGCTTTTTAGTCATGGTATTGTCGGTTTTTCATTGACATATAATTTGATATAATGATTTTGGATTGCCACTTTGGTATCTTCTACCTCTTTTAATTTTATATTTGTGGTTTGATATACAATATATTTTATTTCTGTACCTTTCGCTTTTTGTGTCGGATATAAACGTTCAGCTTTGTGTAAAAATTTCAGGGCTTTTTCTCGGTCTCCTTGTTTAGAATATTTAATTGCAAGCGATATACATCGCTCGCTTTCGTCTTTATTTCCATCCATTTTGTTTTCGTCATTCCGAAGTCGATTTGAGAGAAACATACCGATTGGACAATAGGAAAATAGTTCTCAAATGTACTTATTCAGAAAGTATCGAATTTTGACTTTAGGAAACACTCAATAACACAGACCTTGTTAAATAATTGAAACAATCTTATCTTCAAAAATTAGTAATTTATTTCAAAAAAGTGTTTCTTTCGTTATACCAAGAAAAGAAAGAAAATGCAGACGAAAAAATAATAGCCAATCGAAACATCGTTTACAAACCAAACAAGGATGACGTTTACATTAAAAGATTGCAAAGCAATCACTTAATGATTTTATAGCTGTCATTCTCCCCCCTTTATTAAAAATATTTTTTGTTTGTAATTATTCATTAAGGTGGAATGGCACTGTATACGAAAAAATATAGAATTTGTTCATACTTTGCCAAAATTAAGTATAAAATGTGATTAATGTTAATTAACCCTTACCATGCTGAATTGTTTTCAGAAATTGTCTTATTTTCGATTATTTGCAAAAATATGCAAATTATATGCAAATGAGCTGTACCCTGATGCTGATGCATATTGATTGCATTAAATCTAGGATTGGGGATCACGGGGTGGGGTGTTCGGGGTGAGGAGGGGGGTGAGGAGGCGGGGGAGGGTGGGCGGGAATTTGCCCCAAATTTGGTCCTCATGTGCAAAACGCGTCAATTTTGACATTTTTACGTTCTTTTTCTCGACCTGGAAGTCCAAGGGATGCTAATAGATGCACCCAACTGTAGTTTGCATGTAGAGTGGAGCCCAGTGAACACATTAATCACAACAGTTGTTAGGTCGGAGTGAAACTGATCTGGGTACACCAGTCTAAAAAAGGTCATTTGCACCAAAATTCAAAAAAATTCCGATTTTTTCCGATTTCTTACTTTAACTGGACCTGCAACCGGAAGTAGTCGTTGCCTAGGCGTATTTTGATAATAAACACGATCAGTAGTTATATGCCTTGGGGTTTACACTATTTGTCTAAGTTTCAGGGGTCACAACTTCGTGTTTCAGACCTCGAAGGTAAGCCCACCCCTCCAAAAAACCCAATTTTGTCCGATTTCAATTTTCCAAGTTCGTATTTGAGCTCAAAATGAACATTAAAAGTGAGAAAGATGACAATTAATGGTGTAAGATTGAGGAAACATACATACACTTCGAACTAATTGGCATTACGTTGACCTCCAAATGTATGGAGCGCCATTGGTGCCAAATAACGGTGGTCTGGGTACGGCCGTAATTTTACGGCCCCCGCATGGTAAGGGTTAAAAGAAATATAATAAAAATGATAGGTCACCAATTTTTTTTTCAAGTTACAGGTTGTGAAAAAATGACACATTTTGTATGGATTATACCGGAAAAAACATCATTATATAGATTGAAGGTAAACTAAATAATAGAATTGTAAAATGAAATACGAGAAGATAGCTCTCAGCAAATGCTTTCAGAATATCAAAAGAAAAGAAAGGGTCGTCGTACATAAAAGGCAGTGGCTATTTTGCCGGCGCTGGCAAAATAGAAAATATGTAATTTTGCCGGCTCTGATTAAAATATCTTTATTTAAGCTGGCAAAATATCATATTTCTATAGCAATGGCTATTTTGCCGGTGACAACAATTTAGTGAATTTGTTAATTTGCCAGTTCTTTGTAAAAAGTTAATTTTAATATTAATTACTTTGTCTTTTAGCCTTTGGTGGATAGTTGTCACATTGGCAAAAATATCCACATATGCTTAAATTTTTCTATAAAAAGATCAGGTCATGCCAAGAAATCCTCGCTAAAAATTCCGGTCTACCTCCTACGGCACTCATTAGTATCTAAAGATTTGATTTCATTCAACAAATTAATTTATGACCTTCATGTACGTGTCGCTTAGAACACGGCCATATACCAAATGGTCAATATTAATCATCCATGTAATTTGCTCTATGGGGTGTTTGCAGAATTTCAACGGAGGCAATTTCTTGGCATGGGAGAAAGGAAGAAAGACCATTCACAATTTGTCTTACATTTGTTTTTCTCTTTTTTAATTAAATAAAAAAAATAATTAACCTTTCAAATGTAGAGTTCATAAGATAAAAATATTCCCTGTGGAACACCTCCCCTCCCCTTTTTTTGTGCTCTCTATTTTCAACCCTCGAATTAAGCTTTCCAATCTAATTAAAATTAAAACCTTGCTTTCTAACCAATCTATTCATGTACCGGACCGGCAATTTTCTTTATTTAATACGAAAATCTGCAGTGCCGTTATACACATGCATGTTGTTTGCTTGGAGTCCCCGCCCGAAAAGAAAGAAGTAGCCCAACTCCAAGATAGTATATTCCTGCATCACGTGATTTTTACCACGTGGAGCTTACATTTGCATAAATACCGAATATGGAAAGTGAAACTACAATTCAAAACATAAAGTCCGAAGGCACAAATAAGAAAAAGAATGTTTTTTTTTTTTTTTTTTGCAAAGGGTGCCGGGGTAATTCTCTCTGTGTTCAAAATATACATGAAATATTTGCCACTGCCCCTTTTCTGTTCTATGAATTCTAACCCTGAGTTTCTATCTGTTGCATGCCAAGAAATCCTCGCTAAAAATTCCGGTCTACCTCCTACGGCACTCATTAGTATCTAAAGATTTGATTTCATTCAACAAATTAATTTATGACCTTCATGTACGTGTCGCTTAGGACACGGCCATATACCAAATGGTCAATATTAATCATCCATGTAATTTGCTCTATGGGGTGTTTGCAGAATTTCAACGGAGGCAATTTCTTGGCATGCGCAGATTTAAGAAAAAATTGCTCGCCTATTTGCCCCAAACAACCATTGGCATTGAGGATCATTGAGGTCAAGTGAAAATAAACAAAGTACACAATGATTTTGAAAATAAGAATATTTGAATATATAAACTTGAAAAAGACGTGCACTTTAGATTTTAAGGAAATAAAAGATAATAATAGTAGTAGGCAGATGTATAGAGTAAACAGTACGTCAGTGTTTTGATTATCTCGTAGATTGTTGTGCGTTGTTATCATGTGGTAGTTTGCTGAATTGACATAGTCTCTAGACTTTTCATAATGTCAGAAATCTTACGAAAATTTGTCAACAAAAGCATGCGAAAATTGTTCAGATGCTTCCTTACTTTGTTTTTGGTTTTATTTTGCACAATTTTATTGTTTTTGCTGATAATGAATGATGTAAGTTTATCCAGGAGATTGCAAAACAAGACACTTATTTTCCTATTTGGACTGTAAATTATCAAACCATCCAGCAGATAATTTGCCGGTTCATAATATTTTCGACCACTGGAGTTTGAAAATCTTAGCAATAGTTAACGGTGTATAAATATGTCAAACTCGACTATCACAGTAGAGCTTGATAGTCGAGTTTGACATATTTATACACCGTTATTGCTAAGATTTCAAACTCCTGTGTTTCAAACCGGATTACCTGTTCTCACCGATTAGCCCCTAAAGGTGAATTGTTTCGTCCCGTTTTGTAAAAAATATATAATAATTTTAGAATGTATAATTTCAAAAGTTTTAGTTTGTTTTAAAAAGTTTTAATAAAGTGAATTTAGTCCAAAAAAAAATATGTGTGTCTCTTTAAGGTTACTTCATTAAAAAAAATAGGGTAGGTACACAGGTACATGTAGGTCGGTATTTCCATTTCATTTTTTCAACATGATTTTGAGTCGTGCGGTCCATCTTGCCGTGGTCCGAGTTTTCCATGGGCCAAGTTTACCTGCATTTTTAATGATTGGATTATTTCCTTTAGTTATTTATTGGAAAAAAATGGTGGCAAAGTGTTTATTTCATCACACGAGTGGAGAGTTTCCTTAAGACAGCTGTCATATTCAGGATTGTAGACATTTAGATGTTTCAGGCAATTGATTTATTTTATTGGAAACTCTAACTTCGCTTTTGACACAAGTTCAGTTAATTTTTTACTTTACGATGGAAATAAAATGACTTAGGGTCGGCGCTCAAAAGTAGGGTGACTTGGGTAACTGTACAGATATATATTTTTTTTGGCCTTACTCATTAAAATCTAATACACCTTATCGCTATTTGTTTGCCATTACTGGACATCACAAGGGTTCTCCTTTAAATTTTGACGTCTCAATACAAAATGTTGGATGCCACAAAGGAAAAGTGATTGTTTTACGATGTTCAAGTGTTACAGATTATCTGGTTAAGTGTCGCAGATTCCCACATAGCGATAAGGTCTATGGTATGGTATATACCAATCTTGAGTTGTTTGAGTTGCTAGGTGAAGGGAGCATTAAGTGTTACCCTTGACTGTCTGTCCCATTTTCGTTTCCACACTTTGAAGTTTCACTTAAGTTTGCCTCAATAGTCATGCAAATTTTATGAAACTCATATACAATGCGAAGATCCGAACTCCCAGATAGAGTTCAAATTTGGGCAGGGAGTCACTTACCGTTCTAGAGTTATGCCCCTTTATAATTTGGAAAATTTCAAATATTTTTGTTTCCTCACTTTAACATAAATTTGCCTCATGCAAATTTTATGAATCTCATACACAATGCAAAGAAACAAAACTCGCAGACAGAGTTAGAATTTGGGAAGTGATTCACTTACTGTTCTAGAATTATGCCCCTTTATAACTTGGGAAAATTGCATTTTTTTTTGTTTCCACACTAATTCTGACATCAAATGCTCTCAAAAAGTATTTTGAATATAGTATTAGCAAGCTTAAGAGGGAGCATTTGTGTCCTCAGACACAGTCTTCTTTTATTAAGAATGAGTTATGCCAGGTTGACCCAATCAGCCTAAACGACATCACTGAACAATCGGTTCTTACTGGCTGTAATCTGGGACATAATATAATGATGGGACTTGAAACTAGATAATAGTATTGATTTCATTGTCATAGTCATTGTTAATTACAGATATATGGTAGGTAGAATTATGTACTCGCAGTGCTATAATTTAAGGCTTTATCATATCCATTTGTGTAAAATAATTCTTACTTAAAACTCAGACTGAAGAGTAAATAAATATTGCAATTTAATTTCTTAGTAATTTGATGGAATGCAATTAAATTGACACCACTTTGTTCAGAAAAAACAATCAATTTTAAATTTGTCACTTCATTTTTGTCACACATGTCATATTAGCATGTACATTTGTAACTTGCAAAGAAATAAGATTTGGTGGCCATAAATCACTGACCATTTCACATAACATCACTTCTCAACATGAAAATCTCACTTTAATATGTTATTTTAAATGACAAATTATATTTTGCTACAAGAAGTACTTACCAATAAAATGTGTTTGACGATTGTTTGAATTCTGTAGGTCATATGACCTGATGTAAACATAAATATGATAAATATAAATAAATAAATAGCCAAGCACATGCTTATCATGTAATAAAGCTTTTTCAAGGTCTGTTTGATTTCATGTCGTAGATTATAAAAATAATTATGTAAATCATCTTTTTACATGTATAGTGCCCATCCCTAGATTTTCCATCATCTATCATGGAAAACTTCATTGAGTTCCATGGAGTATTGGAACCTCTTTTCCATGGAATTCCATGGAAAATAAAAAGAGACAAAAAAGGATTTCCATCTGAAAAAAATTCCATGGAATTCCATGGAAATATTTTCCATGATATTTTTCCATGGAATTCCATGGAAATATATTCCATGATGTTTCTTTTTCCATGGAATTCCATGGAAATATTTCCATCATTTCCATTTAAAATGGATTGCTGAAATTAACCCTTTGGCAAAATATCCTGTTTAACCTTATCTGTAATAATGAACATAAAAAAAACTAGGTGCAATGCATTGTATCAGTTTGGTAAGGTCTTTTGAGTCTTGCACTGGTCAGTAAAAGCAATAAAACTTAACCATCATTTTAACCTATAATTCAGATTAATTTGATGTATTGTGATAAATACAATAAACAAGCAAAAACTTTGGTATATGTTTGCACTGCCTTTATAACAAAAAATAAAGGCTATAAATGTCACTTTTGTCAACATGGCTTCAGTAGATCCATCTCGTAGAACAGCATTAACCATTTTTTTGGAGTTTCATTTATTCCTCATGATACCTAAAAATATAATTTTACTGTAATAAATAATAAAATATTCTTTAAATAATGCCCTTAACACAATAATGGTTAACAACTTTAGTGGGTGATATGTTCATTTGATACTTATTTTATAGGGAAAACTCATGCAATCAAAAGAAATCTGTTTAATCACAAATGAAAATGTTTATTTGGAATGTGTGATGTCTAACAAAATATTCTTTCCCCTTTAAAATCCTGGATTCACAACTGGTGTTTAACTGTAGAATACATTTAACCTCATTTCTGTGTTATATGTACCAGTCCCAAGAAAATGGTGCATGAAGTTTAGAGGTTGTTCTGGGCTTTGTCTTAAATATTTGTTTTTCATCTTTGATTATAAATGTCATCATGGGTATTGTCCATGTTTTTAGATCTTAGTTTTGATCTGTAGTTTGGTATAAAGATACACTTTTTTTTACTTTTATGGATCTATGTCTCATTGGCAACCATTCCACAGATCTTAAATTTTATAACCAAATTACTTCATTAGTGGATTATTAGTTATTATAATACATTATACAGTTTGTCTTGTCTTACACAATCATCATAATTATAAGTGTAAATCTACTATCTAGTATGTCTTTTCATTATGTTATTATGTTGAACTAAAGGAGCTTGCACACATTCAAAATGGTGGAATCTAATTCAGTGTACTTACCAAAAGATATGCTCCTAAATCCAACAGTCAGTGCAAGTCATCAGAGAATAAATCTGCAATATTTAATGTCAAGAACTATTTGGAAGTATTTCATCTGCATCCAATGTAAATTTTACATTTTGTTCAGGAGAGAAGACATCTTTGCTTGTTGCCTGCATATCCATTGCAAGTTCAAATTCTAAATGTGTTGGGGGTTGTATAAGGAGTTATCTGATTTCTTTGAAAAGTGCCGCAATTGAATACTGTTAACTACCTATATCTTGAATATTGTATATATATTATAATAAAAAATTATCCATTTATTGTTTATTTACCACGTTTTAAGTAATAATAATTGCACAAAAATGTAAAAATCCATGTGCTACCCTACATTTGGCCTCACACTGTATGTTCATATCACTTCCTGTCTTCTACACGAAGATAAATGAAAAATCAGATTTCACATTACATTTCTTTCACTGGCTCGCATGTCTAATTGATGATAAAGAATTAATGCATGGAAATAATTTGTGTGTACATTTTTTCCATGCTTAAGTCATCATTCAACCCTCTTTCCATCTCAAAAATATTCTAAGTCAAGATTCTATCCTTTTTACATGTTAAAAATATTTTAAGTCAAGATTCCATCCTCTTTTCCATCTCGAAAATATTCTAAGTCCACTTTCCATCCTCTTTTCCATCTACAAAGCTTTATTAGTCTACTTTCCATCAAATTTTACATCCAAAAAGTATTTTTTTCATGGAATTCCATGGAAAGTTTTCCATCTTATCATGGAAAATGATGGAATAAGTGACACATATAAGTTTTCCATCAGTGATGGAATATTTTTCCATGAAATTCCATGGAAAAAAACGAAATTTCCATCATTTTTTCATGGAAAAAGTTGAGCTGCATGGAAAAACTAGGGATGGGCGTATTAGAATGATTTTTTTGTGGGTAGAATCGAAAGGGTTCTTCCCAGTGGCTGTCTTGTTTCACTTTTCCAATGTTGCCATTTTTGGGGATGGGTTACACATGTGCAAAGCATTTTTAGTTATTAAAATAAAAAGAATGTCAGCATTGGAAAGTGAAACATATGCAGATCATCTTGATTGTTAATTAGATGACGTCTAGTCTGAAATACACACAAAATGATGATACACTATAACGAGTCCAAGCATTGTAAGTTTAGAACTTTTGTAATACAATGTAATATGGATAGACATTTTAGTATGTTAATCATTAGTCATTAATCATTCCTTAAACTCATATTCCATTTTCTTTTCTTTTTTTAATTGCTTGGCTGGTTTTGGCACGGGGAATTCATATTCAAACGATTCTTAAGCACTGCCCCCTGGGGTCTCATCCAGTTAAACAATCATATAAATGGCCCATATTTAGATATTTATGTATAACTTCTTGTTGGCTTTGCTGGTTTAGACAAGGGGAGATTTATATGCATATGATTCTTAAGCACTGTCCCCTGGTGTCTCCTCCAGGCCACCCTTAACAAATTCTTTGTTTGATGTTGCCTACCCATGCCTTGTAGGGTTGCGTAGGTAGGGTGGGATTATATTTTATTTTTTGGCAAACAACATAAGTTTAAAGTTACATGTTTTAGACAAGCATGAAAAAACTTTATTAAAAAAGTTTGAAACGATTTGTGTCATAAAATTTTTGGGGTAGGCTGCTTTTTAGTGAGTAAGTATGTAATTTACCAAAAATTATTGTCTTCCCTTTGGTCGCACTGCCTCAAACATCCTTATTGCAGAGAACTCAACATTTAAAATCTTCTTATATTGTTTTTATACGCCCGTTTACGGGACGTATTATGGTATACCGTTGACTGTCTGTCCGTCCGTCTGTCCGTCCGTCGTCAACATGTCGGACATTAACTCAAAAAAGCTTTAACCAATATGCATGAAACTTTGGTGAATTGTTTATATCTATTGACGTGAGCTCCCTTTCGTTTTTTATAAATTTCAGATTTACTGTTTCTGAGTTTTGGGGTTTTATTCATTAAAAAGGGGGGATTTTCCAGTTTTCCGACAATAACTCAAGAATGCTTTCACCAACTTGCAAGAAATTTTGGTGAATTGTTTATATCTATTGACATGAGCTCCCTTTCAATTTTTATAAATTTTAGATTTTACGTTTCCGAGTTACAGGGTTTTATTCATAAAATGGGGGGATTTTCCAGTTTTCGAACAATAACTAAAAAATGCTTTTAGCAGTTCTTATGAAACTTTGGTGAATTGTTTATATCTGTTGATGTAAGCTCCCTTTAGAATTTTATAAATTTTAGATTTTACATTTCTGAGTTATGGGGTTTTATTCATTAAAAAAGGGGGGATTTTCCAATTTTTGGACAATAACTCAAAAATGCTTTCAGCAGTTCTCATGAAACTTTAGTGAATTATTTATAGCTATTGATGTAATCTCCCTATTGATTTTCATAAATTTCAAATATGACATTGAGAAGAAATTGAACTTTATTTGTTTATAGTCTGACAACAGATTTACTAAGTATTGCCCAACAGCACAGTGTATTGCACAACAGCAAGAAATCTTTAATTGAATATAAATTCAATTTATATAACCAATTTCAAGTTCTTTGACTACATTTATTCAGAAACCTATAATATGTCAAATATTTAATTACAATCCAAATTCAGACCTGTATCAAGCTTGAATATTGTGTCCATATTTGCCCCAACTGTTCAGGGTTGGACCGCTGCGGGCGTATCCAGCTGCGCTCAGCGAAGCAGTTTATTGTCATTACCACAACGATATTATACATTGTATTCTTGTACTGTATTGTTTGTAAATCTGAATTATGATTGTATCTTTGTCATTGACCCCTGAGGGACCTTAATTGCAATAAAAAAATATTGTATTGTATTGTATTGTAAATAAAATATGAGAATTTGAGTTGAATCAGTGACCATGAATTTGACAGCAAATGCTCCTTTAACAGAGCATTATATAATATGCAAATTACCCTAAGCGCTGTACAACATAATATTAATTCACAAATACAAGTATTTACAACAAAACATGAATAATCTAGGATAAAAATTTAACATATATATGAGAACTTATCATTGATAGGTTTAAAAAAAGATGAAAAAGAAATGTTAAAACTAATAAGAATCTGATTCTAAATATCTTGCATATTAAAATATGGTAATAGATTTACCGATTTACAAAATATTAGAAATTGGCTTGGTAAAATAGAAAGACAATAAAACTGTTCAAATATATGGAAAGGTTGGGACCAACAAATCGTCTACTTAAAATATCATCATATGGGTAATATCACCCAAAGTGTGTGACAAACATGTAACTGATGCTCACACTCCAACCATTTTTTATGCACCCCGCCGTAGCGGAGGGGGCATTAAGTTTTACCCCTGTCCGTCTGTACGTACGTCCCAAAGTTGGTTTCCGTTCTCTAACTTTAGTTTGTCTCTACCAAATATTATGAAACTTATACACAATTCTTATTACCACAAAACACAGATCAAGTTTGAATTTTGGTAGCATCACTTTAACCGTTCTAAAGTTATGCCCCTTTATAAATGGAAAAATTGCTGAATTTTTAGTTTCCGTTCTCTAACTTTAGTTTGCCTCAACCAAATGTTATGAAACTTATACACAATGATTATAAATACATAATACAGATCAAGTTTGAATTTTGGTGGTGTCACTTTAACAGTTCCAGAGTTATGCCCATTTACAAATGGAAAAATTGCTGAATTTTTCGTTTCCTTTCTCCAACTTAAGTTTACCTGAACCAAATGTTATGAAACTTATAAACAATGCTTATTACCACAAAATACAGATCAAGTTCGAATTTTGGTGGCGTCACTTTTACTGTTCTAAAGTTATGCCCCTTTACAAATGGAAAAATTGCTGAATTTTTCATTTTGTTCCCTACATGTAACTTAAGTTTGCCTCAACCAAATATTATGAAACTTATACACATTACTTATTACCACAAAACTCAGATCAAGTACAAATTTTGGTAGCATCACTTTTACCATTTCTTCAGTTTATGTCCCTTTATAACTTTATATGATATGCAAGCGGGGGCATCATCTGTGTCCCATGGACATATTCCCCATTTATTTTTTTCAGTCTCACACTCACTCTCACCCTATTTATTTCATATGTTTGACTACCAAATTTCAGTTCCTTTCTCATTTTTGTAGACTTCAGTCCCCTTAATGGTATCTGGGAGAATTCTTGAAGGGTCTTGTCAGGCATTTAAGAGGGCAATACTGGTTTGAGTATGTATAGGGTCATTTTATTCACTTCCTGGTTAAAATCAAAAATGAATTTTGGACCATATACTCAGAAAAACTTCCACCATCTATACATTTCAGTTTCACACAAAAATTTCATGAAAGTTGAACATTTTATGAATACCCTTTGAAAATACTGCTGATTAAAGCACTTTTTTATATTTTTTGTCTCACTACAATATCTCATCTCAAATATGGTACATGTAGATTTATTAAGGTATTTCAGTCCTGGGAACTCGACTTGTATCATGTCAACAGGGCTCCTATACCATATATATAAAACCACCCTCTCTTAACTGCACAAGTTGGCAGCTCTTTTAGCTCTGTAGAGTGTTCTAAACAACCAAGCGTACCCTAAATATTTTTAAATGCCACATTGACTTAAGGTACCACTTTATTAACTGTAATTAGTAAATGTTTATTTCAACATAAACATTTATATCAACTAATTCAGAAAACAAATAAATTCATTCAACACTGAGTTACATATTTAAAGCTGAAAAAACTTAGTTAACAGACGTGTAGATTAAAGCACTCAAAAATTATGCTAATATTAAACTAAAAATGCAGAGAAAAAAAATTACTGCTGCTGCTCATTAATTTAAGTGTTGAAATTTTATCACAAATGTTTGCAATAAAAGTGTCAAACATATTGATCCATATTAATTAAACTGAATAGAAATATTTTCGGTAAAACTCAATTCAATTAGCACATTAACATACCTGCAATTAATGTTGCAGCATTGAAGCGTCAGCATGGCATGGCAGTTACATGTTAGCAGTTAATGAAAGGCAAAAATGCAAATTCATAGGGCATTGCATTTATTTTCCTCATTCATGCAATAATAATTTCCTACTAGCTGACCTTACCTATATTGGTATGAGATCTGCAATGTGGCCTGCTTTACGGAAATTAATCTTATTCTTCTTTTGCAGAAATTTGAGGATGTACGAGACGATTTTCTACTGAATGATTATTTGAATAATAATGATGAAGGTAAGTCTACAGTGCTCAAAGTTTAGGTTAGAGACCATATCTCTGAGGCTTGTTAGAAATAGATCTGTAGAATAAGCCTTGCTGGCCTGCTTGTTTTGGTAAGAGACCATAGCCCTGAGGCCTCTTAGATATAGATCTGTAGAATAAGCCTTGCTGTCCTGCTTGTTTAGGTAAGAGATCATAGCCCTGAGGCATGTTAAATATAGATCTGTAGAATAAGCCTTGCTGGCCTGCTTGATTAGGTAAGAGACCATATCCCTGAGGCATGTTAGATATAGATCTGTAGAATAAGCCTTGCTGGCCTGCTTGTTTAGGTAAGAGACCATAGCCCTGAGGCATATTAGATATAGTTCTGTAGAAAAAGCTGTGCTGGCCTGCTTGTTTAGGTAAGAGACCATATCCCTGAGGCATGTTAGATTTAGATCTGTAGAATAACTTGTGCTGGACTGCTTGTTTAGGTAAGAGACCATAGCCCTGAGGCCTGTTAGATATAGATCTGTAGAATAAGCTGTGCTGGCCAGCTTGTTTAGGTAAGAGACCATAGCCCTTAGGCTTGTTATATATAGATCTGTAGAATAAGCCTTGCTGGCCTGCTTGTTTAGGTAAGAGACCATAGCCCTGAGGCCTGTTAGATAAAGATCTGTAGAATAAGCTGTGCTGGCCTGCTTGTTTAGGTAAGAGATCATAGCCCTGAGGCCTGTTAGATTTAGATCTGTAGAATAAGCTGTGCTGGACTGCTTGTTTAGGTAAGAGACCATAGCCCTGAGGCATGTTAGATATAGATCTTTAGAATAAGCCTTGCTGGCCTGCTTGTTTATGTAAGAGACCATAGCCCCGAGGCCTGTTAGATATAGATCTGTAGAATAAGCTGTGCTGGCCTGCTTGTTTAGGTAAGAGACCATAGCCCTGAGGCCTGTTAGATAAAGATCTGTAGAATAAGCTGTGCTGGCCTGCTTGTTTAGGTAAGAGATCATAGCCCTGAGGCCTGTTAGATTTAGATCTGTAGAATAAGCTGTGCTGGACTGCTTGTTTAGGTAAGAGACCATAGCCCTGAGGCATGTTAGATATAGATCTTTAGAATAAGCCTTGCTGGCCTGCTTGTTTAGGTAAGAGACCATAGCCCCGAGGCCTGTTAGATATAGATCTGTAGAATAAGCTGTGCTGGCCTGCTTGTTTAGGTAAGAGACCATAGCCATGAGGCCTGTTAGATATAGATCTTTAGAATAAGCCTTGCTGGCCTGCTTATTTAGGTAAGAGACCGTAGCCCTGAGGCCTGTAAGATATAGATCTGTAGAATAAGCTGTGCTGGCCTGCTTGTTTAGACAAGAGACCATAGCCATGAAGCCTGTTAGATATAGATCTGTAGAATAAGCCTTACTGGCCTGCTTGTTTAGGTAAGAGATCATAGCCATGAGGCCTGTTAGATATAGATCTGTAGAATAAGCCTTGCTGGCCAGCTTGTTTAGGTAAGAGACCATAGCCCTGAGGCCTGTTAGATATAGATCTGTAGAATAAGCCTTGCTGGCCTGCTTGTTTAGGTAAGAGACCATAGCCCTGAGGCATGTTAGATATAGTTCTGTAGAAAAAGCTGTGCTGGCCTGCTTGTTTAGGTAAGAGACCATATCCCTGAGGCATGTTAGATTTAGATCTGTAGAATAACTTGTGCTGGACTGCTTGTTTAGGTAAGAGACCATAGCCCTGAGGCCTGTTAGATATAGATCTGTAGAATAAGCTGTGCTGGCCAGCTTGTTTTGGTAAGAGACCATAGCCCTTAGGCTTGTTATATATAGATCTGTAGAATAAGCCTTGCTGGCCTGCTTGTTTAGGTAAGAGACCATAGCCCTGAGGCCTGTTAGATAAAGATCTGTAGAATAAGCTGTGCTGGCCTGCTTGTTTAGGTAAGAGATCATAGCCCTGAGGCCTGTTAGATTTAGATCTGTAGAATAAGCTGTGCTGGACTGCTTGTTTAGGTAAGAGACCATAGCCCTGAGGCATGTTAGATATAGATCTTTAGAATAAGCCTTGCTGGCCTGCTTGTTTAGGTAAGAGACCATAGCCCCGAGGCCTGTTAGATATAGATCTGTAGAATAAGCTGTGCTGGCCTGCTTGTTTAGGTAAGAGACCATAGCCATGAGGCCTGTTAGATATAGATCTTTAGAATAAGCCTTGCTGGCCTGCTTATTTAGGTAAGAGACCGTAGCCCTGAGGCCTGTAAGATATAGATCTGTAGAATAAGCTGTGCTGGCCTGCTTGTTTAGACAAGAGACCATAGCCATGAAGCCTGTTAGATATAGATCTGTAGAATAAGCCTTACTGGCCTGCTTGTTTAGGTAAGAGACCTTAGCCCTGAGGCATGTTAGATATATATCTGTAGAATAAGCCTTGCTGGCCTGCTTGTTTAGGTAAGAGACCATAGCCCTGAGGCCTGTTAGATATAGATCTGTAGAATAAGCTGTGCTGGCCTGCTTGTTTAGGTAAGAGACCATAGCCCTGAGGCATGTTAGATATAGATCTGTAGAATAAGCTGTCCTGGCCTGCTTGTTTAGGTAAGAGACCATAGCCCTGAGGCCTGTTAGATATAGATCTGTAGAATAAGCTGTGCTGGCCTGCTTGTTTAGGTAAGAGACCATAGCACTGAGGCCTGTTAGATATAGATCTGTAGAATAAGCTGTGCTGGCCTGCTTGTTTAGGTAAGTGACCATAGCACTAAGGCCTGTTAGATATAGATCTGTAGAATAAGCTGTGCTGGCCAGCTTGTTTAGGTAAGAGATCATAGCCCTGAGGCCTGTACATTTTAAAAAAAAGCCTAAGGGCTATGGTCTCTTACCTAAACAAGCAGGCCAGCAAAGCTAATTCTACAGATCTATATCTAACAGGCTTTTCTTAAAATGTACAGGCCTCAGGGCTATGGTCTCTTACCTAAACAAGCAGGCCATCAAGGCTAATTCTACAGAATTGTACATTTTAAGAAAAGCCTGTTAGATATAGATCTGTAGAATTAGCCTTGCTGGCCTGCTTGTTTAGGTAAGATACCATAGCCCTGAGGCATGAACATTTTAAGAAAAGCCTGTTAGATATAGATCTGTAGAATAAGCCTTGCTGGCCTGCTTGTTTAGGTAAGAGGCCATAGCCCTGAGGCTTGTTAGATATAGATCTTTAGAATTAGCCCTCCTGGCCTGCTTATTTAGGTAAGAGACCATAGCCCTGAGGCATGTTAGATATAGATCTGTAGAATTAGCCTTCCTGGCCTGCTTGTTTTGTTAAAAACATTCTGACACTTGAGACTAGAGTATGTTGGTATATATGTGAAGGGGGTATAAAACAATTGGTACACTGGAAACATTTAAGGTGCATTTACATGTACTTGATTTCATCTTGAAACGAATTATAAATCTTGCTAATTTCATTGAAGGGTCTACATATCCTTCCAGAACACCAGAGATCACCCCAGTTTTGCAGTGGAGTTCATGTTGTTCGGTCTTTTGTTTTCTGTGTAGTGTTTTGTGTATTTGTTTGTCTTTTCATCATCTTTCATTTTTTGTCATGGCATTGAGGGTTTCCCTTTTGACTAATGCATTGTGGAGGTCCCACTTTTTGTCTTCCACATCTATTTTTTATTACATATTTTGTCAAGAATTTAGTTATGGGAAATGACTTAATTTTGAGTGAATTTTTTTAAACTAGTTATCGTTGTGTTTTTCTATATGGGTTATTAATGTATTTTTGAGAAATTATTTAGCATTTGATGTTTACATATTGGTTATTGTTAAGGAATCTTTTTGAAATGATAATGACAGTTTTAATATGGTTCCTATGTAAATTTTAGGTGGTACAGTTTATAGTTATAACTTAATAGGAGTTATTCCCTTGAATGCAAAAATGCCAGGTGAGCAATACAGGCTCCTTGAAGTCTCAATAGTTGTTTAGCTGCATCCTTAATAGGGAAAGAAGGTCTAGTAACCACTCCACTCAATCTGTCCACCGTTTCATCTGTCCGTCCATCTCATGAAATTCAATCGCAATTTTCTCAGGAACTACGAATCAGATCTTGCTTAAATTTGTCATCAGTCTTCTTATGAACATGTTATACTGTTTGAACTGTGATACGGTTTCACATTTATCGATTGTCAACTTCCTGTTTACTGTATGCTTATATTTGTGCTAGTATATATATTCTAACATATAACGGCCATGTATAAAATTTTCGTCACTTTATATCTAGGGAAATAACTAATAAGAGCTTCCTGAAATTTGTTATCAGGCTTTATGTCAATATGCTATACCCATGTAAAACAGGCGAAGGATACCAAAGGGACATTCAAACTCATAAGTAAAAAATAAACTCACAATGCCATGGCTAAAAAAGAAAAAGACAAACAGACAAACAACAATACACCAAACACAACATAGAAAACACTGAGCAACACGAACCCCACCAAAAACTAGGGATGATCTCAGGTGCTTCGGAAGGGTAAGCAGATCCTGCTCCACATGTGGCATCCGTCATATTGCTCATGTTAGTACAAACCTGGTGGTAAGTAGTATTCGGTAGGTCACAATCGGGGAAAAGGGGAAGGGATTGTAGTTACGACAATTTGAACATATTCGTTGTCATCTGTGAAACGGATATTCCATAATGGTTAACCAACTTATGATGGCGTCCGTAAAATTTACGAAATTTATTGTTAGGCTCCATGTGAACATGCTTTACCATGTGATGCATTTTCAGATCTCTAGCTCATCAAATTCTTTTTTACTGAATATGCATATTTTGTAGCACACAATGGTCATGTATGAAATATATTCGTCACATTTTTCTAGGGAACAACAAGAGCTTCCTGAAATTTGTAGGCAATCTTATTGGGAGCAGGCTTTACTGTGTGAAATGTTTTCAGATTCATAGCTCATCAACTTCCTGTTTACTGGGGTATAATTAGTTTTACTGTTTTACTTGTTTTGTTAACCTTTACTAGCATGGTCCAGTTATTTTGCTTTTGATATTTAAGACTTTAGATGAAAATGTATATACCAATATCATTTACTAATTTCAGAAAGCAAGCCTAGACATGAACAGAATGATCCCATTCCGAATGAAACAGTAACAGAACCAATTATCCTGTGGTGGACCCCATTTACTGGTGATGCAGGACTTTACAAAAAATGCGGAGATGTTAAATGTTTCTTTACAAATAACAGACTGTATAAAGATCATGATAAATTACAGGTATTTATTAACTGTATAAAGACCATTATAAACCTTGAATAATTTCGATAATCAGAAAAATCTAAAATTTGAAACATTTTTCTGGAGGGGGGTTTGTAAGTTAATATATTTCATACTAATTCTCTCAGGCTGGATAGCTCCTTCAATTTTGTCTATTTCAGATTCAGATTTCCACTCATCATAACTTAGCATATATTATTAGAAAAATCTGAAATTGAGGACCATTTTTTTGTGGAGGGTTACTTGTGGGAATGTCCCATATTCATGATGGCATGGGGTGTGTCAGATTGCTCTCTAAGTTCTTTTCATTGACAACTCAAAATGCTTTATGTTTTTTATACTTTATACTTATTAGATTTGATATATTTTTTTGTGGGAAGGTCTTAACAGAAGCAGTTTTGGGGGACTTCATATATAATAAATGCATAGACTTTTTACAAGTATTACTCCAAACGTTGACTTGAAATTAATTGAATCCACAGTAAGTTGGGATACCTCGGTGCAATCACCAAAAATCCAAATGATATCTAGATGTCAACATATGCTTTTATAACAATAGACAGGTGTTAATACTATAAATTAAGCTTTAAATACTTTTTTAAAGCCAGTAAAAAAAAAACTATGAATACCAAATTATCCAAATAGCAAATTAATGATTGTTTTATAACAAAATATACCAGGTAAAGAGATTTTGGACTTGGACTTGAACATGTTGAGGGGTTCAAGTAGCTTATTGAGATCTCAATCTTTCTCCTTTAAATCTTAATGAGTGGAATAACAAAGGGTAGATAAAATCTGTACAGGAAAAGGACTTAACTCATTATTACTGGTATAAAAGATAACTGAATAATAACAATGATAAACAATACTGTGTATTACAATTATACATGAACTTGATTTGATCCTTCGTTTCTCTTGTTTTAATGAGACTTTTCATGCTATTTAAGTAAATTTTCACTATGGACTTTTTAATGTTTTCCTAAGCTCTAAATTCAATATGAATTTACACTAATATATTAAATTTTTACTATAAGCTTCAGTTATCTTGGTTTGTTCTTACTAAGTAAATTTTGGATAATGTCTTATCAACATAATCTATCCTTTTACTTCATTTTTGTCTCGCTTGACGGAGTCAAAAAGCGAGACATACTGTAAATTCAGAAATTATTGCGTGTATTTATTATTGCGATTTTGTCATTTTAGACTAAAATGTGATTTTATTTTTTGCGATATTGAGAAAAATCCTCTTAAATTCATATAAAAAATTTCAAAATGCGAGTTTAAATTATTGCGATTATAATCCTGTCGCATTTTTCGCAATAATAAAAACCTTGCAATAATTTCTGAATTTACAGTAGGTATGCTGTTTCCGGCGTCGGCGGTGGCGGCGTCAACAATGTATTAGTTTGTGATTAGGTCTAGTTTATGGTGAACCACTAGTGGTAAGTTAAAGATATTTGGTATGCAGTTGTATTAGTATTGGCACATCTCATTACCATGGAGATTATTTGGCCCCGCCCCCTCAGTTATGGTCTATTGACTTTGAAATTTTTGCTTAGTTTTCATGTATTAGTTTGTGATTAGGTCAGTTAATTGGGAACCACTAGTGGTAAGTTAATGATAATTGGTATGCAGTTGTATAAGCATTGGCATATCTCATTTCCATGGAGATTATTTGACCCCACCCCCTCTGTTATGGTCTATTGACCTTGAAATTTTTGCTTTGTTTTCATGTATTAGTTTGTGATTAGGTCAGTTTATGGGGAACCACTAGTGGTAAGTTAATGATAATTGGTATGCAGTTGTATAAGCATTGGCATATCTCATTTCCATGGTGATTATTTGGCCCCGCCTCCTCAGTCATGGTCTATTGACTTTGAAACTTTTGCTTAGTTTTTATGTATTAGTTTGTGATTAGGTCGGTTTATGGGGAACCACTTGTGGTAGGTCAATGATATTTGGTATGCAGTTGTATTAGCATTGGTACATCTCATTTCCATGGAGATTGTTTGGCCATGTACCTTCAGTCATGATTCATTGACTTTGAATATTTGCAAAACTTACATGTAAAAGTGTTGCTATTTTAATTTCAACATTTGCATTATCGAAATAACCAAAAAGCGACACATATCTCCGTGATAACAGTTTATTAAGCATATAGATGATATGTTTCAATTCTCTTCAGGCATTTATGTTTTATGGAACAGACTTCAAGCCATTCGACTTACCTGTTCCTCGGAAGCCTAACCATGACTGGGGACTGCTACATGAAGAATCTCCGAAAAACAATTACTTATTTTCGCATGAAGAAATCATGGAGTTGTTTAATTATACGTCAACATTCCGTAGAGAATCATCCTATCCAATACCTACACAATATGTGGATAGTATCAAATGGTTAGAAGATCAAACATACTTTGTTCCAATTAAAGAGAAGAATAAATTCTTATCAGAGTTATCTCCCATTATGTATACACAAAGTGACTGTGATGTTCCATCAGGGAGAGACCAGTACACCAAGATGTTGATGGAGTATATAAATGTTGATTCTTATGGTACCTGTCTGCACAATAAAGATTTACCAGCAAAGTAAGTAGGACTTCAGGGTTAGAAAGAAAAACCATACGATATAATTTCTGGACAAACAACTTACATTTTTGGATTGACCTTCATCATAAACCATGACAAAATAGTTATAGTACAAAATCTTCAATATTTGCCCAGATATTTTATATAGCACAACCCTTGCCAAAAAAGGTATTTACAAAGAAACTGTATTTTGTAATTATTGAATTATTTTGGGCTACATTTTTGTTACATATGATTTTATAAATTTAGATTACATCGTGGAGTCCTGGCTTAATGTTAATATTTTCTTTTAGCATTTCTTCAGGTGTTAAACCAAATCAATGTTCTTTATAATTAACCATAACCTTTAATGCTAATACACAGAAAACATTCAAGAAATATTTTGAAAAATTAAGTGCTTCAGTTTTTATGATTCTATTTCAGCTTAAGAGACCCTATTGAAGGAATGGATCACATGGAATTCTACAAGCTGAACGCTAAATATAAATTTTCTCTGGCCATGGAAAATGGTTTGTGTCCAGACTATATGACAGAAAAATTATGGAGGCCATTTCATCTAGGATCAGTACCCATTATTTTAGGATCACCTAAAGTTAAAGTAAGTTTTTTCAAGACAGAATAAATTTCTTATTATTAAATGTCATTAAAGCCATATTTTTCTCATTTAATGAAAATATACAATACATTAACACATTTTTCTACACTTTTGAAAGAATTGCATATGTATGCATTCAAAATTGAATTTAAAAATATAGGTGGCAATACTTATTTTTGAGAAATATGAGATCTTGATTTTTATATATAAATAATGAAAAAAGTGTTGAAAGTTGTTTTTTTAAAACACAGTTATGAATTGATAGTATATAAATGATGGAACTTAAAAAGTAGGAAAAAAATGACAGGGGCGTGTCCTTGTTTTTGAGCTATAGTCCCTTATCAGTGCTCACCATATTAGTTTCTTACTCGCCTTTGGCGAGATGGCGAGCGGAGGTTTCACACACTGTCATGTCAATAGTGCACATTCCAGAATTTTAGAAATCCTAGCCGGTTTCGTTGTTTTCTTTGACCCTTTTAACCAAAAATAATGTTGTTAAATTCTTAATAATTGTAGATTATCACTATCATAAAAAGCAATGACATTGCTAGATTGCCACAGGCATAACTTTAAGCAAAAAATCTGTCAAATAAATGTTTTTGATAAATCTTGAAAATCCTGCCTGAATAACCAATTACAGTCAAACTCTAGGACATAACTGTTTATCCCTGTATAAAATTAGGGTTCACAATCCCATCCAACATCAAATATGGCTGCAACTGCTTTGAAATAGAGAAATGCTGATGAAGGATCAATAAAATCAACTCAAAAACCTGCTAGCAAGCTATATGAAAAACATCACAAAATTATTGGTTTCATGGCTGAAATTTGTTTTCTTCTGATCGTTAAAAATCCAGCAAAAAACTGAAAATCAATATTGAAATGCCAGAAATGATTACCTATTGTTAGTTACTCAATTAAAATTTTATAATTAGTTATTAGGTAGTTTTTTTTATGTAGTTTATATTTCTGTATGTTTGTCATAAAATAAATAGTTGAGGAAGGACAAGAGGCAATGAGCTGAATCTGTGAAATCACATTTATAAAGACATACTGTAAATATTTCATAAAAACATGAGTGAAGAGAGATCTGTTGTTTAATTTTACAAAATGAGAAATCAGTATCAAACAAGACAAACATAAAGCTGAAATTTTAAGCTTGAACATGAAAAATACATATGCCAGATTATGCTTGTTCACATGCTCATTATATCAAAACTTTGCTTTGAGATTTCGAGATATTTGTAATCTCGAGCTCATTATACAACTTCTGATTAAATTTTCATTGAATTTGGGGTATAGAGAACCTCAAATTTAAATTTTATCAAAGTATAAAGTTTTCATAGGATTGTATGCAAATGCAAACTTTGGCAAATTATGCGACAGTAGTTTATGTTTAAATTTTGTAAATCGATTAGGATGAGACAAATTAAGGTAGCTAACAAACACTGAGGAAGACTCATGAACTCCAAAAGGAGCAATACTTGGTGTGTAAACAGAGTAAGCTTCTCCAGCTATACATGCAACACCCGCAATGCGAACTCACATTCATTCAAACTGTCACAATTAGGAATCACACAATTTGCAAAACCACGAAATTAATTATTAATGGAAATATGATTTTCCTTCAATGCACCAAAATTTGTTCCCTCGAAAATAAATGAATCTACAGTAAATTATTCTGAAAGGATTACAATAGTACAGTATTCTCCTTTCAGGGGATAAAATTAAGTACCCTAGCACTTTATTTAATTTATAGAACAAATCATGGTGATGTGATCTAACAGAAAATGATAACGTTTAGTGCTGTGCAACCATCAGTAATAGAGTTTTTTTTTTTTATAATATAACCAAACAATATTTATTCAAGCTGATATTTAGCTAAATGGTCATATGAACCATAAACAAATATTACAATGAAATTCTTTCACAGTTTAAACAAGGAATAAAGTAAGAACGATAGCCAGTAGATTTTATGGATTTTTTTGCCTTTTAAAAGATACCGGGTAACATGTATTTAGCAGTATGAATATAACAATAATGTTTATATTTAAACTCGGTTTATTGACCTTGCATTATAAGCCATTTAAACTGTCTTTATAAACAAGCATAGTTTTTCAATAGGGAAGAAAAAATGTCATGCATTTTCAAATTTTCAAATCAAAATGGCATCGGCATGGCTTATACAAAAGGCACAAGTTTCAATTGGTTGTCAGCTTTGTGAGAGTGGATCTACCATTCAGTGGAATTGTATTGATTGTGTATTACTGATGTGTAGTAAATGTAAACAAATTCATATGAAGTTTAAAAATGCCAACAACCATAAAATTGTTGATATTAATCAAACTGATCCATATGAATATTCAGATAAAAATTTTAACTTAAGTGAAATAAATTGCCAAGATCATGCAGGACAGGCCTGTTGCTTGTATTGCAAAGATTGTGAACAGTTCATCTGTCTTAAGTGTATGACCGAAGTCCATAAAGGACATGAAACCTTAGATACTGAAAAATACAAATTTGAACTGGACAGACTGATCAAAATTCAGAGGGAAACCAAAAACAAACTATGCAATATGGCTTTGTTCAATTTTCCAAGAAAAATCGGTAAAGATAAATTTGGTTCAGAGAAAAAAGAGGTGAAAGTGAAAAAGTCACATCTAAACTTTAAAATCACTGGACAATTTACATCTGATATAAAACATATCACATCTGTGTCATCCTGTTTTGACGATTCTCTGTGGATAGGAAACTGGGGCAATGAGGTCAAACATGTGACCCTAACGAAAGACGAGGTTCAGGTCATATCACAGTTCCCTATTCCTTTGTATGACATGGCTGTTACTTCATCTGACAATATTCTTCTATCAGTGGGTGAAAGTTCACTGAAGAATTTAAATGAGATAACTGGACAATTGTCAGATTCTAAGTACAATATAGCGCCAATGTTAGCAACTGGTGTACATGTTACTGCGGATCAGAAGGTCATTATTGGAGCCATAACACAAGGAGCTGGTTTCACTGGTGAAGGAAAGCGCATGGTGATAGTCATGGACAAAGAGGGGAAAAGTCTTATTGAATATGAACATGACAATCACAACAAACCATTATTTACATTTCCTGACAAAATATCTTGTACCAGGGGAGGTAATATCTGTGTAATAGATAGGTTAGATGGATCTAATATAGGTAGAGTGGTAGTGCTTGGGCAGGCAGGAAACATCATAGGAGTATACTCGGGTCATCCAGACATTAACTATCCGTTCTTACCATTTAAACCCTCAGGCATACTAACAACCACATTAGATAATATTATTATAGCTGATATGAGCATTAGTTCGCTGCACATTTTGAACTGTGATGGACAAATTATTTCATATTGTAGGATGGATGTTATAGGAATAATGTGTCCAATTTCTCTTACTCAGTCTAGACAAGGATATATCTACATAGGGTGTGATTCTCTACCAGGAGGTTCAGACCAGGTCAAAGCAAAACTTTATCAAATTCAGTATTCTGAATTTTAAAACCCAAAATATATAATGAAGTTTACTTTTTTAAGTTGGAGTTATCACAGTGTGGTTAACAATAGCATTATATTGAAATTATCTGAACAAAACAACACTGTAACTAAATTTGGTGTTGTTAGGTTCTTGTTTCATTGATGTGTACCTGTTATCTTCTTTTATTCGTAAAACTAAACAATCCACTGAATTATACACTGATTGATCTGTGTGACATATCAATAAATATTACTGTGAATTCATTTATTTTTGTGGATTGAGGAACATTTGCCTTTTGGTGGACATTTGATTTTATGTTTTTGCCAGTCTACATACAAGCCTATACAAAATTTTAAGTCACATTAATAAATCTCACATTATTAGTTGATCAACAATCACAAAAAATAAAGGCACACAATATTATTTATTTTTAGAGGAAAAATCCTTTTAATCTGCCATGACAGTAAATGAAAAGAATTTCTATGTCTTCTTTTAAAATAGATATATGAAACAGAAAAATACTGCCAAAGCTAATCTAATAATTTAGTTAAATATATGCCATTCCTGTCAAATTTAGCCTTTTATAGGATTGACTAGACAAGGATGGGTATAAAAAGAACAGAAGAAGGCTTCTGATTATTGAAAATGTTATTTTTGTCTTTTTTACATCAAATGTTAGTGATTAATTTGTTTTCTGCAACTTGAAGAGAGATAATGATTTTCACCAGAGGACATTTTTAATTTTTAATACTTATAATATAACAGACCTTACATCTATTTCGGAATCTGCAGCACTTGAACTATATATATTGATGTCATGCAACAATTGCTTTTGTATTGTTGCATCAGACATTTTCACTTGTAATGTCAAAAGTTTTATGGGAACATCTGTGATGGCCAGTAATGCCGGACAAATAGCGATAAGGTGTATTCTTTGAAATTGAATTTACTGTACATGCATTCACTTTTTCCAAGTGAATGCTCAAGAAATGCTCAATTGAATTTGCTATAGTGCTCAAATATTTATTTTTCGCCAAATTGTTAATGTGTTTTGGTCAAGAAGATGTATGGAAAATTTTCTACTGGGTGTTAGGTAAACAACAATTAATCAATCAATCAATCAATCAATCAATCAAACATCAATCAATCAATCACAAAGTGAACATCATAATCAAAAGTGGAATTTCATCAACAAAATTTTAATCAGTTCTTAGCATTAATTCATTGTCAGGGATGTGCTTGCTGGCAGATATAAGAGAATTGACAGTTGACATCTAATTATGTTGTTTTCTAATTTCATTTGCATGGATAGAATATTGAGATACTGTAAAGTCTACAGTAGATACCATTACATAAGAAGTTATTGTAGGTATCAAATATTTGGTAAGCACTGTTGAATTCATTCAAAATTCAACATAATTTGACATGTAGATGTCTTTTTAAACCTGGGCTCTCGGTCGTAAAATTTTACTCAGTACTCGGAGTACAAAATTTGTGCTCGAAACACCAAATCCAGGAAATTGATTGGTTGGTTTCTGAGTCTGAGTATGAAAATCGTGCTCAAAGTTTCATGATCGCAAGGTCAGGTGAACAATGCTAAGACTTAATTGTGAGATCTGCTTTGACGTCCACATTAAAAGAATGTGAGACAGTTAATCTATAAACAGCATAAAACAAAAGAGACAGTAGTAGCACTATTAATTACTGTCAGAGGCCAAGGTATAGAGTCAAAGAAACTAGAAAAACATTCCCTAATCTTCATTAAACTAAGCATACATATTTATCACTAGAAAGGATGGTATTTGATAATTTCACGAAAACAGACAGATGTCAGGGTCAGGATAAGGTCAAGGCTACTTGTCAGTGACCTGTCAACATGACAAATAATTCAATCTTCATTTCTCTATACCAAATACAATCCCATTGCTTAAGGGTTGAACCTTGGTATTTGATTGGAGTTAAAAGATTACTTTGCCATTACAGAATCTGTTGAACCTTAAGTAAGCAAAACAAAATGAGATGGCCAAAGTTACCTCCAAACATCTTGTAAGATGGCTGCTGTTCTTAAAAAAAAAGTTTATTTTAGTTATTTCTTAAATTATCAATCATAATCAGTTTAAGCATGAATTCCAAAGCAGATGGTTTTCATGTACAATATAAATCTGATTATCCAGCATCCAGTATGGCAGCATATTGAGCTCATTTTAATGGTTCATTGGTCAGTGTTAAGTTTTCATTGTCAGGTCCCTTTTTCAGACACTATAAGCAAAATATCAACTATAATTGGTGTATGAAATTATTATATGGTTAACATGTGCATCTGGCAATGTTTGTCTTATTATTGTTTAAGTTAGGATTTTGTGGTTAGCACCTTTTCTCAGACACTATAAGCCAGTGCCCAACTATATTTGGTGTATGGAATAATTGTGAGGTGAACATGGTTCATTGGTCAATGGTAATATTTCTTGGTAAAGTCTGTTTTTAATAGAAACTAAAAGCAATATATAGGTCAAATTTATTTGGTGTATGGAATAATTGTAAGGTGAACATGTCTGTTTAGCAGTTTTGATCTGACCATGACCTCATTTTCATGCAAAACAGAAAATGTTAAGTTTATGTATCCATAGTAAAACCTTGATCTTTTAAAAAGACTAACATGAATTCAATCATGATAAAGCATGGGGAACATTTCAGCGTGCACACTCTTGTTTATTCCTTGTCATGATGCAAGCATGATGTAAAACGTAGGTATAGTTCTAGGCAACAATGGCAAGTGAGCATTACAGGTTTCTGGAGTGAGTTTAGTTTATTAAATTCCATCTGCCAAAACTGGGACCAAAGGCTATAGGGGTAGAATATATACAGATAGTGATGGCAAAGACAGGTGAACATAAAAGGCAATTTATGGCATAATTGCTCATGTGTTTTATAATATTTTGCATTTTTGCTGAAATGATGTTTAAAATTTGTTATTCTTTACACACAAAATATATTATTTTGGGGGTTAAATAGGCTGTTCATTGCTTACATGTCCTAGCACTGAACAGTTTTAATGATAAAGTATTTATTTCTTTTTTAGGACTTTTTGCCATCCAATCATTCAGCAATAGTTGTAGAAGATTTCAAAACAGTCAAAGAACTAGCAGATTATATAAAATACTTGAATGATAACGATGAAGAATATGCCAGATATCTTGAATGGAAGTCCAAGGGTGTCAGAAATCAGTATTTAAAGAAAGAATTATCAGAACGAGAGTGGTCAGTTCAAAGTAACTGGGAAGAGGCAACAATCAACTTTATCGAAGGTTTTCAGTGCTATGTTTGTAAAAAGATTCATGAAAAAAATGAGCGAGTGAGAAATAAAAAGGAACCTGTGAAATGTCAAGCAACAAAAGATCATTACGGTTGTCCAGGTCCTGTTAGTTACCATGACGATGGCAGGCGTAAGGAAGGAGGAAGCTCTTCCTGGGACTATGAATTTAAAAAATCAAAATATTTAGCGTTAGCTGTGAACAGACTTATATCATTAGGACAAAACTTTTCCAAAAAAGACCTGTTTCAATTAGCTAAAATAATCAAGGATGAATTAAGATGACGTCAACCAAATTAGATTACATATACAGTCTAATCTTTTTCCTTTAGAGTAAGTCACTTTAGTGACACATTAGTAATTCAATTTGGGTAAAGTTGAAAATAATCTCCATTTAGAAAAATTAATATATTTTAGGGAGCATTTTGATAAGCTAGAAGATGAAAAGCTTTATAAATTATCTGTCAAAATAGAACCTGAGTTGTTAGTTTTCTCTTTTGAATTGTTTCAAAGTTTGTTATCCTGGGACCTTTTATAGCTTCAAGGTTTCCACCTTACCTTGAAAACTGGAAAAAGTCTGGAATTGTTAATTGAAAATAGATGAATTTCCTTGTTTTTTAGTCCTTGGTGGATAGTTGTCTTATTGACAAGCATCTCACTTGTCCTGATTGTTATATACTTTATCTTAAAAAAAACCCACGAAATACATTCTGAAAAACACCATAAAAATATTTTTTTATGATGTTGAAGAAAATAGTTTATTTTGAGACAGAATGTTCTGTCAGTTTATATATATATCAGTATTTTTTATTCATATCCTTATAATCTTTTTTTTTTTTAATTCCTGCAAGATTGCCATGTGTCTTTCAGTTTGAACTATTTTTTCTGTCAACAGCTCTGTGTAGAGAATCCCTCAACTATTTATATACAAATTTTACCTTCCATGCATGAAATACTACATACAATTGTATATTTCTATGCCATTGAAGGAAAGAAGAGGTTAGTTTCAAATTTAATGACCAAATATCACTAATCTGAAATATCTTGAAGAAAGTCATATTGTTATTGCTTTTATCAAACGGGTATATTTGTACAACAAAAATATTTCTGCTCCTACAATACTGTGCAACAACTTTTATTTGAAGATGCATATTTTTCTGTTTATTGAAATAACTGTGTTTTAAACTCTATATAGATAATAACAACAACTCTAATGTATAATTAAATGTAATGCAACTTTTTATTGTGTGACGTCTGCCAAACACTCCATAATTGGCAACAACCCAGAGCAATCACAGTTGACAATTTGGGATTTTTATGCCCCCGCCGTAGGCCACAGGGGCATTAAGTGTTACCCTTAACTCTTTCCATCTTTCTGTCCTTCCGTCTTTCCATCTGTCCGTCCCATTTTTGTTTGTTTGAAGCTTGAGCGGGGGCATTTGTGTCTTCAGACACATTCTTCTTTTATTTTAAAATTTAGTTTAGAGCATTTTACCAATGTTACATAAGAATAGGATTAACAGTTTTGTATTTGAAGAGATATTCCTATATAGTCCCAATTGTCAGAGGGAACTCTTAAAATACAGTACTTTTATTCCTAACTTGCTCAGATGGATTTCAGATAGATCTTTGTCTTATCCTACATGAATTAAGCTGTTTGTTCTGACCATTGTCAATTTTGAAACTGAACAATTCTTTAAATTGTTGATGAAATTTAGATAGTTGAACAAATGAATGTTTTGTTCTGCTTTATTTATTCTTTGGCCAAAATATTATATATATATACTATGTGTACATTGTACATATTTCCTTGCCTCCTGGCAGCAAAAAAAATAGGGGAGGCAAGTACAGTGCATGGCCATATGTATTCGTCAAGAAGATTTTTTTGTTAAAACTAAAAAAAACCATAGTTTTAAATGAAATATATAGCAGAAATGTAAGTGACCAATATATTATGGCCATGCACTGTTTGTTGAATAATTTTATTGAAAAAAATATTTGTTTTTATATACTATAATGGGGAAATATTCTGGACTTAAGCAGTTCTTAATTTAAAATATCTGGACTGCAACAGTGCTTAACCAAAGATTGTCCATAAAACTGATTTTTAAAAGTCAGACTTATTCTAAATCAAAATTAGTATATTTTGTCTATTGTTTATGATATAATGTTTATGTTTTTTAAAGAGATATATTTTTTTTATTTTTAATGACTGCAAATCTACCAAGTCCTGCATGATTCAATGTCCATTTATCAGTAGAAATCCATGCATCATATCTTATTTATATACATGTATTTTTACCTGTTTTAAACATGTTTTTTAAGTTGTCATCATTTTAGTGCAAATGCATGATTTAGCAATATTTTATGTAATCTAGTCATATCATAATTAAATTCTTAACTAAAATCACATACCAGTTTTAAGCTCTTTTGCTATGGTGGGCGCATTGCATTTGCACCAAATTTTACAAAATCCAATCTTTCATTTGTACCACCAGGTTATATTTCAATTGTGCCATAAAATAAAAACTACATTGTGCCATTTTACATCTAACATATAACGGAAAAGTTTAAATTATTTATTGCTACATTGTGAGTAAGAATTTTTTTTAGAGTATTCCCCCTGGGTAAACAAGTAAGTTCATACTCATTTATAATATAAAACTGATAGTCACTTAGGTTTAAATCTGTATAGTGTTCACATGTTTGAGGTGTCAAGATTGACATTGTCAATTCTGAGACAAACAGGCCAATTTTCTCAATAGGATTGTTTCATATTTTTCATGTCGGGGCTGTTTAAAGCCTACTATACGGTATGGGTTTTTCTCATTTTTAAACGTGTATACGGTTGCCTATAATTGCTTTCATCCACTTCATTTGAACTTTGGTGGATAGTTGACTCATTGGCAATCATACCACATCTCTTTATTTTTATATAGAGGAAATAAGTCTGTAATTTTTTATGACCACACATATAGGTTATCCAGTGTACATGAGTACATCAGAGCTGTTGATTACAAGTCTTGTGTCAGAACAAACTTTTGGTTTTACTCCAGTGTATATATAGTGCTTTCGTTTAGGTTTTATGATCACGTTAATTTATAAAAGAACTGTGTTTTAACATTATTATGAAAGTCTCTTATTAAGAACGTTTCAGTGTATAGTGCTTTCATTATGGTTACGATGACTGATTTCAGAGGAATATGTTTTATTATGTAATCAATAACTGTGTTTTAAAGTTATTATTAAAAGTCTCTTTTGAATAAACTATTTTTTATACTATTTACCTGTATTATTGACACAAATTGAATTTTTTATTTTAGCGCAAATGAAATATGGTTTGTGGCGTAAATGAAAGATTATTTTGGCGCAAAAGCAAAGTGTTGCACTTGGTGTCCGTTGTCTGTTGTCATTTGCGTCCATTGTCTTTTAACTTTTACATTTTTCCTATTATCTCGAAAAATGTAATAGATAGACAGAAACTTTAAATAGCAAAAAGGATCAGCAAAAAGAGATCTACAGATAAGTCAGCATGAAGGAAATTGTTAGTCGACTTCTTATTGAAGTTATTACCCTTTAATTATGATTTTTCCCATTTTTTGCATTTTTGCCTATTATCTTAAAAACTATAAAGCTAAGATAGAAACTTTAAATAGCAAAAATGATTAACAAGACATGATCTACAAACAAACCATTTTGCCAAAATCTTCAGTTAACTAATTATTGGAGTTATTGCCCTTTGATGATAATATTTACCAATTTTTTTGGCAATCTTTACCTATTTTTTGTAAAACTATAATAGCAAAATAGAAACTTTAAAAAACGAAAAATGATCAGCAGGATAACATCTACAAATATGTCAACATGACTGAAATTGTCTGTTTACTCTTAATAATGTTATCCCCTTATAATGATGATTTTTACTAAAAAGTGGCCATTGTTGAAGATGCAGTGAGTGACATAGGCTCTTAAGAGCTTTTAGTTTTAAGTTTTTACAATGCAAAGTTACAGTATATTGATACTGTGGATTCATTATTATTTGTTGGGTACCAGTTTGAGTGGATTTCATGTGTGAAGATGAACCACAAATTTGATTGTTCTGTGAATTATAAAGGCATCATAGGATTGTATGCAAACCTTGGCAAAACCATGAAATCAAATATCAACGAAAATATATTTTTTCTCCCATCCATGAAAATTGGTACCCATGTAAATAAATGAATCCACAGTATGGCTTCTACAATATTAAGATCATAGATAACAATTGATTGAAAAAAGTGCTTTGATTCTTTTCCTTCAAGTTCAAAGTAAAAACATCCACAAAAACAAAACTTTTGTGAAGTCTTGATATCAATTACAGAAGTGGTATATGATGTTTGCACAAAATTTATTTGATCCTGTATGAATGTGTAACATAATATATTTCATGTTCTGTAAAACCTTACATATTACCTTACTGTTTTATAAATGGAAATAATTGATATGAATATTATGAAATTATTTCTCATGTGAAATAAACTTTAAAAGAAAATAAGAGTTATCCCTCTTTGCATATATATGTAGTTTTAATGAGTTAGGTATTGCCTTCAACAATTGCTACTATGTACATGTATTATGTGGAGTGTTTCAATCCTACCTTACTCAGACAGGAAACAGCATCCCCGACTTTAAACAAAGCCTAGTTGGACGAGTAATCTAGGTAACCAGACAAAGCTATTTCTAAAAAAAAAATCAATATGAAAATAAGGAAATGTAGTATGAATACTAATGAGACAACTATCCCCCTGTGTTCAAATGACATGGATATAAGCAATTATAGGTCACAGTACGGCCTTCAACAATGAGAAAAGCCAATATTGTATAGGAAGCTATAAAAGGCCCAGAAACAATTCCAACAAAAAAACTAATGTCCTAATCTATAATGTTGTGTTTTGTGTACTGTTGTTTGCCTGTTTGTCTTTTTCTTTTTTAGCCATGGCATTGTCAGTTTGTTTTTCGACTTATGAGTTTGAATGTCCCTTTGGTATCCTTTGCCTCTCTATAACAATACAGTTTACAAAAAGAAAATATGACAGACATGCATTAGTCTATTATACAAAACTTCTGTCTAGTCAGAACAAAATCATTGTAACTTTAAAGTCACAGGGACCATTTCTGAAAAATATGTACCGTATATGCTTTATATGGATCTATGAATGACATTATCAAGGTGTTCCTCATCAATCTTTTATCACTTCCCTCTAATAAATCTTCCTTTGACCTTGGTGCTCATTGACAAAGGTAGCATTTATCTTTGGTCTGTTACATAACCATTGTATGCATTGACATTTGTCTGGATAGTATATGTGAATTTGAAAATGATAAGGTCAAATATAACATAGATCTAAATCAATTCTCATTGTTCATTAGGGTGAAACCAGATGTTACCAGGATGGGTAATACAGCACACCTGTTCATTTGAATTTTTTTTTAGTTCATATAAAGAAACATATTAAAATGCAAAAATGTGACCCTGTCTTCAGTTGTATTGATATTGGTTTGCCTGGTTGTAAGGCAACTTCAAACTGATTATAGCAGTACAATTGGACATTTTGTCTGTTAAACTATTTAATTTGAAATATATAATGTATATAGAGGGGTAGAAGGACCTTTTTCGTGACATCGGGATTGGGCTTTTATTTTCGCGGGAATTCAGGTTTTACACCTATCTGGACTCTGGAATTAATGATTAACTGTTCCAGGATACGGGGAAAGAATACTTAATTTTTTTCAGGATTAGGGATGATACCCCCTCCTACCACCCCTATATATTATCTTGTTTTCATTATTCATCCAGAAATTGCATAATAAGCTTGTTATACTGATATTTAAATAAAATTGATAATCTTTGCAGTATATTGTGAAAAAAAAATATGGGAAAAGTCATGTACATAATAAATCTACTCATACATTAATTTTTTAGATTGTTCCAAAAAAACTCAAAAAAGATACCAGGCTTATAATTTTGTACCCCAGATGCACGTTTCTTCTACAATAGACTTATCAGTGACACTCAAATAAAAAAAATTAAAAGGCCAAATAAAGTATGAAGTTGAAATAGTCCTTAGCATGGTATACTTTACCAAATCTAATCTATTTACCACACCTAAGTTTTGGAGCACACCAGTCTGTTCCTTGGAAATTACATTATAATAATATTTTCTTGGTATAAATATAATGATTTAGAAAATTATTTGTAAAAGATTTTACTGTTTTATGATCTATGATAGTAAAGATGCATTAATTTTTGCAGCATATTTGTTTAGGCCCTTTGTTTATCTGCAATTCTGTCTGTCCCGTTAGTTGTAGCAGGTTAAAGTTTTGGTTTAGAGTAGCCTACAGTTTTGGTTAAAGGTAGGCTATAGTTTGGTTAAAGGTAAGTTTAAGTATTTTGTTTTGGGTAGTTTGTGGTCCCTATTACTCTTTTTTGTAAATAGTAAATCATCTCTATTGATGGTTTTTTTTCTGCAAAGGTGAAACATAGCAATCCTCAAATCTGTTGGCTTCGTGTCGTTAAACATTTAGTTTTGGTCTGTGGGTAGTTTTTGGTCCCTATTACCCTTTTTGTAAATAGTAAATCATCTCTATTGATGTTTTTTTCTGCAAAGGTGAAACATAGCAATCCTCAAATCTGTTGGTCTCGTGTCATTAAACATTTAGTTTCGGTCTGTGGGTAAAGTTTTTTTTATACTTCAATAACTTAGTCAATCTTTAAATGAATTTTATGTAACTTGGATAGAAGCATCATCAAATTAAAAGACAATTTCCAAGGCAAAATTTTGCAAATATTTTTTTACATAATTTTGTATTTTACTGATAAATGGACTTTTTTGTTGGTTTTTTTATGCATAAGATTAGATACAGTCAGCAATTAAAGTTTGCAGACGTCAATAACTTTGCAAAACGTTCATTGGAAATTTTTTAAACTTCAACAGATACTTTTTAATGGTAAAGAAAAAGCATCTGAATTTTTATCTTTTTAAAAGTTTTGTAAATTTAATCTCGGGTTAAAGTTCATAAATCATCAATAATCTTTTAAAGACCATCATGAACTTCAGTAAACTTTTACAAAAGCTTCTGTATAACTTAATCTAGAGCAAATTTTGATTTTTCAATACTTTACTAAGAAATTGACCTAGTTCTTTTTCTCCAGTCAACATTTAAGTACTGTCTGTGGTTAAAGATTTTTAAAACTTACATAAACTGTGTCAAAACTTCAACAGAAGCTTATTCATAATCACGAGATAGTAACCTGAGCAAAATTATATTTTTGGCACCATTTTACACTGACAACAGCAGTTGCAGTCACTACAATTTTATTTTATTTCTGAGAAAATGTGTTTGTATAGGGATATTCCTCCTAACTATCAAGTACATATTTCATTTGCTTATGCCTACACAGGTCAAAGTTCTTCTACTAGATCATTTATGTCATATACAGTCAAGTTCTTCCACAAGATCCTTTATATCATATACAGTCAAGTTCTTCCACTAGGTCATTTATGTCATATACAGTCAAAGGTCTTCCACTAGATCATTTATGTCATATACAGTCAAGTTCATTTATGTCATATACAGTCAAGTTCTTCCACTAGATCATTTATGTCATATACAGTCAAGTTCATTTATGTCATATACAGTCAAGTTCATTTATGGCATATACAGTCAAGTTCATTTAAGTCATATACAGTCAAGTTCTTCCACTAGATCATGTATGTCATATACAGTCAAGTTCTTCCACTAGATCATTTATGTCATATACAGTCAAGTTCTTCAACTAGATCATTTATGTCATATACAGTCAAGTTCTTCCACAAGATCCTTTATATCATATACAGTCAAGTTCTTCCACTAGGTCATTTATGTCATATACAGTCAAAGGTCTTCCACTAGATCATTTATGTCATATACAGTCAAGTTCATTTATGTCATATACAGTCAAGTTCTTCCACAAGATCCTTTATATCATATACAGTCAAGTTCATTTATGTCATATACAGTCAAGTTCATTTATGGCATATACAGTCAAGTTCATTTATGTCATATACAGTCAAGTTCTTCCACTAGATCATGTATGTCATATACAGTCAAGTTCTTCCACTAGATCATTTATGTCATATACAGTCAAGGTCTTCAACTAGATCATTTATATTATATACAGTCAAGTTCTTCCACTAGATCATTTATATCATATACAGTCTAGTTCTTCCACTAGATCATTTATGGCATATACAGTCAAGTTCTTTCACTAGATTATTTATGTCATATACAGTCAAGTTCTTCCACTAGATCATTTATGTCATATACAGTTTATTTTTTCCACTAGGTCATTTATGTCATATACAGTCAAGTTCTTCCACTAGATCATTTATGTCATTTACACCCAAGTTCTTTCAATATATCATTTATATCATATACAGTCAAAGTTCTTCCATCAGATCATTTATATCATATACAGTCAAGTTCTTCCACTAGATTATTTATGTCAAATACAGTCAAGTTCTTCTACTAGGTCATTTATGTCATATACAGTCAAGTTCTTCCACTAGATCATGTATGTCATATACAGTCAAGTTCTTCCACTAGATCATTTATGTCATATACAGTCAAGTTCTTCAACTAGATCATTAATATCATATACAGTCAAGATCCTCCACTAGATCATTTATATCATATACAGTCAAGTTCTTCCACTAGATCATTTATATAATATACAGTCGAGTTCTTTCACTAGATTATTTATGTCATATACAGTCAAGTTCTTCCACTAGATCATTTATGGCATATACAGTCGAGTTCTTTCACTAGATAATTTATGTCATATACAGTCAAGTTCTTCCACTAGATCATTTATGTCATATACTGTCAAGTTCCTCCACTAGATCATTTATGTCATATACAGTTAAGTTTTCCACTAGATCATGTATGTCATATACAGTCAAGTTCTTCCACTAGATCATTTATGTCATATACAGTCAAGTTCTTCAACTAGATCATTTATATCATATACAGTCAAGTTCTTCCACTAGATTATTTATGTCATATACAGTCAAGTTCTTCAACTAGATCATTTATATCATATACAGTCAAGTTCTTCCACTAGATCATTTATATCAAATACAGTCTAGTTCTTCCACTAGATCATTTATGGCATATACAGTCGAGTTCTTTCACTAGATCATTTATGTCATATACTGTCAAGTTCATTTATGTCATATACAGTCTAGTTTTTCCACTAGATCATTTATGTCATATACAGTCAATTTCTTCCACTAGATCATTTATGTCATATACAGTCAAGTTCTTCCACTAGATCATTTATGTCATATACAGTCAAGTTCTTCCACTAGATCATTTATGTCATATACAGTCAAGTTCTTCCACTAGATCATTTATGTCATATACAGTCAAGTTCTTCCACTAGATCATTTATGTCATATACAGTCAAGTTCTTCCACTAGGTCATTTATGTCATATACAGTCAAGTTCTTCCACTAGGTCATTTATGTCATATACAGACAAGTTCATCCACTAGATCATTTATGTCATATACAGTCAAGTTCATCCACTAGATCATTTATGTCATATACAGTCAATTTCTTCCTCAGATCATTTATGTCATATACAGTCAATTTCTTCCACTAGATCATTTATATCATATACAGTCAAGTTCTTCCACTAGATCATTTATGTCATATACACTCAAGTTCTTCCACTAGGTCATTTACGTCATATACAGTCAATTTCTTCCACTAGATCATTTATATCATATACAGTCAATTTCTTCCACTAGATCATTTATATCATATACAGTCATGGTCTTCCACTAGATCATTTATGTCATATACAGTCAAGTTCTTCAACTAGGTCATTTATGTCATATACAGTCAATTTCTTCCACTAGATCATGTATATCATATACAGTCAAGGTCCTCCACTAGATCATTTATATCATATAAGTCAAGTTCTTCCACTAGATCATTTATATCATATTCGGTCAAGGTCTTCCACTAGATCATTTATGTCATATACAGTCAAGGTCTTCCACTAGATCATTTATGTCATATACAATCAAGTTCTTCCACTAGGTCATTTATGTCATAGAAAGTCAAACCTATTCTAAAGGTCACCTCTCAAAAGTGAAAACTTGTCTTGTCAGGCCATCATCTCATTGTCCAAATGTAGAAGGAACTTTGCACTTTGAACCTCAATTCAAAGGTCGCCTCTCCTATAAGGTCATTATTCTGTCGTCCCTTATAAGGTCAGTTTTCTCTCGTCCAAAGGATGACAATTTTGTACAGGTTTGACTGTACTGTATTTAGAAATTAAGCATGTGCTAGAATAAAATTCAGAGCAAATTTTATAGATTGAACTTAACATCATAAGGTGATAGTATAGAGATTACTACAAACAGGTGTTTCTAATTTTTTTCAAAAGGAGGAATCTGTTTGCCGACTGTGATGTAAAAATACAAAGTTATCATCCAGTTGTAAAAAACTTGATTAAATGAAATAGTTTGTGCTAAGGATAAAACACTCTGCATGTAATGTAATCAGAAGTATTCCTTATCAACAGCTGTAACCATATCAGATCAAAGACATTGCAAATCATCTCCTCCCAGTCCTATATCTTTTACATAATGAGAGCACAGGTGTCCTTGAACTCTGATACATGACCTTGATTTTAAACATATTCTATTTTCATGCGAAATCTTCAGTTTTAGATCTATTAAGGCTACTAGCTTTTTCCTACACTGCATTCAAATGACCTTGATCTTTGACTTTTATGGGTCATCTTCTGACCAAGTTTAATATGATAAATATTTAACGACAAGATGAGTGGTGTAATGCCCAACAGCTTTTTCTGTAACAAATTGAATGTTACCTTTGACCTTGACATGTAATATAACAGACAAGCTCTGCAATACCTACACATTTTCACTTAGCCATAGCTTGGTATAGAAATCACATAATGAAAAATCACATCTGAGGTTTTTTTTCAATCTGCTTGGCCTTATCATGACACTTAAACTTTGAAAAACTCATTAAAATGACACTTTTACACTTGTTGTCAATTTCCCCATCTTAAACTGATGTGACATATATAATTTTTGAAATCAAAGATACTTTCTAGTTGTCATGCTTTTGACATAATGATTTAGTTTGGACTACCAGGATTTCATAGAAATAAAACATTATCTTCTGTTGTTATTAATACTTGCAGACACCAAATCAATATTTGGTTCTTCTGTTGTCAGTAGTAGTTGGATGAGAAGGATTTTAGAAACATATGATAAATTATTAAACAGGAATGAGTTCTGGTCTGATTTATAGAATTTGATCTGTGATTGCATAGCAGAATTTCAAGATTTGTTTTTTTTTTTTAATTTTATTTGATAAATGTCTTAGATAATCATTACAGTCAGACTTGTGGAGGTATGCTGATGTCAGATAATGGATAATTTATTTGATTGTTTCTTCTGCAGTATTAAGGCTGGAATATAATAAACCACATGTCAAATTTAAGTACCTTATATAATCAAAGCGCTTGGGAGCACTGACGGGTAAAGAGTGCTATCCTTTTTCATTGTAAATTGCACAGAATTAAGCAATGGAAAGAATTTAGGCCATATTTTGAATTATCTCCCTTTGTCCATAACTATAGGTACAAGAGATGCATATGCCATGCACTAAACTTTCTGCATTCTGCAACTTATGTGCAGCTCACTGCAATATGTTTAATAAGTTAAGATCAGGCCTGGAACATAGCTGTTAAGCAAGTGAAACTTTCTTTTTTCAACCTGAGTAACAGTTCAATCCAAATAGAGCCTATAATGATTCCGAGAGTCTGCACTGAGTTATAGTCAGGTTAACAATTTAGGCCCTAATCAATCATCTGACTACAAACATTTTTAACCTTGCCAAATTCTTCATTTGCCTGTCCCAAGTCAGGAGCCTGTAGTTCAGTGGTTGTCATAATGACAATGGTTGTCATATTGGTTTTTTGTAAATTCTTTTGTTATAAATAAGGCTGTTAGTTTCTATTGTTTGAATTGCAACAAATTTTGATATTTATATTGATGATATATAAACTCTCCCTACACCTTTGTTACCAAGATGTAACAAATCTCTTAAATAAAACATTTCAAGCAGTTATCTTTAAAAAAAAACATAAATTAAACAAACATTCTTTTAAATATTTTAATTTCCTTCAATACTTTCATCTGTAACTGACGTAACAAAAACAGACTTGTGTGTTCTCTCCAAAATATCACATTCAGAAATTGAGATAAATTGTTGCATAGCATATACTTTGAAAACAACAACTTGCTTGAACCTGACAATTAACAAAATAAATTAATATGATCACATAATCTTGTACAACTGTAAAATGCATTATTAAGCTTCTTTAAGCATGAATTATCTATCATAAAAGAGTTTTAATAAATAGGAATCTAATATATACAAATAAGAAAAGGAATGTCAAGTTTATGTACAATAAAAAAGAATGAAAATATAACAGTTCACATATAACAACATCTAGATTAAATCCATGATCAATAATGAGGATGAAAAAGGGATGAAAATAATGAACAAGCACTCTGAACTGAAATGGAGTTATGGGTGTATATTTACGAATGGTTTTCAATTTTTATCTTGACTAGAAATTTTGTTTGATGTGTTATGTACGCTAAAACGATTATAAATAAAAAGATGTTTTAAAAGTCAATTAAAAAACAAATCCTTTTTAATAAAGCTAGCCAAGAGCTATAATTGGCCATTCTCATCAACCGGTATCTTTAGATATTTTCATGTCACAAGGAAATGGAGTCTTTCATTGGATGGACCAAGACCTTGGTATATCCAATCAAATCCAGAGAAAAAAAAATAAAATGTATAATCATAACACAAATATTTGAGTTTTTTTAAAGGAAATGGAGTTTCATAAGTTTGTAAAATTATACAGAGAACACCTAATACTGAAAAGCTCCAAATAAAAAGAAATCATTTGAGAAAAAGAACATTGTCCTACTGTTGTTGTTTTAATAGTTATACAGGGATTATGGGATTTATAATTACTGTAATAAATCATAGTTTTAGGCGGACTATGGGACAGAGAAGGGATTATACCCCTTGATGGAAAAATAATTAAACAGGTGGTATGAATAATATTCATGGACTGTTCAAAGTTCACAAAAATTATGAGTATTCATAGCATAAATCTATAAGACTGCCTTTGTTACCTTCAACTCAAAAATATTTTTTGGAAATCTTATAAATGTAACGGTTTATTGAATCATTTGTAAACCTAAATCATGTTAAACTGATCTGTTATCCTTTATATTTAGTAAGAGGCTACAGCTAAGAGGCTACAGCTAAGAGGCTACCGCGGTTAACTGATGCTCTAAATTTGTAAATCTGTCATCCTTTATATTTAGTAAGAGGCTACAGCTAAGAGGCTACCGCGGTTAACTGATGCTCTAAATTTGTAAATCTGTCATCCTTTATATTTAGTAAGAGGCTACAGCTAAGAGGCTACAGCGGTTAACTGATGCTCTAAATTTGTAAATCTGTCGTCCTTTATATTTAGTAAGAGGCTACATCTAAGAGGCTACCGCGGTTAACTGATGCTCTAAATTCATAAACCTGTAATAATTTATATTTAGTAAGAGGCTACAACTAAGAGGCTACAGCTAAGAGGCTACCGCGGTTATCTGATGCTCTAAATTTGTAAATCTGTCATCCTTTATATTTAGTAAGAGGCTACAGCTAAGAGGCTACAGCGGTTAACTGATACTCTAAATTCGTAAATCTGTTATCCATTATATTTAGTAAGAGGCTACAGCCAAGAGGCTACAGCGGTTAACTGATACTCTAAATTCGTAAATCTGTTATCATTTATATTTAGTAAGAGGCTAGAGCTAAGAGGCTACAGCGGTTAACTGATACTCTAAATTCGTAAATCTGTTAGGAATATACCAACCAAGAGAAACAAATAAAACTGACGGAATTCCATGAACTCCAAATGGAGCACGACCAGGTGAATTATAAATTGTATACATATATTACATTATTTGAAAAAAAAATTTATCTACGTCGATAAAATTAGCTTACCACTGGTAAAGTAGGGGTTAAATACTTACATCCATCATTGGAGAAAGTGTCAACGTATACTGGTATGTGATAGTTTGTCAGACCCTTTAAGTGGATTACCAAACATGGATCTATAGTTACCATGACCTACTGATCACCATCATATTGTTAAAATGCTAGTATCATCAAACAAAAAACAAACAAAACTAAAACTTAACACCTGTATAATCAGAACATAGGGGTGGTGAGCTGGTGAGACATCCAATACCCCACCCTTTTCCCTTTATATATATTTTGATTTTTGAATCTATAGTTTCCATGAATACGCTATTTCAGGGAGAGGTAATTAGATTTGACAAATATCTTATGCATTAAAGACTAAAGTTTTAATTGCATCTAGTTAATTTTAGGTACAGCAACCTTTTTCATATATTTCATCCTTATCATAATTATCATGAAGCTTAGGAATGGCGACTTATTCCTATGACTCTTCCCTACCACTCATTACATAGTAAGTGCCTCCCCCATAAGCTTTTATATGACCTTGTGAGAATATCTAATGCATATTTTATATCAAATATCAAATAACAAATGCAGACATTCTCTGCTATCAATGTCTGCTATCAAATATACTCTTTTCAATAATTTATAATTCCACAAAGTGACAGTAAATAGGTATGTTATATAAAATCAATATACATTAATCCTCTGGAGTAAAAACAAATATTAAATAAAGAACACTTCCATTAGAAAAAACTTTAAGGGAGGCCACGCAAAATTTATATAATCTTGATATTTTTTTTGAAAACAACAAAAAACCAAGTGCAAGCTGGAAATGTTTCTATTTTTCTTTTTCTTAATAAAAGTATGAAAAGAAGCTCTAAATGTAATAATGTATTAATATTTTCTCATGAAGATTGCTGGATTTTTATATATAAAAACACTAGCTTTTAACTATGAGTCACAATCAATTTCTATTTTTTTCAACTAAATGGGACAGAATCGTAGCACTTTGCTCTTTTTTTTTAAAAGCATTTGTGTTTCCAAATTTGGTATGGGAAAATCAAAAGTAGCAAAAATCAATTTGGCTTTAACTGATATCCTATTATAAGTCAATTAAGTACTTCAATTAACTAAATGTAGTTATTAATGTTTATGAATGCTTTTTGAAAAAGTCATGCTCTCAAAAATTTAATGAAAAAATGAAATAATATAATATTTCGTGTTAAAATTAATGAGATGTTGATGGATTTCTGGAGAAACAAGTATATTATCTCCATTATGATCACTGAAAATGCTTTTGTTGAATAATTTAGCAATTATACTTATAAAATGGCAAGTTGATTGAATGAACAAATATCAAAATGGCCTACAGACAAATGGTGCCTTTTTCAGTCAGTAAAAAGTAAAAATTCTTTAAAATATCAATTTAATACACAGACATAATGTTTTTCCCATTAAAGTCACTATGGTACATTCTACAGTTATATTTTGTAAATTGTTTTCTCATTGAAAAAAAACATTTGAAATTTAATGTTATATACAACTGTCACATTGCATGTAAATATACAACCAATCAATCAAATTATATATTACTTAAAAAAAAAAAAAAATTAAAAAAAAAAATTGCAAGCAGTGTAATTGTTCAGCTTTATTGTCATTACAATTAAATACACACTAATCTTAAACAAACAAAAATAGTTCACAATTGATATCCATTAACATAGTTTTAAAAATAAAATAAAATATGGCTTTCAAGGGGGAATAACTTAAAATTATCATAAAGCACAAAATCTAAAATGAGTATGAGTGACCAAAGGTCAGTATAATCCTGTCATGATTTGCAACAAATTTGTAGACTACCGTAAGATTTGTTGTAGAATATAATAATCAGGTAAAACCACGGCAATTTATCTTTTTTTTCTATTTTTTTTATTTTCAAATAAGCACAATTGGGTAGCAACTTGTTTTATTATCCAAAAAACATTTTGAATGAAGACAGGCCAAGTTGTATCTGGATTTACATTTAACAAATAGGAAGTGCACTCTTTCTGTGTTAATTTCTATTAATAATAGTAGCATGGCAGTGACACTTATATTTTTATAATATAGGTGATTCAGACATTTAGAGATGCAGAAGAAATTTTCATTTGGATGTGAAATTTTCTTTCAACAATTGGTTTTTGAAATTAATATCAAATTGGTGTAGCTAATGATTACTGCAAGATTTAATAAATGAATGAACCCTGTATGAATTTGGTAATGAACACTTTCAATGATTAAGTTTGGGCGAAAAAGCAAACATAAACTTATTAAAAAGAACAATCATTTTTTGTTCTAAAAAATCTAGTTATTCATAAATACCCTTGAAAGAAAAACATACAATATTACGAAACATAACAACAATGAAATACTAAAACAAATATTTGGTCCCTAAATGATTTCTATTGACTTCCATATACATGTACTTTTCACTCTTGCATCAATCAACGTCATTTACCGTTTCTTTTATGCAGAATTATAAGTTTCTACTTTTACCTAATCAAACATTTTTGAGAATGGTTAAGGAGTTAGGTAGTCAGATTTGATTTTCATACAAAACACTGTTGTGTACAAAAGATAAGATTTTTTTTTTACAGGTCTACCGGTATAGCTAAACACAATTTTATTATCAAAATAAAGTCAATAATTTATCCCCAAATTAAAAAAAAAAATGTCAACTTTTAACTTTAACTAATTGATGTTTTACAGAGTATATATATTGGAGATATTAGATTTATCATTTTTAAATATCAAAGAACAATAAATGAAATATACATATGAAATCATAACCCCTGATAACAATTGGCCATAATAATAATATATGTAATACTTAACATGCTTAAGTACTATGTCTTTATGAAATTTTGATACATTGCTTGGAATTTAAGAATATTTAAATACTGTTGTTTTGTTGTGCCCTACGAAATGAAAAATTCCAGGAATCACACAGGTATTGAATTAGGTATGTCATCATCGCGTAGATCATAGATATGAAAGTTTGCACCACTGGTGGCTAAATGTGAATACATTTCATTCTGATTTGTAATTGACGACTTTCTTAAATCATTTGAACTCCTACGACGATTTGTCTTTCTGACCAGTTCAGGTGAACCTCTCTCATTCCATGAATAATTACTATCATTATGAATGTTAGATTCTGAATTTCTACTTTTATTCAAATGTCGGAGTTCCTCTTTACTCCATGATGAACACTCACTTGATGAAGACATTTCTGAATTATCTTCACTGTAACTTGTGGGAGTGTAAACAACCACAGGATTGTGTACTCCAACAGGACTCTGTCTTATGGGAGAAGAATCTGGAGATAACTCCATAGAAGGAACACTTGATTGGTTAGAACTCCTCACTAAAGGTGCACCTGACTGGTCCTCCTCACTAATGTGAAGGGATGGCAATGAATTTTTGATTTGTTCTTCATCACTGCAATCATCGTCAACACTAAATGTAGGGACCTTTGGTTTTTTATATGCCATTAATTCCTTCTCATTTCTTGTTACTGGTTCAATGCCTGTCATATTATTGTTAGAACTATTCCGATTTTCTTGGTTTTCAGAGCCAGTTATCTGCTGACTTCTTCGACCATCAGATATACCCGACAACCTTGAACGAGAGTTACGTCTTGCACCAGCATTCCGTAGAATATCGTCATTCTCCATTGGATTGAGATACAGATTCAAATTTGTATGTGGGTTAGGAGTAACAAAACTTGTTTCATCTGTCTGGGTCTCCTATGAAAAATAAATCAAAATTTTATTTTAAATTTTATGTAACCTTTTATCAAGATTTAAAAAGGTTAATAATTAGTCATTTAATAGAAAATATTTTATCATAGTATGTAATTTGTGTCAAGGCCACAAAGAAAGTGCCTGACATTTTTGCTCTAAAGATACCAGAGCAGAACTTATTTTTTTTGCTGTCTGTATCCTTGAAGTTGGCCTGATTGCAAAGACTTTAATAAACTGTTAACACAGGGATATGTCTCACCTTTTTGTACTTTTGATAATGCAAATGTTGAAATTAAATACCATAGACTTATCATAAGTCGTTTCCTTTCAACAAACCTAAACACAAACATTGAAATTGACAAAGTCAATGAACCATGATGAGGGGGTGGTGCTATATAATCTCCATGGAAACGAGACTTGCAAATGCCAATAAATTTACATTCCAAATATCATCGACTTAACATTAGCGCATCATCTTAAACTGATCTAATCACAAACTAATACATGTAAACTAAGCAAAAGTTTCAAAGTCAATAGACCATGACTGAGGGGGTGGGACCAAATATTCTCCATGGAAATGAGATGTGCCAGTGCTAATACAACTGCATACCAAATATCATTGACCAACCACTAGTGGTTCACCTTAAACTAAACCTTATCACAAACTAATACATTGTTGACGCCGCCGCTGTTGCCACCAATGTCGCGCTTTTTGACTCCATCAAGGCGAGACAAAAATGGTTTAAAAAAGTTTGTAATTTAAAAAGCTTATTGTTAGGATGGCAATGGATATACCATTCTATATGTACCTATTTTCAGTAATAAACTTCCTATATATACAAATTTCAATTCTTCCTACATGTAGAATGTTCCAATACATGTGTATTAATTGAGGTTTCTATTATAAAGACAGGTGATATGCAAGGACAGGAGATTTTCGAGAGACCGTTGCTTTCTCCATCAATAAAAGTGTGATCAAAGCAGCATTGAACCTCATCATTTTCATATTCAAAAAAAGATGTCGACAGGTATATGTTAATATATCAAAATGTTTACTACCTTCTCAAATAAACCTAAGTAACCATGCACAGGTCTATAATCAGTTGTATTTGCAAGTCAAAATTTGGTAAAGACTATATATATGCATTTATCAAATATGAAGCTCCATAAGGGGGAGGAGGGGGAGCGGATGCAGGGGGAGGGGATGCAGGGGCCTCTGATCAAATAACAATAAATCCAAAAGAAAGGTTCTGCAATGAAGGGCAGACAATTTGAACTGCCACTGAAAAAGAGGGTATGATAGACATGGAAAAGGCCACATATGGAACTGTCAAAGAGTTGTTCCAAAGGGTCTTGAACTTGCATAGTGTTTATCTCTGTTTACACAAGGCATCAGATCCCAATTCCAACCTAACTAAAAATATCTGTGTATGTTAACATTAAACACTGATTTACAATCTCAATTCAAACCTAACATGTCTGTGTATGTTAACATTAAACACCAATTTACAATCTCAATTGAAACCTAATATGTCTGTGTATTTATACATTATACAACCAAGAAGACATCACTCTTTAGCATCATTTTTTTTTTATAGACAAAAGAACTAAATTAATGCGGAGATAAAAAAAAATTTTTTTTTTATATTTTCGTGATCGGTGATCATGGAAATTTATTTTCTGTGAATCGTGATTGACAAAAAAATCAACTCGTGAATAGTGATGAGACCCCCCCCCCCCCCCCCCCATCAGGCCCCTCATTTATATACATTCAATAATTAACAACACAGTGGTATTTGTACCCAATTAAGTTTTAAGTATAGAATCTTACCCTGTGATTCATGGTAACACGTTCATACAGTTTGAACTTTGAAATCTCTGAGACTTCGTCTAGACTAGGTAGTTTGCTGTATGAAGGTGGAATGTTTTTAGTTTTATCATTTTGCTGCCTCTTTTCAGCTTGCCTTCGGAAGAATCTATTTCTTCTTCTCCTATAATACAACATGAAAACTATTAGTAAAAAAAAACAATAATTCAAAATTGAATTCGATTGTGAAAATTTTTGATGAACACAATTTTTCATATACCTTAAGAATGAAGTAAAGTAAGATATAATATTCTGAATAAAAGTTAAAAGTTTAGTACATCCCTATTGAGTGTACTATATAAGACAATTAACATTCCAAAGAAATACTCCTAAATAACCATAAATCACATAATAGTGCTTTTATTCCCCTTTTGGTAATTTAGCTCATCATGTATTCTGGTATTTATACATCCATGGCATTCAAATGATTGGGTTTTAGCATTCCTAATGAAGGTTAATCCAGAAAAGTTCTTTCGAAGCAGGAAATTTATTAAAAGTGATATTTTCTTTTGTTGCTATTTTTCAACTTAATTGTACATAGAAGGTCATCAATGAGCTCACAGCTAACAACAATATCAAGATGACCTTTACCTTCAACTGAGGCATCAGTCTATGTCATTCATTGATTACTGTCATATTGTAATGATTTCTATTAAGTCAGAGTAAAACGTGCCCAGTACAATTTTTTTTATTTTTCACATACTTATAGATTCGACAGAGGTACCAATCCAGTGGACAGACTTCTCAATGAAAATCAGACTTGAACCCACTTTTACAGTTGGAACAGCCCAGAACCTCCCTTTCATAAATTTCTGGATTGACAACCAGAAAGATCCAAATTTCCAAAACATTTGAGGATACCAGATGTCATTTCAGTACACCATAACTAATAGATGATGATACACCACTAGGATATAGGATATACTGTGGATTAATTAATATTCGTTGGATAGCAATTTTCGTGGATTTCGTGGGAACAAGGGAACCACAAATTTAAATGTTCAACGAATTACAAATTTACTTAAGGAATGTATGCAGACTTTGCCAAAACCACGAAATTTAATATCCACGAAAATGCAAGTTTTTCTCATTCCACGAAAATTGGTACCCACGAAAATAAATGAATCCACAGTATACAGAAATCCTACATTTTGACTTTAAAACTTCAGATAAATAATATCAAAAAAATCTATTTATAATTCGTATGCCCTATAGCTGTCTTGAAAATTAAGTATATGTAGCATAAGATTTCACAATATGTAAAAGCATTGTAGGATTATTTTGTTGAAAATGGAAATTCTACATTTAATGGGGTTTTATTAAAAACATTCTAATGTCCTATAATGGCATAAATAGATGAAATAAGATGACAATGAACACTTTAACTCAACCCTAAATAATTGTGGTTAAGTCATTTAGATTCGTTATTATTCGTGGGATACCAATTTTTTGTGGATTTCATGGATAAAGGTGAACCACAAATTTAAATGTTCAATGAGGTACAAATTTGCTACAGGCTTATATATAAAAATAAGAAGATGTGGTATGATTGCCAATGAGACTGGTATGATTGCCAATGAGACAAGTCTCCACAAGAGACCAAATGACACAGAAATTAACAACTATAGTTCACCGTACGGTCCTCAATAATGAGCAAAGCCCATACCGCATAGTCAGCTATAAAAGGCCCTAAAATGACAAATGTAAAACAATTCAAACGAGAAAACTTATATGCAGTCTTTGGCAAAAACACGAAATCAAGTACCGGTATACACTAAAATGTAATTTTATAAAAAAGAAGATGTGGTATGATTGCCAATGAGACAACTCTCCACAAGAGACCAAATGACACAGAAATTAACAACTATAGGTTTGTTCTCAATCCACGAAAAATTGGTAAAAGCAGTTTTCTCTGAATGAAAAGTAACCCTATACATTGTCTATAATTCCTAATGTACTGATGCACTCTACACCATTAATGTCTCTATACCTTTCACACTTCTTTAACAGTTAATATGCTCTCTCAAAACTTTACTCTTGAAACCTTATATACCCCCTCTGGAATCATAGTGACTGTGTAAACAGGAGACAATGCCACTTTCCTAATGCATTATGGGTTCCTTGGGGAAGATTCTCTATATCTATTTTCAAAGATCTTTGAACTGTCTTCATTATAATTTGTTTGGACTTATAGAGTCTGATTGCTTTCTATTTACATATGAACAAAGCTATATGCTAGATATATTGATTAGTGTTTAACGCCACTTTCAGCTCTATTGTCCTATTTCATGGCGGTCAGTTTTTATAGGAGTAAGCTGGAGTGCCCGGAGTAAACGAACGAGCTTCTGTAGGTAAATGCTAGATATGTCACTGAGACAGCAACCCAATGACCAAAAATGCATCAAAATAGGTCAAACTACAATTTTCAACAAAAGATAATATGTCAATTTCCAGACGTGAATAAATTCTAACACAGACAATCACATTGCAAGTAAATATAAATGCCTTGAATTTACTTATGTACTCATTACACCTTATGTCTTCGAATCCCACCCTCTAGACCCCTGTGTTTATAATATATGAGTACTTACTTGGCAAGTAGATAGGAAGCAATGCAGATACAAACAAATACTAAGATACCAATAACAATACCAATTATAGTTAATCTGCGATCATTCTCCAAAGCTTTCTGGTCTGAAAATAGAAATAAATACCTCTTGTACTTTCTTTTCAGCATCAACTCCAATTTGGTTTTTGAAAATTTTTAATCTAAAGCAACTCATATATTTTTTAAATAAACTATCAATATTTTTACTTATTTTTTATCAAATCTTAACATTACACTAATATATTCATTATATTATTTCATATTACTGTAACAATTCATTTTTGTTTTTCTTTTAAATAAATGTTAATGGCTTGGGTTTTTTTCACAGCTCCTCTATCTTTGATCAAAGAATCTTTCTCCTAGATTTTCATTAGAATTCATTATTAGTTCAGAAATTTGAACATTTTGGTTGTTCAGTTACACTTACAGAAGTTCGCTTAATATGCTTCTTTGATATGTTCAAACATAGAAGATTTAATAAATAAAGAACTATTTAAAAAATAAATGATTTTTTTTTCTCTGTGCATTTTTTCTTTAAATTTATTTTATTTTTTCATCAAATTTTGAGAATTTACAGAACTTATCACTCACTGATTTTATCATTTTCTTTATATACAATTTGCTGACAGTAGTGATCTACATTTACACTCATTTTAACATACTAATCTTTTTAATGTGCTTGATAAATTGCATTCAATCTAAATTTTTGCACACAAGCGCTGCTAAATCAAAGCATTTAACATTTCATCTTTTCCTTCACCTGGTTTTCTGTTCACCTGGTTTTCTGTGCAGTCTGTTATAAAGTGATACAAGGTATTCAAAGACAATATGTATACACCAACAACATATAGATCTCGTAGCTCACACAGATTACAAAGATGTATAGAAATTGAAAAAATATTTGAACCATAAGTGTCCCTTCTATTCTCCAGTGTACAACTTTAACACAAGATATTGGTAAAAAGTTGAAAAGTTTCTATGGAAACAAAGTTATATATATATATATATATGAGAGAGATTTCTGATTATATATACAGATATAAGATATTAATTTAATATCAATGATTTCACCTTCTGTAGTAAATTGTTGATGACAACGAACCATCTTTGATATCGGTAACTACAAACTACTAAATTATTAAATTATACCTTGAATACTTTGACAAAGAACACTAAAGTCATATCACATCGGCTTTAACAGGATGAATAAATTTTACCTCAACTTAATTTATTTAATTCTTAACATCTACACAACCAAATTTATAACTTATTTATAAAACCCTAAATCTAAATTATTAGGGAAGGTTTTTGGTGTAAAATAATCTAGAAATTAACATTTAGAAATCAAAAATCCCTCTTTGGACTGCTAAAGCTAAGCAGCCTACAAAAGTTTTCACTGGCCTTAATTATACTGGACTTCAATGTGTTTCAAAGTTTATAGTATGAATTCTCTCTTTTTCATACATTGATCACGTTTAAAAAAAAATTCCCTTATACATGTATAAAAGTGTTGATGAAAGTTGAATTTGCTAAAGATTGCAATGTTGCCCACCCAAGTTTTAACAAGGGTCATAGAATTTTTTAAAACCTCTTATCTTATTTATTTGCAAACTTATTTTCTAAAATAGAAGTTAAATTAAATTAATCACTTATATTCCTGCATAGATTGCACGCTTTTTAATTAAAACTTCTCTTTTGACACAAGAACATGTATTCCTGTTTCCTTTTGCTCTTGAAATTAAGTGACCTTTACAAAATCTAAAAATGCACAACTGCACATGTTATGAATTAAATCTCAGTTTAAGTCCATCCCAATGTACTCTGGAAGAGATTTGGCATTGACAAACTTAGAAATGGAAAAAGTCAAAGTCAAGTCTAAGAAAAATCGCCAAATTAAATCTAATATGAATATAAAATTGGAGTATTTGAAGTAATTCGGTCAATTTCCTAAATTTCTAAAAGAAAATTTAGAAGTCATAGTCCATGTTTTACAATGGGAAACCCTAAACACAATCTAATTTCAAAAAATTAACCAGATGGTGCACAGCTACACCTGGTATGAAGTATACTTTATTATCTGTAGATTTTGTGATGGCAGATAAACTGACAGACAGGACAAAACAATATGTCTCCACACATACAGAATTGAAGTGTGCGGGTGTCTGATCTCTTCTTTTTGAAAGTTAAATGGAAATTAAAATTTATAGGATATGTTTGTATTTTATGATCCCTGCTTAATCAAAATCTATGCTTAATTCCTGCCATATGTATAATATACCTACTGGATGCTACTTTGCCAAAAATCAATTTTCTGTACTCGCATCTATCCCCTTGGTGCGTGGCGGGACACCTATCAGGTGGGAGATAAAAAGTTCAGATATTAAATAAAAACCAATCAAATCAAAGAAGAATGAGAAAAATGTTTTATTATCAAGTCCAGAAATTTGGTTGTTTGTTCATTTTTCTTTCTTTCACAGAAAAAATATACATTTTCTAGAGTGTAATTTACAACGGTCTGAAACTTTTCAACCAAAAGTGCAACAAACACCATTCATATTCCTGAACTTCATAACAAAAGTGCATTAATACAGAGTAGACATCTGGCAAGAGTGATATGCAAACATAAGCAATATAATTATTAATACCAATTCTACAAATTTGGATGTAATATACAATTAAAATATCTGCTCATCAAAGAAAACTATCATTTGGCTTTTATAATTTTTTGTTTCTGTATATACACAGTTTATTAAGGTTTTCCTTTCTAGAAATCTTGAATTCCATCCAAATATTTTAGAATTGGTATTATGTGATAGGTGCTGGGATATTATAGTGGTCCTCTTGTCTGTAAGCTTTCCAGTCGGCACTTATCTGCATTCAAGTTCATTATCTATTGTTCAGTTCAACTTAACAAAACATGCATGTTAAATTTACAGTCAAATTTTGGACTAAACTGCCTCTCTCTTTGTTTTAGAAATTTTCTTCCAGGGACTTAATTTCTAATAAACTGGTCCAATAAATCTAGACTGACTAAGAGATATAAGGACATAGTAGTTTTAACTGTTTACTTTAACATTGACATATTTCACACAGATGTTTTTTTTTGTTTTTTATCAAATTTCAACAATATATTCATTATGGATATTTTGAAACTAACTATGGTTGGTTTTATGACATTACAGTTTAATTAAATATGTCTAAATGTATTTTCCATAAAATAAAACAATTTTATGATCTACTTCATTTTCACATTCAGTCATTTTATTTGTTCATTAACTTTTCATATTAATTTCATGCTAATGCAGTCATTCAAACAATTTTATGAGGTAAAATGCATACAAAATTTCAAATCCTAATTCTGTCAATCTAGCTTAAATTATTAGTATTGGGAAATTTTATACTTCTTCATGCTTTTAATTTATATTTTCATGCAAACTGCATATGAAAATCTGATTTAACAGGCAAGGTTAATTTTTGTTATATGATATGGCATTTCAAAAGTTATCAAATTGGTTCTTGATTATTCCTTTTTTACATTTGCATTTCAAAAACGTTAAACCTGAACTGGAAATTTCATCATATGTATCAAAATTTGTAAAAAAAAATATTCAAATGACTTAATTAATTCCTCAATCATTTTAAACCACTTAAATAATATAAACATCAACCTATCACAAAAAATAAACAAAATTAAAAAAATATGAACAATTTTGAAAATAATGCATGCCATGCTAAAGAAAACCATAGCAACAGGGTGAACTTGAATGCTAAAACTGTAGGGTATCCTACCCCAGTCCTCTATTGCTGGAATGTTCTTTGGTAGCCTCCTCTGCTCACATCTCTCACCTGTGTGGGTATCCTTGCAGCTAAAAACCAGTGTCAAAATCATAGAAATAAAATTCTTCAACTAGTACAAGTAGTAATAACATAAAATCTATAATATTTTTTTTTATGTAAGGAAAGTGAATCCAGTAAACATTGACTGGAGCAGACTTTGGATGATTGTTAGTGGAATGAGTTTTTCCAGATTTTCTTTCTCTGATTTTACATTAATTATGATTTTTTGGGGTATATAAATCTATGATATTTAGTACCAGCAACTTTTGGGGTAAGACTTAAAGTTATTCCGCCATTCTATTCCAAGATGACTTAATTGCAAGTAATCATATGGAGGAAAGAAGATGCTGGGTGGATATCAATGAGACAGCAATAGAACAACAAAAACAAAAAGACAACAAAGGTCAACATGCAGTCTTCAACAATGGACAGGGGTGTCTATACAATATGTGAAGCTCCAAATTGCCCTTTAAAAAGTTGTGAATAACTTGAACACAACTTGTCAAAGATCTACCTTCAAACTATTAAAACAAATCACCTGATGCTTTATTTAAAGTACATACTACATTTTCTTAAAACTTTAAATGTATCACTTTCTGATTTAGTACTACAATTTGATTTTCATTATGATGAAATTATATATCTACAATATTCACTTCCATCAAAAGTTTAGATAAAGTTCTTATTAAATAAAAAAAATAATGAAAAAAATAACCACTAAATCAAATCCCTATCTTTGAACTATTTTGAGGACATAGTAAACCTATATATCTTAAATTATCTAAAATTATGTGATGTATGCCTCCCAACAGTAGCATGATAAGACATGTGAATGACTTCTCAGCACTAGTTATAGAATATGATATATAAGTTTTCCCCTTCTGTTAGGAATAAATTGAGTTAGCATAAAAAAGACAACAACCTTATAAAAACCAAATTTTACCTAAATTACACATTTAGAGGTCCATCCACCAACACCGTCTATTTTTTTGTTGTTGGTGGAGTCAAGTGTTTGTAGGTGGTGTGTGGTTGATGTGGTCTATTAATGTACTGTCAAATATGTTTGGTAATTCCTGTTATTTTTTTTATTTATATCATAAGGGAGCTACCATTTGATTTTTATGGGGGGGGGGGGGGGGGGCTAGGATGAAATTTGAAAAAAAAGGCAGGACAGAAGTTTTGAGTAAAAAAAAAAAAAGGCAGGACAGAAGTTTTGAGTAAAAAAAAAAAAAGGCAGGATGACAAATTATGTATAAAAAGTCAGGATAAACTAATAAAAAAAAAAAAGTGAAAAATAAAAAGGCAGGACCGAGATTACAACTAAAAAAAATGCAGGTTACAATTTTTCATCCTAGCCCCCTCCCCCCAAAAAAATCAAATGGTAGCTCCCTAAGCTATCACTCCAATTTAATATAAAAAAAGTAACTTGGGATATCAAAGCAATAAAAATATATACTCCATGTACCCTGAAGGGTTAGCCGCTGAGTGAGTACTTGCTCCACTATTGGCACACGTTGTGTTACCACAATATTCTATTGAGAGTCAGTTTGTAGGGTGAATTATTCAAGACAAATTGTTGAAAAAGTTATGAAAGAGAAGTGCAAGATTCTAAAGGGATAGTCAAACTCATAAGTCAAAAACAAACTGAATTTCATGACAATGCCAAAATATGGAGAAACAATCAAAAGACAAACAGGATTCAAAACACACAAAAAAATCTATAGACTGAGCAACACCTTTATATGCCTTTATTTATGGATTGCTGTCTCAACACCTGTTTCTTATCTTATCCATATTGACTACACAGTAAATGGAAAAAAAAAAAGGTGTTAACCTTTACAATATTTCACAACATTAATGACAGTAATTTTTTTCAAATAAGATACAAATATCTTCAAAAATATCACATGCAAATATAAAAATTTTACTGGGATCTTTAAATATACAACAAAAGTTATTTTAGAAATTAAAACTGAAGCCATTTACGATATATAAAGATGCATGCTTTAGGGTTTATAAATATCTGATTCTTCAGACTAGTATGTTGCTTGGCAATAAAATTTTAGTGCTTTTCATTTTATTACTTCCTAATTACGAGATCGATTTATTTGTGGGTTAGTGACTTTTCACCGATTTCATGGTTTAAGGCAAAACAAGAATTTCATTTCTAATTAAATAAAAAAAATAATAATCAAGGAATTGTAAATTTTTAAAAACATTTAAAAAAAGGGACAAATATCTTTTACGTTATGACATTTAAATTTGTAAAAAAAAATTTCCAGCTATCCTTGGTGTTGATTGAATTGAATTTTTTTCTTATTCTAATGTTGCTTTTAGCAAAATTAAATACTTAATTAGCATATGTGATACAATCACGTCCCACTATCACAAATAAAAATAAATTCATAGTCTTATTTCATGATTTTGTTCCTTACACGGTTACCCGAGGCTCATTATATGGTTGTATTGATGTATAGTTATATGGATATGTAAATGGAGGAGTTTTACACCCACCGTACCGCCTCTGGGTACAGGCCTGCCAATTTATGTAATTTTCTGGCATTTAAGGAATCAATATTCAAAAAGGTTTAAAAAAAGGATAGATAGTTTTTTCATTTGAACAATTTATTTTAAAAAGTGTATTCTTATAAGATAATAAGTAGCGAAAAAAAGGATATTTTTTACTTGCATGATGGGCTTTAATGTGTAGGAACACAAAAATAAAATATCCAGTATGTTTATACAAATAGACAATGATCATGCAATACAATGAATTATCTTACACGCAACAGTTTTTGGTTATATTTTCTAACGAATCTCCTTTCTCAATAGAATTCCTGACCAGGCATCAAATAGCAAGCAATAAAAAAGAGGAATAACTTCTTCAGTTAAATATTTATATCATTTTGCCTCTGAATTGCCACAATAAATGTATTTCTTTTCCAAATTTTGTTTTCCTTGGGGGGAGGGGTGAATCTGATTCTATTTTGAATTCTATATGGTTTTCTTTAAAAAAAACTTTTTTGAAGAACAAATTTTCTTATTCTTTCATAACTGCTCAAATCTGTAACGCAGGGAGTCAAATGTGTAAAAAATTTTCGGTTTTGTTTCATTCAACCTTTTGTACTGATGAGTGAGTAACTGCTCAAACAGAAAGACAGAGTCTAGCCATCAATGATTGATTTGTGTTTGCTTTAGGTTACATCAGCACAAACAGGCTATATCACAGCTACATCAGAGACACAATACTAATATGTCTGCCTAACTAAATAATATCCAAATGATGGACAAATAAGAAAACTGGTTTCCATATTAAAGATCCCAACCTCTTCTTTTATTGGATTAGCTCTTTAGAATTGCTATAGTAAGTCTGACAGGTGACAAAAACATCCCATAAAGTTCTCATGTTCAAAATATTATTGACTTACTAAAAGACATTTACAGAATCCCAGCCAGATAGGATTTTATACAAACCAAAAATTCTGGACCGATTCCAATAATAAAGGGGTTTGTAGACAGCATCTGTTTTATAGGATTTCAAAGATCAATAAAACTATACTCAATAACTTAGTGGTATTGATATATAAACTTTATCAGAGCCAAGAAAATTGGCCAATTTGTTGAAAGCGTTGAATAGTAAACAGTGTGTAACAGAAATGATTAACAGCATGATGATAATGGGGGTTTGATAAGATGAAGATTTTGATCAATATCTCGGATAACTATCTGTAAGGCCTTTTTACTAATAATGCTTTTGATTTAATTAAAATTGTGAAGAAATCTACAGTATCCTGTCAAAAACATCTTTGGGGGATTTTCTCTTCTGAAACTTTGTAGCTTTCTGTGGGTAGATGCACTGACTTTAACTATAATCAATTTAGATCAGCTGTAGTTAAAACAAATTTTAATCAAAGTCCTCTGTTAAATTTTTTTTCCCTTCTTTTCGTGACAAACAACAAACTCAGATACCTAAGTTTCGTAGTGCGAACTGATATTAAGACAGTTATTACTGATTTAAACATTTTTCAAAAACCCACTCTTACCACAAGATGATGATCTCTAAACCGTACATTAGCAATCAAAGATGAACTATAGAAGTACTTTTGTCTTAGAGGAGAGCTATTATTAATACAGTTTAAAATTCGTTTACAACTGAAACAATATTAAGGTCTGATTGCCAATGAGACAACTATCACCAGAGTTCAAACTTATTCCTCAGTTTCCCTAATATTACTATAACTTTTTGCTATGTGAAAACAATAAATAGTTTGATAAAAAAAATTAAAAAGGGAAAAAAAATGTATGGGAAACTCAAAAAAATAAATTTATTTCCAAAAATTAGAATCAGTTCCAGCACAATGACATAATTAAGGTAAAAAAGATCCTGCTTCACTGAATTCCAGATAGTATTTAGATGAAAGAATGAATGAAAGTATGAAAGAATATAATGAACGTATATTCAAAAAGCAGAAGTATAAAAACTTCACTAGTAAATTTGATTAGGTGGAAGTTGAAGTTAATCTAAGATGATGTTACCACAGTAATATTGATTAAAATAACAAAAAGTTACTCAATAATATCATAACAAAATTGTTAATGAACTGACCAATTTCCCAATTGTTATGGGTTTGGTTGTAAACAATTTAATGAAAAATTCTGCAAAGCAGAACTGTTCTTCTGTTTTGTAAATTTCTAGTTTCCAAACACAAATTGAAAGCAACACCTTGTCTGCTAGCCATGAAAATTGTCATCCAAAGCTAGAAAATTCATAAAAATATAGAAAATGAAAAGTACCCATTTTCAACTTTCAATGTTCAAGGATTTGTCTCACAAGATTCTTCAGCAAAATCGCAAGGTTTTTTTGAGGAAAAGTTCATATGTGGAGATGGTCTGAGCTCTGACCTCATGATCAAACACCAGTACAAGTAAATCTACCTATTTTGTCTAAAGAATTTATAAGACAAGCTTAAACAGACCCAGACTACAAAACAAGTACAAAATACATTCAATAAATATATCATCTGATATTCAGAAAGATATCACACAAATGTAATCATTTATGCTCAAAAGCAGGATTAGCTTGCACCGATAAGCAATAATTGGTTGTACATAGCAATGGTTTTAGGGTAGATAAACCTTAATGGATAGGAAAGCATGAAAGTTTTATTGATAAAGGTATAAAAGCTGCATACGTTACTGTAAGGATTATTGGCTAGCTTTGTCACTTACACAGACACAACAATGTGATCAATAGACGAGCAGTGTTAATTAGGTGATCAGGGTTATATTCTCAAACTATCAGAAAGTCATAGATGCCACATCAGAATATAAAACAATTTCAATAGATTTACAAATCATAAATTGAAACAAAACCCCCCAAAAAGAGACATGTAATCAAACAGCATATACCACAACTGGCTCTCATGAAAGCCAAACTTTTATCTTAATGCAATTTTCTATTTTTTATCTCTAAAAATCTCTGAATTTTTAAGATAATATAAATAAATTCAAAAAAATTTAAGAATCTGTTAACATATTCAAATCAGTTCTAATGCAGAATATTTCAATTTTCAACAGAAATCATCAATTTTACAGCCCATAAAAAGTTTTTATCATTAAACTGTCAAGATATTCATGTAAATACACTTACCGACATCTTGGTATCCCTAAATCTGCAATGATTTCACACGTCCCTCCATTAAAACATCTACCATCATGTTTTGGTGGACATTTATAAAATAGTGTAGGTGTCACTGAAATTTAAATTTTTTTTTCTTATTTTTGTTGAATAAGCATATAAATAGTTAAGTATGACAAACTATAATCTATCCAGTATTCTAAGGGTTCTGTCATAGTGAACTTAAGTATCAGCTTGCAGCCTACAAGACCAAAATGAAAATATGTCATGAATACAGACTATCTGTAAAAAAAGTTTCAGCACTTCAACAGTGTTCAAAATCAACCAGCTTGCAACACCATTCACAGGTAGCAATTTTCAGTATTATAATCTTTCTTAATCATACAAAATAATAATGTTTTCAGAAAAAATAAGCTGACTGGCTCAAATTTTCCATAAAACTTTTATACCAGTTAGCAGCAAGGGCCGTCCTGTTAATTGGATCATTAGCTCTGTGTTAAAACACATGTAACAAACCATAACTTATGGGTATGTTTAATTACCCTTCTGGAGCACAGTGCGATCACCACCAGTTTTTGGTGGGGTTCGTGTTGCTCAGGCTTTAGTATTCTATGTTGTGTTTTGTGTACTGTTGTTTGTCTGTTTGTCTGTTTGTCTTTTTCTTTTTTAGCCATGGCATTGTCAGTTTATTTTCGACTTATGAGTTTGAATGTCCCTTTGGTATCTTTCCCCTCTCTTTTAAGCAGGATATCCAACTTTACAGCAGTACATGCACTTGACTAAAGATAATATCGAACCATTGCTGTATGTCTGGGCAACAATAGACTACCCTGAACAATACTTGGGAAAAGGGGAGATTTTGGATGACCACTCTAAATAACTAGTTTAACCCCATGTTCATAGTTACGAACCTTATCAGTGATTTTCTTTAGTAATATCTTGATTTTTGTCTTGGTGGCAGATCTTAGATAGTCTGAGTTATTCACAGCTTTAATTCTATGCTTATATACCAGGTAACTAGTATTTGACATTTTAAAGACTTGTCAATTGTTTTAAAGACCATAAGACATTTTTCGTTCTGCACCAAGCATCAGATTTGTGCATCAAACGTTTGTTCTAATTCTTTGATAACAAATCAAAAAGAAATAGCTATCGGTACTGTAAATTCAGAGATTATTGTGATTTTTGAGGAATGGACAAAATAGCGAGATTCAATTATTGGGATATCAGAAAAACCTGCATACAGATATATGTATCAAATATTTATTATTGCGATACTCATCCAGTTGCCTGTACCAAGTCAGGAATATGACAGTTGTTATCCATTCGTTTGGTGTGTTTGAGCTTTTGACTTTGCCATTTGATTAGGGACTTTCCTTTTTGAATTTTCCTCGTAGTTCAGTATTTTTGAGATTTTACTTTTTGCATTATTCGCATTTATGAAAACCTTGCAATGATTTATGAATTTACAGTATACAATTAATATTTCGAATGTTTGAACATCTCATGAATAATTTCTAAACTATTTCACACTGCCCTATCAATAAATAAATAAATATAAGCACATTTAAAATTCCAACAATGTTCCTAAATTGAGATACATGGTCTTCCTTTTAAACTTGATTAAGAAACATACTTTAGTCATTACTTAAAAATAATGATAAATTAGCACTTAAGTCAATCTCCACCCAATAGGAAAATAAAAGAGTCAAAACAAAGATGCTTTATTTCAATTTTTCTTGTCATCAGATTTGTGTCTCCTTATCTCTATATTTAATAAAGAAGGTAAATTTGACATATTAATTCACCTTGAGTAAACATTCAATAAATCTGAATGAATAGTTTAAATATGTAAACTAACACTCGGGTAGGCGGAAGCATATCGTACTCTGCATTCTAAATGACACCCCCGCCCGCCAAATTTCAACAAAATTTTATTTTTAAAGCATCGAAAACTAAAAATAAGTTCATATAAAAGTTATTACTTGCTCACCATGCCATAAACTGATTCACATCAAAACTATTCAAACACTGGTTCAATAGTTTCCAGGTTTAACATTTTATGTCTCACTCTTTAGTCCAAAATAAACAGGTTCAGATGTTTTAATATTTTTTTCATATTATTTATACTTACCTATATTTTTCTAATCATTTTTGATATTTTAATCTTAAGTCTGTATTATCTATAAATATCTCTATTTATCTATTTCAATCTTTTAATTATTTAACTAGTAATTTCACAACAATAAGCAATTTAGATGGAAAAAAGACTTAAATGCTTTTGATTGCAACACTTTTGACTTGTAATTTGAATTTTCATGTATATGAAAATGACGTTAGTGTTTGATGTGTTTAAGGGATTATTAGATACCTATTTTCATGGATTGTGGAAAAATTGTACTTTTCGTGGATATTTGATTTCATGGTTTTGCCGAAGTCTGCATACGAAACCTTTAGCAAATTTGTACTTCGTTAAACATTTCAATTCCTGGTTTACCTATACATTGAAATTAACAAAAATTGCTTTCCCAAATGTTGATGAATCCATTGTATTCCATTTTGATGAGCGATCCCAACCTGTAAAATAACGACAACAAAGCATTGCTTATTTAGCAATACTGCTGCTATCTTTATAAGGAAATCTCTAAATTACATCAATTTACAAATAATTCTCAAGATATATAATTCTTGATGCAATATCTATGTCCTACGAATAAATATGGAACAAAACATTAAAAGTGCAAAGAATAAAACAAAAAAATAAATAGTAATACTCTGCAATGACAAGAACATAAAACAATGACTTACCCTCATTTATTTGAATGGCTGGTTTCTGTGTAGTTTTCTTAGGATTTTTTTTCTTTGGAGGCTTTGTAGGTTTTTTCTTGACTGTACAGTTATGAAATAAAGAAATAAGCACAGTGCAGACAACATTAAAAATAAAATTTTCATGCAGTGCCATAGAATATTTGATGACATAAATCATTGTTTTCACACCATAATTTTTTTTCTCCTTTTTAAGATTTTTTGCAGCTTTATAGTCTAATCAAGTGCAAACATTTTGCCAACTTTCTGACTTGACTTATAAAAAATATATACATGGAATAAATGACTGTTTTTAAAAGTCCACAAACAAAAACCATATTTGTTTTACTGTCATCAAATATTCAGCATAGATCTTCTAAAATATTGAAATAATATAAATATAAAAAGTTACTACATCAAAGTGATTACAAATCTGAGGTCAAATCTAGTCAAAGCTTTATTTTAGTCTTCAAAAATAACTCCTCCGACCCTAACCCCTTTGCAAATTCTGGATCTATACAACTGCAAATTGACATCTTCTATGTAAATGAAGGGTTTCTTTGAAGTATGAGTATCATTTAAAATGAGTCGATGAAAGAAAAACTTTTAACAGGAAAAAATACAAAGCATAACACAAACCATTGAAGCAAAAAAAAGTTATGAAATAAACTAAAAACAAATAACCTGCCTGTCCGAAGTCAGGAGTCTGTAGTCCAGTGGTTGTCATTGGTTCATGTCTGTCATATTTGTTTTTTTGTAAATTGTTTTGTTATAAATTAGGCCGTTAGTTTTCTCAATTGAATTGTTTCATTTTTTTCATGTCAGGGCCTTTTATATCTGACTATACAGTATGGGTTTTTTCTCATTGTTGAAGGCCATTTGGTTGCCTATAATTGATTACACCCACTTCATTTGAACTTGGGTGAATAGTTGTCTCATTGGCAATCATACCTCATCTCCTTACTGTTATATAAATCTCTATTTGATAACAAGAAATGGTACAGTGATGTTAACTTTATACTGAATCGGATAATAAAGAAACAAAGTAATAGGCCACCCAAGAACCCAAAACCAAAAGCCATAGCAGGTTAACACCCAGTATCTGCTGGGCACGTGTACGGTGTTGTCTTCTCCATGCTTCATTAACTAACAATATCACCAGACATTACATAGTCTGATTACCTTTTTGTAATGAAATGCACTGATGTACTTTCCTTCCACAAAAACTAATTAACAATCTGAGTAATAATGAACTTAATCTCCTCACAGTCTGTTTTAATGGGTAAACAGTCAATCAGTGCTATCTTCATTTACATATTGGAAACACAATGGATTACTGGACATTTATTTCTTCCCTATTGTTCCTGTATTTCGATACTTTACATAGTATTTACATGTAAGTACTCGATACCGACCTGACATAATAATACTGGAGAAATACCCATACCTTTTATGATACAAAAAATAGCCAACATTATAAAGAGATCGCCACACAATGAATTTCAATTGTAGTGCAACAAATTAAAAGCAACTTGGTTCAATAATGCAAGATAATTACATTGTAGAGTCTGCAGGAAATATTTAGATGATAACCAAATTAACATAGCAGTCGACCTCCAATATGTAAGCCTGGAAAATGACCACCCTTAATTTCATGATCCTTAGGCGTAGAAATCAAAGTTGGTTTTCATTAATAGACCTTTTTGGTATAGAAATAAAGGGCAGCATAAAAAAATCAAGGGTAGATAACCTCATTTTTAAAAAGCTTCTTTTTTTTTATCTTTTTGGTGCTTGTGTCTTCTATCTGACGTCTTTGAAGCTATTTGGACCTCAAATATTGTGAACTTGGCTTGTAAATGTTGAAAATTATGTGCAGATAAAGCTGAACAGTTGCTATATTAAAAAATTGTCATGAAATTATTATTTCATACCTGAAATGAATTTACGAACTTCAAAAAAACAAGTGTGTTCCACAACATCAATTTTAGTTCTGTTTCTTCCAAAGTCTTCATTTGTGCTATTGCCATTTTCAGTCTTTTTCTGTTGTTCATTGATTTTAAAGGTTCTTGTAATGTTCATAACAGATTTAGTAATAATCTGTTGAATTGCACCCATTTTCCTATCGGCCCTCAGAGGAAATTTTCAAAATATATTCCCGATCAACGGCCTTTACAAATGTTATATGTCACCTGTTCTGTTAATAATCTTAATCACCGATTTAATAAATCTAAATAAATATGCTTATAAATAAACAATTACAGGAATTTATTTAAATCATTCCCGAGCAATAATCCCTTAGTTTCAAAATACTTTATACATATTGTACTGTTTAAATTTAGAAAGGTTTTGTTTTAAGAAATTTAAGGTTTACAACATAATTCATATGGGTAGGGTTTATTGAAAAGGAATTGTTTTATTTTAGTTAAAAAAATTGAATAATAAAGTGATTGATATAGCTTAAGAATTCACTTGAACAGGATTGTGTCAGAACAGAAATAATTTAATTAAGTTAAACGGAGTTAAATGGAATGTTTGCATCAACTCTGAATCACGAAAAACACGATTTGAATTTCTCCCTCACAATGTGTTAACTAATAATGACTTGCTTATTTGTCGAATTCTTTGATTTATTTCTGATAAAATTCGGTGTAACATATTAGCCTTAGGTATACGTATTCATAACCACATAATACAACATACAATTTATTTTCAACTTGTTTTTTATTTATACTAGACACACCTTCAAAAGAATTTTATTAATCAATAAAAATCGGAAATACACAATGTCAAATTGTATAAAGTGCAGCTTCAAAATATTTGAATAAAAAGTAGATGTGGGTTAAATGTAAATGAGACAGCAAACCAACACAAATAAACTTAGACATTTAGGTACATTTGGTTTGGTACTATCCTTTAAGGTACCAAAGATACTTGGAGTTACAAGGAGAAGATATTGTGTAGTATATCCTTCATTATAACAGTTACAAAGATTTCAGCAACAAACAAGACTTTTTTTGTGACTCTAAACACATGATATAGAATGTTGACATCATTTGGAAGAACTTAGCTATAATGTACCTCTTTTTTTTTTTTTTTTTCAAATTTTGTACCTCAAATCCTTACCTCTTTTGCTTCTTTATTTTCATGTTTTAAACAATTTATTTTTCCATTCTTCCTTTTTTTAATGTTGCTTTTTTAATTACTAATATGCTGAATCCCTTTTTGATTTTTTTTTTCATAAAAAGATTACATATTTGTGAAACTTTATTACAAAATTTCTACATTATTTTGTTTTCCAAATTTTAACAAAATCTCTGTTTGAAACATGTAACACAGAAAATAAGATTGATATCAGAGTATTAATTAGTTCATAATACTAAAAATCTTCTTTGACCTTGACCATGTGAAAGATCTAGTTTAACAACATAAATTGTGCACTAAGATTATAAAGAATTTGATCATCAAACATTGTGAATGAATATTAATAATCTACGATCAAAGAATAACTTAAAACATTACATAATCATTTTTTTTAAATGTTCGTTTCTAGACGAGATTAAACTGTGAGGCTATCAGTCAAAAGGATCAGACTAACAGATATTTGACTGTTTTATCTGCACAAGGTGGTTAATAATTTTTTTTGATATTTTGGATGAATTACAAGTTTTAAATACGTTCAAACAATTTTGATTGAATTACCAAATTGAAGATCAACATGAATAAGATGGCAATCGGCACTTAATAAACGTAAACGGGACATCATGATGCTCTTACTGATAGTCTGCCAATATTTCATGATCAAGTGTAATTTAATTATAGATCTTTTTATGGCAGTTCAGGAAATTGTTTAAAAATCATCATGTTATACTCTCTAATTCAATTTTATTTTGCCATTAGCAATATCAGGAAACATCTCATCAGTATACTGATCAGCAACCTTACGCATTACCTATTACTGACCAACATACATATCAATATCCACATAAAAACCTACTTCGACAGGTGTGAAGGATTATCGTTGTTGAACTGAATACAAAATAATTCCAGTGAAAACTACCAACAACTAGAGGCTCTAAAGAGCCTGTGTCGCTCACCTTGGTCTATGTGAATATTAAACAAAGGACGCAGATGGATTCATGACAAAATTGTGTTATGGTGATGGTGATGTGTTTGTACATCTTAATTTACTGAACATTTTTCCTGCTTACAATTATCTCTATCTATAATTAACTTGGCCCAGTAGTTTCAGAGGAGAAGATTTTTGTAAAAGATTACTAAGATTTACGAAAAAATGGTTAAAAATTGACTATAAAGGGCAATAACTCCTAAAGGGGTCAACTGACAATTTCGGTCATGTTGACTTATTTGTAGATCTTACTTTGCCGACATTTATTGTTTTTTACAGTTTATCTCTATCTATAATAATATTCAAGATAATAACCAAAAACAGCAAAATCACCTTAAAATTACCAATTCAGGGGCAGCAACCCAACAACGGGTTGTCTGATTCATCTGAAAATTTCAGGGCAGATAGATCTTGACCTGATAAACAATTTTACTTCATGTCAGATTTGCTTTAAATGCTTTGGTTTTTGAGTTAAAAGCCAAAAACTGAATTTTACCCCTATGTTCTATTTTTAGCCGTGGTGGCCATCTTGGTTGGTTGACCAGGTCACGCCACACATTTTCAAAACTAGATAACCAAATGATGATTGTGGCCAAGTTTGGTTTAATTTGGCCCAGTTGTTTCAGAGAAGATTTTTGTAAAAGATTACTAAGATTTACGAAAAATGGTTAAAAATTGACTATAAAGGGCAATTACTCTTAAAGGGGTCAACTGACCATTTCGGTTATATTGACTTATTTGTAAATCTTACTTTGCTGAACATTATTGCTGTTTACAGTTTATCTCTATCTATAATAATATTCAAGATAATAACCAAAAACAGCAAAATTTCCTTAAAATTACCAATTCAGGGGCAGCAACCCAATAACGGGTTGTCCGATTCATCTGAAAATTTCAGGGCAGATAGATCTTGACCTGATAAACAATTTTACTTCATGTCAGATTTGCTTTAAATGCT